CGTGTAGATGTAGTGTTCACCACCACCACCCTAATAGTGGGAATGACGTTTTTGCCTTATGTTAACATCTGTGTAAAGTATTTTTAAAAATCAGATTTGTATTGCTGATTTGAAAGGACACATTCAATATAAGTCACAGAAACAGTACAGTGGAAGAGCAGATGCTGCATTCATTCATAAAACACATGATCAAAAGACACTTACTGTACAACAATTCCACATCTCAAGTGCATTAGACAGTCTCCATTTGTAGACGGTCTACTTCAAAAGGAAGAATACACCTGCAGACATAACACATACAACGGACATGGACGACTGTAGTCCGTCTATGTCTCTGGCCCTCGCCATCTGACCCTCAGGTAATGTGCCATGTGATTACTGTGGAATTGAAAACCTTGTAAGACAGAGAGCCCACAGAGCCTCAAACAGCACCTCTGACCCTGAGAGGAGGGAGAGACACATCAATCAAAACAACACGTCCAATGACAAAACCAAGGACCTAAGAGAAAATAAAACCTATTATTATACTGATGGATGGTCTGGTAAATACAGTTGAAGTCGGAAGTTTACATACACCTTAGACAAATACATTTAAACTCAGTTTTTCCACAATTCCTGACATTTAATCCTAGTAAAAATGCCCTTTCTTAGGTCAGTTAGGATCACCACTTTATTTTAGGAATGTGAAAAGTCAGAATAATAGTAGAGAGAATGATTTTTTTCAGCATTTATTTATTTCATCACATTCCCAGTGGGTCAGAAGTTTACATACACTCAATTAGTATTTGGTAGCATTGCCTTTAAATTGTTTAACTTGGGTCAAACGTTTCAGGAAGCCTTCCACAAGCTTCCCACAATAAGTTGGGTGAATTTTGGCCCATTCCTTCTGACAGAGCTGGTGTAACTGAGTCAGGTTTGTAGGCCTCCTTGCTCGCACACGCTTTTTCAGTTCTGCCCACATATTTTCTATAGGATTGAGGTCAGGGCTTTGTGATGGCCACTCCAATACCTTGACTTTGTTGTCCTTAAGCCATTTTGCCACAACTTTGGAAGTATGATTGGGGTCATTGTCCATTTGGAAGACCCATTTGCGACCAAGCTTTAACTTACTGACTGATGTCTTGAGATGTTGCTTCAATATATCCACATAATTTTCCTTCCTCATGATGCCATCTATTTTGTGAAGTGCACCAGTCCCTACTGCAGCAAAGCACTCCCACAGCATGATGCTGCCACCCCCGTGCTTCACGGTTGGGATGGTGTTCTTCGGCTTGCAAGCAACCCCCTTTATCCTCCAAACATAACGATGGTAATTATGGCCAAACAGTTCTATTTTTGTTTCATCAGACCAGAGGACATTTCTCCAAAAAGTATGATCTTTGTCCCAATGTGCAGTTGCAAACCGTAGTCAGGCTTTTTTATGGCGGTTTTGGAGCAGTGGCTTCTTCCTTCCTTTCAGGTTATGTCGATATAAGACTAATTTTACTGTGGATATAGATACTTTTGTACCTGTTTCCTCCAGCATCTTCACAAGGTCCTTTGCTGTTGTTCTGGGATTGATTTGCACTTTTCTCCACCAAAGTACATTAATCTCTCGGAGATAGAACACGTCTCCTTCCTGAGCGGTATGACGGCTGCGTGGTCCCATGGTGTTTATACTTGCTTACTATTGTTTGTACAGATGAACGTGGTACCTTCAGGCATTTGGAAATTGCTCCCAAGGATGAACCAGACTTGTGGAGGTCTACAATTTCTTTTTCTGAGGCCTTGGCTGATTTTTTTTTTATTGTCAAGCAAAGAGGCACTGAATTTGAAGGTAGGCCTTGAAATACATCCACAGGTACACCTCCAATTGACTCAAATTATGTCAATTAGCCTATCAGAAGCTTCTAAAGCCATGACATCATTTTCTGGAATTTTCCAAGCTGTTTAAAGGCACAGTCAAACTTCTGACCCACCGGAATTGTGATACAGTGAATTATAAGTGAAATAATCTGTCTGTAAACAATTGTTGGAAAAATTACTTGTGTCATGCACAAAGTAGATGTCCTAACCGACTTGCCAAAACTATAGTTTGTTAACAAGAAATTTGTGGAGTGGTTGAAAAACGAGTTTTAATGACTCCAACCTAAGTGTATGTAAACTTCCGACTTCAACTGTAGATCTGATTTATTTTCTGAAGGACAATATTTTATTCACATTTTATAATTCAGGACTGTCCTCACACCAACAGGAGCTTTTGCTTAGAAAAAAAGAAAGTAAAATGATAATAGAAGATAGTGGAAGAGGTGATGTAAGTGACATACATAAGCTTCATGCTTAAATTAAGTTACGAAAACACATTTGACAGAAACAGTGCATACGTGGCATTCATACATTCCAGTCAGTACTTGTACAGTATTGGAACTGGAAGCCAGGTTATTGCAGGTTTTTACAGTGAAGGAAGGCGGCACCTTCCCTCTGAAGCTCTGTCTGTCTGCATATGTATGGCCGGTGGTATGCCACATGTTCACGAAGCCAGCTATCCAGTCACCATCTGCACAGAAGACAAGATTGGCACTCTCCCTCTCTATAAAATGCAGCTGGGTGAATAGACAGCTGTTTAAGAATAATTCCTTTTAAAAAATTTAAAAAAGAAAAAAGAAAAAAAACAAGGGGGTCAAAAAATTAAGGATAGTGAAAAAGGCTCCAGGGATGAGTAAAAGTACAGTGCATCTGTCTTGGGAGATAAATCTGTCACTTTGGTGGGAGCCGAATGGATAAGCATGCTAATGCTCCCAAGGCTCATTAAAGATGGATTCTCTATGGCAGGATTTTGGGGCAATAAGGGTCCAAAGGGGACTGTTATTTTTCAACATGCATTAAGACCTCCACTTCCATAATCCCCTCCCATATTTACCTTTGTCTTCTACCTTACGGAGATCCACTTTGAGAAGTCAAGATGTTGAAGTGAGAATAGCACTCACTGCATGCACTGAGCCACTCTCAAACACTCTCTCTCAAATGTTGTTCACACCAGTGACAATGAATATTGATCAGTAGGTACACATAGGCATATTCAATTTCAATCAGCTCTCTTTTCATCTACTTCGATCAAAAGGAAAATCAACCACATTTTTCCTGGTAACATCTCTCTCTCTTGGCATCTCTCTCGCTCTCTTTCTTTCTTTGTGTCTCTCTCCAAGCGTTTCTTTGTTATGGGGAGACAATAGTGCCTGCATTGTCATTTCTGTCCACTCACCCTGTCTGTAAACTCATTGTCTTCTAACAGAAATCAGTGAGGGAAAACTAATGGAGACAGAGGATGCTTCTCTCTGTATACAACAGCCTGTGGAGTGCACAGCATCATGTACTGTAGGAGTGTGTTAAGCTTGTGTTAAGCCTATGTGTGTGTACATGCATGCGTGTGCAAGTGTGTGCGCAAATGTGTCTGTGTGTGTGAGAGAAAGAGCGTGTGCAAGCGTGTGAGATCATGCACCTCTCTGTGACTGGGCAGAGCAGAGCCGTCATCATGCTTTCTGTGATCTCTCAGATAACAGTCATCCATCTGCTGTGCATATCTGTCAGGGCCTGGGAGGTCAGGCTGAGGCTAATCACTCCAATCATCTATCTCCCTCCACTCAGCGTCTCCCACGCACCTTCTTGCTCTCCAATCTCACTCCCTCGCTCTTCCTCTGTCCACACTTTCTTTTGCTCAGTTGAACTTCCCATAACTTATCTTACCACAAATTAATTATAGTACATACTATGACGGGTGGTGAAAACACACACGCCACACGAGTGGGAATCTAACAGGTTTGTCTTCTATCTGCCACCCATTAAAAAACAAAGCCTTAACATATGCTGCTCCAACCACAAACAAGCTCAAGCAGTCTCTGGATTACCTTGTTTTCTTTGTAATCTATGTGTCTGTTTGCATTGATCGATATTGTGGAAACCACCTCAATTAATTCATACACATTAAAGCATTTGTGGTTTTGTACTAAAGCCCATGAGGTGCTACAGTAATCCACTGGGCTGAATACAAGTGGGCTGAGAGATTAAACAAGATGAGGCAGAGAGATAGTGTTTGTCGTTGTGTGATCATTTGATGGCGTATGTACGCTGTGTTTTTTCCCATTGCTTTTATAAATAACAAGTGCCCCTCCTAGACTGCATGCCTCAGTGTGTTCTGGAGCTAACAGCAGGATAGGTTTTTGCTAGTGGAATATTTATAGCTGTGCATTAAAACTGGAATCAAGGGTTTAAGTGTACCATCGCAACTTTGCCGCTGTTCCTTTGTCCGGGCCTGTCCAAAAATGCCCCGCCTGAGGCTATTTGCAGAGCCAAGAGCTAACATGTGAATCCGAATACTGCGTTTACAGAGGCAGCCCAATACTGATATTTTTTTCCACTCATTGGTATTTTGACCGATCACATCAGATCGTTTCACATCTTATCTTTTTCAGAGCTGATCTGATTGATCAAAAGACCAATTAGTGAAAACAATAACAGAATTGGGCTACCTGTATAAACGCAGCCTAAAAAGTGATATCACATTCTGACCTGTGTCATGTCAATGCTGTGATACAGGTTGACATCTTCCATAATTATACACTGATATTGTTGGTGTCTTCAACGCCCTTTGTCTGTTCCTATAAGAATAGGCCAACATAAACATATTTTACAAACAACAGTATGTCTTTGCTGTCATAATGTCAAAGTCAGTTGTCATCTTGAGCATCTCATCTTGGGTATCAAGCTCTTTCATACTGAGACCCACAGTATTATACATACTAACTGACTGACATTGGGCCTATATTCCTGATTCAAAATACGATTTGTTATTTTCTTAACTGTACATCATTTGGGTTACAAAAGCGGTTCAGAGTTGTGATACCATGTATCCTTGCTGTTGCATACTGCCATCTTCTGGTTTGGCAATATATTCAGTCCAGAAGGTTGTATTTACATAACTACTAAAACTCAGACAATAAAAACCAGTAAGCAAAAATAAATAACTTGCTATTTAATTAAGTCTGATTCAAAATGAGGACATTATTTTATCTTAAAAAACAAAACGTTACTTTTTTCCAAAACTACTGCATACTATAAAATAATTCAGCACACAAAATATAACTTTTTGTTAATGTACCCTATTTGTCAAATTCCAGATGGCTACAGGTAAGGATTTAAACATAACATATCCGAACTCTGCACACAAAGTTAACTTTAAATATGTACATGCCAATGCCATCAGTCTGTGTGGAAAAGAAACAACATAAAAACACTAGCTAGCATTGTTCCAGTAGTTTAAGAGCTGCCTGCCCTGGGCTACAGTTCTGTTACTTTGTCGGACCACACTCGTCAATGCCTTTGAGGCAACGGTCACTGCAAAAACTGTTAAATGTCATCATTCTGACTTAACTTACTTTGATAGACACTTATTTATTTATTTTTTAAAACACTAAAATGTGATGATACCATAGTTTCTAAAAGTTACACAAACTTTGGAATGCAACAAGCTCAAAATATTACAATTCATGTTACAAAATGTGGGATTCCACACAAATAACTAAATGAATGTTAAAATATACTTAAAGAATTGAAATACATAAACTGACTAGAACACGTGTGAATATGAATTAATATGGGTGCACAGCTACACACTAAGTTTATGATAGGAAAGGTGTGAAAACACAGGAGACATTACCTATATTTATCTTATTAAAATAACACAAACTACTGTAGAGTAAACTTATTTTACACAGATACACCCAAACAATGGCAGGAGTGTAAGACAAAATTATATAGTATATGGTCTACAAAATCAATCAGTTTCCTTCCATGAAAACACTCACGACTATGTCATCCCTGAGAACAAGATTTGGTTCAATAGGAAGTGCATCCAAGATGGGTTGGGAATAACATTACAACCTCTCAGAAAATCTCCTTTTTACCTCGTCAAAGATCAGATTTACAATAGAAAAAGTCCAAGATAAATTGAGTTGAAGACGTGATCACTGATACCTGTCAGTAAAAGATCTAGTATTTTTTATTGGACCATTTGCAACAAGAGATTCTGCCAAATCTTGGCAGTATTAACAAAATTAAATCAGGGGTCTCAAACCTCGTAGAATATTATTGTATTGGTATTATTTTCATTTTGTGTTGAGTAGCCCTATCAATAAGAGTAAACTGAATGAATGAGTCAAGATCTAACGCAGGATTAAGTTAGAATCCTTTGAATTTGAAACCCCAGTAATAAAGAATCTTTACCAAAAAAACTATTTTAAAAATCCAACAAAGACTACAGTCAAATATACAGTCAAACCATGGTGCCCTGGCTTTTTTAATTTACCCTGATTTTAAAATGCAGTCAAGCATTTAGAATTTATTAACAATAATTGAGCTTATGTGCATAATAAGAAAAAAAGGAAATTGGGAAGAACAAACAATCTTAGCTCTCGTCCGCTTCTTCGTCCACCTCAACATCCTCCTCTTCATCTTGGTCTCTGACCTCGCGACCTCGTGATTCATCCACGTCTTCCACGTCCACCTCTTCATCCTTCTCGCCGTACGATGAGTCCTCATCCTCTCTGGCGTCCTGGTCGCTGTCATCAGAGCCTAGGGAATGGAGATGATCAGACCTTTTATAATGGGTTTCCCACTCTGAGCCAATGGGGTGATTAGTATGGGATATAAACAGGGGGGTTTAATACTGGATTGTGTGAATGGTGAAAACAGTGAGTAGTGGATTGAAGTATCAGGTAACCAAAATGGATACACAAATAGACACAAAGCACCCCTTAACCCAATAAACTTCCAAAATATAACTTCCAATGATTGTACAAAACGCCTCTTGCATTTAAAGTATAAACGTTCCTTGGGTCTACTGGTTTCTGCAGAAAATTGGCAGATCAGTGTGAATAAGCTGCTGAGTTTGCATTTCAAAATCACAGTCTTCCAGAACCATTCAAATAAATAGATTTTCATCCAAACAATGACTTCATATTCTAAACTGAGCTGCAAAGCCGACCAGCAGATCCAACAACCCTCCAGAATAACATTTCTGCTCGAGGACAATGTCTTACCGTCTATTGCCACCTCTCCGTCATCCTCCTCCTCTGGGCTTTCATCTGATTCTGAGGACATATTCGCTATCTATTCAGTTCCACCTGGATTACTCAGTAAGGGACATCTTACTACACAAGTACAGACATTTCTCAGGAGGTAGAGGTAAACCAGCAGACACTGTGGCCCTTGAGGACTGGAGTCAGAGCATATGTTATGCACATCTGTGTTGGAGCATAAAACCTGACTCATCACATTGCATTTTCTGTAAACCAGCAGACAGTGTGGCCCTAAAGGACTGGAATCATGGTCTTCTAAAGCTCTATTACAGTATTGACTAACCTGCATCTCGGTCCCCACGCTCCTCGTCCTCATCCTCCTCTTCCCTGCTAAGACCTCGTCCAGACTTAGCCTGCTCTTCTTCATCATCATCCGAGTCAGAGATCACCACACAATCCTCCCTGTTGCTGTTGTCAGCTGGCTTGGGCCCACTGGTGCTGTTGGAACCGCATGTTGTCACAGTTAGAACAACCAAGAGACCTTTCCTTTCTTTCTTTTTTTTTTTACACAAAATGCTTTCTAATAAAAGTGTTTGGTAGTGTTTTAGGCTAGATTACAGCACATAATAAAGTGGTAATAACATGGTAATAGTATCATGAAGATGGAAAGTCCTTATTGAACTAAGTTCTACGACAATAGGTTTTGTTGGGCAGCTTACCTGCCATTCTGCCTGGGTTCCCACAGTGGAGTCAGATAGTATCTGAGAGGGTTTCTGAAAAGGTCATCCTTCAGTATCTATAGATTCACGCAGAACAAAGAGAGAAGACGAGTGTGTTGGAATAGTGCAGTAACCGTGAGTGTTATATACAGAGCCTAAAATAAAGTCAGTCGTGTGATCACCAGTGGATCTGTGCAACGTGTCTTTGCTGGATTACTTCATGCATGTCAGACTGTGCCAGGCAGTGAGCATGCCGTTACCTGTGCTATGTCGTCCCGGCCAGGACTGGTGTGGTCGCTGAACCAGCTGAAGAAGGTCTGGTAGATGCCGCGTCCCGACCTCCTGGGCTCACTGTGGAGCGTCAGGTCCTGACCCCGGTGCCACAGGATGGGGTTGGAGAAAGACACTGGAGATCCTGTGAGAGGGGAAGGATATCGTCAATATTGGCCTCATTTAAACACGATACCTGATTACACCTCTGCATCTATACCTGTCAAAGATGTAAAATGTGGCATCCTAGCAAGATAGATATGACAACTGGATCTGTCACTCACCTGCCATTCCAAGGTGGAGCTCCTTCACTATGATGTTGTTCTGGAAGTAAGGGTTCCGTTTGAAGTGGAACCCAATTCTGTAACCAAGCTTGTTGGTCTTGAAGGATTCAATCTAAGAAAGAGACAAGAATACATTGTAATTTCAGGGCAGCAATAGCACATTTATTCGGAAGACTTTAAAGAATCATTACATTTTCGCTGTGATTATTTACTTACTTCAAGGTTGGTCATGTAACTGAGAGCGCCTTCATCTGTTTTGTCGATGTGAGCAGAGAGATGAGGGTGGTTCAACAACTGTTGAGCTTTGAGCCAAGGGAAAAATAAATGTGACATACCAACACACTCACAATCAACAACACAAACAGGCTCTTTGCACATAATTCACGGGTACATGAATTGGAATCATGAAGTAATTTGTTGCCATCTGGAAAAGTGTGTGTATTGGTCACTGTTTGTTGGTGTGTGTGCGTCCGTGTGTGCAGGAGTATTCAAAAGGATACTGCCGTGACCCAGAAGCCGGGGATGGCCTGTATGATGGAGCTGCGCTGGTCCACGTGTGGATGGCGCTGGCGGCTCATTTTCTGCTCTAGCCGCTGGTGGAGCCGCGCACCTTTCTTCTCCAAAGCGTCCAGCCTCATCTGTACCTGCGCCAGAAGGGCCACTGACTGTCGGATCTCCGGGGCCATCTTCACTGACACTATAGCGCACTCCCCGTCATCATCATCATCATCATCATCTGATGGGAAAGAGGAACTCTGTGTGGAGGAAGATCCAGGTATTGAGTCGTCTTCCTCATCCGCATCGGGCATGTCTTCGGCATCCTTCCTGTCAACTCCACGCAGTGAGGTAGAGCTGTCTGCCGCTGCTGCCTGTGTGTGAAGACCCCTTTCAGGTTTTGACCGTTCCTTTGAGGACTCATGGTCACCACGCTTACCTTTGTGTCCCATTCTCTCATAATGTCCAACTTTTTTGGAGGAGCAGGGCGTTTGTTTAGCCTCGTCACCCGCAGCTGCTCCTGTGAGACTAGCAAGTGCCTCGGCGGCTGCTATAGCGGCCGAATCAGACTGGTCCAGTGAAGTTGAGGGTCGGCAATCTCCAGCACCAGCACTTCCCTTGGTTTTTAATTCATTTGCATCGCTAGAGACGGGTGCACCCGACGAGGGCGCACTGTTGGCGGCGCTGACATGTGCATCAGCGCTGGATGGGTTATTGGCAGTGACAGCTGCACAAATCCCCCCCCCCGGTCCCTTTTTCAAATCTAGTCCACTCTCCTCATTTCCACCATTCTTCTCTTCCATACTAGCTGGTACTTTATCGCCATCTTCCCCATTTTTGTTTCCATGAGAATTCGATGGTAATTCACTGGACACCACGCCGTCCACTTTGGCTAACTTACTAGGAAGAGGGGACTCGCCAGCCTGCTCGTCGGACGAACATCGTTTCTTCGGGGCAGAGTCTGCAGACTTTTTGCTGTACCTCGTTTTATCGCTCATTTTTGCCAATTAGTCTGCAGTGCTAGCTAACGCAATAGCCTACAAATTAGTTAGCTAGCCTAGGGGATAACGTTAGTGGAATTGTTTACTTAGCTAGATGTAACTAGCTACCTTGTTCGTTTCACAAATTACTAGCTAGCTACTAGCTCGTATTTCCTATAAACAGTTAGCAAGTTCCTTTTCCGCGTAAATTTTGCTAGAGGCCTACAGTACTGTAGCGCGAACTAGCTGGCTAGCTAGCTTACCTTGCGTGTGTTCTTCGTGTTACAACTCGGTCCCGTTCTCTTAAAAGCTATCAATTTAGCTCTAGTTGTGCATTATAAAACATTTTTTTATATTGAATAAAGTCATGGTTTATAATTACACAGAGTCCTGAAATTGTTTACATTTCTCCTTTCCCTCACTATTTCTCCGGCCGCGATGTTTATTACATTACGAGATAGGAAAACAATCCGCTGATTGGTTACAGAACGCCGCGCTGAAATATATCCACCAATCATACAAAGGGGGTATGTTTAAGTGAGTCAGCTTTACCAACAGAAGCTGCGCTCCCTGCGCTGCATATTTTCAGTACTAGGGGGCGCGCACGTACAGTACAATATTTTCAGTGACTACGCAGTAGCCTGACACTTGATCTATTTTGATAAGAATTTTTGGGGGATGACGTTTTTCCTACAATGTAGCCTTACCTTGATATGTGAATTGTAAAATACTTTGGGTTAGGAATAATTATGTACTTCATTGTAGACCTACCAGCAATTGAGACTTGCTGACTATCACCGATTATTATTATTATTATTATTATTTTTTAGTCATTTAGCAGACGCTCTTATCCAGAGCGATTTACTGGAGCAATTAGGGTTAAAAGTGCCTTACTCAAGGGCACATCGCCAGATTTTTCACCTAGTCGGCTCGGGGATTAGAACCAGCAACCTTTCAGTTACTGGCACAACACTCTTAACCACTAAGCTACCTGCCGCCCCATTATTAAAATATAGTATATGGAGAAACAATTTCCAGTTGAATGGATTTCATGGCTGGACTTCTGTGGTGCCTGCTCGATGGATGAGAGACTGATTTTTGCAGACAGAGAAAAGAAAACAACATCAATTTCAACATCAATTTAGAATACCTTATCATGCAAAATGCTTGCACATGACAACTGACCAGGGACTATAGTTACATTAATGTCATGACAACAATGTTATTACTGTAGTAATTTAAGTGTTATAATAAACAGGTATAGAGCAACTTGGCCCTGTTTTTGTTCCAGTCCAAGTTATGGACTCTTATGATGTTGAATATGACCAAGTTGATTGTCTTGTACCAATCATGTTCTGCTCTCTTTAATTACATTATTGCATAGCCAACCTACTGAGCATTCCATGCATGTAGTCAGCACTCAAAATACACTGCTCAAAAAAATAAAGGGAACACTTAAACAACACAATGTAACTCCAAGTCAATCACACTTCTGTGAAATCAAACTGTCCACTTAGGAAGCAACACTGATTGACAATAAATTTCACATACTGTTGTGTAAATGGAATAGACAACAGGTGGAAATTATAGGCAATTAGCAAGACACCCCCAATAAAGGACTGGTTTTGCAGGTGGTGACCACAGACCACTTCTCAGTTCCTATGCTTCCTGGCTGATGTTTTGGTCACTTTTGAATGCTGGCGGTGCTTTCACTCTAGTGGTAGCATGAGACGGAGTCTACAACCCACACAAGTGGCTCAGGTAGTGCAGCTCATCCAGGATGGCACATCAATGCGAGCTGTGGCAAGAAGGTTTGCTGTGTCTGTCAGCGTAGTGTCCAGAGCATGGAGGCGCTACCAGGAGACAGGCCAGTACATCAGGAGACGTGGAGGAGGCCATAGGAGGACAACAACCCAGCAGCAGGACTGCTACCTCCGCCTTTGTGCAAGGAGGAGCACTGCCAGAGCCCTGCAAAATGACCTCCAGCAGGCCACAAATGTGCATGTGTCTGCTCAAATGGTCAGAAACAGACTCCATGAGGGTGGTATGAGGGCCCGACGTCCACAGGTGGGGGTTGTGCTTACAGCCCAACACCGTGCAGGACGTTTGGCATTTGTCAGAGAACACCAAGATTGGCAAATTCGCCACTGGCGCCCTGTGCTCTTCACAGATGAAAGCAGGTTCACACTGAGCACATGTGACAGACGTGACAGAGTCTAGAGACGCCGTGGAGAACGTTCTGCTGCCTGCAACATCAGTCATGGTGTGGGGTGGCATTTCTTTGGGGGGCCGCACAGCCCTCTATGTGCTCGCCAGAGGTAGCCTGACTGCCATTAGGTACCGAGATGAGATCCTCAGACCCCTTGTGAGACCATATGCTGGTGCGGTTGGCCCTGGGTTCCTCCTAATGCAAGACAATGCTAGACCTCATGTGGCTGGAGTGTGTCAGCAGTTCCTGCAAGAGGAAGGCATTGATGCTATGGACTGGCCCGCCCGTTCCCCAGACCTGAATCCAATTGAGCACATCTGGGACATCATGTCTCGCTCCATCCACCAACGCCACGTTGCACCACAGACTGTCCAGGAGTTGGCAGATGCTTTAGTCCAGGTCTGGGAGGAGATCCCTCAGGAGACCATCCGCCACCTCATCAGGAGCATGCCCAGGCGTTGTCATCATTGGATCAGCCTGTAGTGTGGTTTTCCACTTTAATTTTGAGGGTGACTCCAAATCCAGACCTCCATGGGTTGATAAATTTGATTTCCATTGATAATTTTTGTGTGATTTTGTTGTCAGCACATTCAACTATGTAAAGAAAAAAGTATTTAATAAGATTATTTCATTCATTCAGATCTAGGATGTGTTCGTTTTGTGTTCCCTTTATTTTTTTGAGCAGTGTATAAAACTCCCACAGGCCTATTATTGTTGCCTGACGACTCACCCTGAATTGAATTCAGTTGCTCAGTTTGCCGGAGCAATGTGGATGGGTAGCCAGGCAACTATTATTGGATCACGACAGAGACAGAGAGGTGAATGGCAGCATTACTTATGCCACCTAGTGGATCAGATGGAGTAATGATCCAAAACGAGGGACTACCAATCTATGGAGTCTGTGAATGAGAACCACACCATTAATTTACCATCAATAACAGAACACAAGACAGCATATTATTTTTTACAAGTAAGGTATAGGTCTACAATATGCTCGATTATCCATATAGCTCGATTATCCATACAAGCCTAGCTATGTTTATTTAGATTAAACATGTCATACAACCTACACTCACCAGCCCTTTAATTAAGTACACCACCCCATTCATGAAAATGGTTAGCTCCTACAAACAGTGAGTAATGTGGCCATGGCTTGCTCTATAAAGCAGGCAGACAGGCATCGAGGCATTCAGTTACTGTTCAATTGAACGTTAGAATGAGTAAAACGAGTGACCTATGCGACTTTGAGCGTGGTATGATCGTCGGTACCAGGTGCGCCGGATCCAGTATCTCAGAAATGGCAGCCCTCCGGGGATTTTCACACACGACAGTGTCGAGGGTTTACTGAGAATTGTTTGACAAACAAAAAACATCCAGTCAGCGGAAGTCCTGTGGGCAAAAACAGCTTGTTGATGAAAGAGGTCGAAGGAGAATGGCAAGAATCATGCAAGCTAACAGATGGGCCACAAACAGACAAATAACGGCACAGTACAACAGTGGTGTGCAGAACGGCATCTTGGAATGCACAACTCATCGATCCTTGTCATGGATGGGCTATTGCAGAAGACGACCAGAAGAAGCGGCTACAGTGGGAACGCGATGACCACTGGACAAATCTCGGTTCCTGTTGGATCATGCTGAGGGCAGAGTCAGGATTTGGCGTAAGCAGCATGAGTCCATGGACCCATCCTGCCTGGTGTTAACGGTACAGGCTGGTGGTGTAATGGTGTGGGGAATGGCACACGTTAGGTCCCTTGATACCAATTGAGGAATGCCCTGAAGAATTCAGGCTGTTCTGGAGGCAAAGAGGGGTCCAACTCAGAACTAGATGGGTGTACCTAATAAACTGGCCTTTAAGTGTATGTCCTATATGTGTAGGATCTTAATTGGCCCTATATTGTCACAGCAAAATAATCCTGCTGCAACAGGATTTGAACGTTTATCCATAATGTTGCTTGATCGGTGGTTAGGCTATTAGCTGGCCAAAAGTAGGCTACATGAAAATTGCAATACTGTTATAACCATGTGTTAGTATGGGTTTTCAGTGAATTTAAGTTAATCACAAAGCTCATCTGCATTTCAGGAAGATTCTCAGCAACAAAAGATTGATCGAATTAAGATTCCTGTATGTATGTCCTACATATTATATTGTAACTTATACCCTACAGTAGGCTATGTGCTTATTGCCCAATATTTAAATAAAACGATGTAATGGCAAATATGGCGATTTGATGAAGCATCACATTCTGATAAGCATGCCAAGAGCCCTTTAAATACACTGTAGCCCATTGTGACACAATATGACGTTACATAGTAAAAAAGAACATGATGTGACATCATGGGAAGATTCCATTCACAGAAAGTAAAGGACTGAAATATCATCATACAACAAAAAAACATCCTGTGGTTCGATCAGAAGGGAAACCCTTCAGGTAATGTAAAGGAACTTAAAAACAAATTTAACATTGATGTACAATACTGTTGTAATATGTTATGGCATATTACATAGCCCAATAATAAGAATAATACAAATATATATATATATATATAGGACTGACCATAATAGCTTTTTGCACTGTATTAGGCGTGGTTTATTTCCGTCTAATAATATTTAGGAATAAAAAGCACATTTCCAAACAGAGATTCGTCTATAGTGTAGTTTTGGAGGTGGGCGTGTACTGTCTGGGCAAACCAAAACAGAGGGTGGGGTCGCCAGTCCAGGGTTGTACCAACTTCAATAGCACATTTGGGGCAGGCAATACACAGCTAAAATTAGACGGTTATTCTTCTGGGAATAAGACCTAACTAAAGTTCCAGCTAAACAAGGAGGACTACCCTATACGAGCCACAAAAGTTGGTATTATAGAGACTCGCACTTGCTCCTCAGTTCTCCATTGGCGTCATGCTGTACAACACGTTCTGAAACTCAAAAGTGGCAGTTCTGTTCGTAACGCTGGGTAATCGCTGTACAAACCCGTACCACTGGATTCTATTGGATTCTATCCTCTGACTAGTGCTACTCACAGGCGAGAAAATGTCTTTTTTAACCATACCATCCCAGGAGGGGCTTTTCACCAAGGTGAAGAAAGAGGGGTCATCCGGAGAAGGACGGTGTTATGATGAAGGACAGTGTAATTCGGATGAAGAATACGAAGACAGCGAGGAGACAAACGTGCGTCTCATCCCCAGGTGCTCTCCTATCCCAAGGAAACGCGGACGGTCCATCTATGATGAGACCGCAGAGTATCTGAAAATCAAAGATGCAATTTCCAGCAGGAGAGTGTCGTTTGCCGATACAACAGGTAGAGACCTAACCGACGTGAAGGAATTCATCCAATTTGATTCGGATGATGAGGATAATGCCAGGTGGGAAGAAGAGGAGGCAAAATACCGAGCGAAAATCCGTGAACCGACCTACCGCGTAAACCCGGAGTGGACCATGCCCACTGCGGCTGCCCTTACTAAAGCAGTGCACATTAATAAAGTAGAGGTGGAGAGTGTGTCACCCATTGAAGACGAGCCCCTGGCGTTTACCGGGTTTATTCGAGTCCTTAATATTTCATTTATCAAAACTGTGTGCATTCGATCAACTATGGACAGCTGGAGCACCTACTTTGATTGTCCAGCAGATTATGTCCAGGGCGACGGTGAGACTGATAAATTTTCCTTCAAGCTCTCCTTCTGTCCACCGTATCTTCACCATGGGGCTCGCATTGAGTTTGTTGTCCGTTACGAAACTCCAGATGGCGATTACTGGGCGAACAACTCGCACATGAATTACGCGGTAACTCTTCTCGTGTCCTACGAAGACGATGTAGCACAAGATAGCCCGTTTGATATGCCAGACCTTACAAGTATCCTGAAAAGTGAAAGCAGTTACAGGTAAATTCCCTTGATCATCATCCAAACATCCTATCAATCTGATGAAGTCAAACAAAATAGACCTAGGCCTACTTACTGTAGGCTATGTACAGTAGGCCTATAGCAAACATGGAAAGGAATAGAATATAAAATAATTGCGGAATAAGATATAGGTATACAAAATAATAGCAAGCCTATAATAATATGATAATACAATCTGCTATTACACTTTCACATGAATCACATTTGACAATAGTTTTGAGGGACTACTGTGGTGCTACTACAGTGATGAAAGTTGTCTAAGGGGTTGTGAGGAAGTCAGGGTGAAAGGTCTCAGGACCACTTCTAGGAACACTTGTTCTAGTGCACTGTAAAATTAGAAAGACTCAAAACACCATGATTGTGTAATGAAACCATGAAAAGTAGTGCATCTAACCTGAGAGCTGTTGTTTGGAGGTTGTTTGAATGTAAACCCACCAACATGTACTTAAAGAGATTCTCCGGTACTTTTGTATACGTTTTAGCCAGTAGGTCTGAAAGTAGTGCTCACGAGCCAAAAGTGGTCCCCGAAAATTGCATACCATGTCACATATGTGCAGATACAGTTGAAGTCGGAAGTTTACATACACTTAGGTTGGAGTCATTAAAACTCGTTTTTCAACCACTCCACACATTTCTTGTTAACAAACTATAGTTTTGGCAAGTCGGTTAGGACATCTACTTTGTGCATTTTTCCAACAATTGTTTACAGACAGATTATTTCACTTATAATTCACTGTATCACAATTCCACTGGGTCAGAAGTTTACATACACTAAGTTGACTGTGCCTTTAAACAGCTTGGAAAATTCCAGAAAATTATGTCATGGCTTTAGAAGCTTCTGATAGGCTAATTTACATCATTTGAGTCAATTGGAGGTGTACCTGTGGATGTCTTTCAAGACCTACCTTCAAACCCAGTGCCTCTTTGCTTGACATCATGGGAAAATCAAAAGAAATCAGCCAAGACCTCAGAAAAAAAGTTGTAGACCTCCACAAGTCTCGTTCATCCTTGGGAGCAATTTCCAAATGCCTGAAGGTACCACATTCATCTGTACAAACAATAGTACGCAAGTATAAACACCATGGGACCACGCAGCCATCATACCGCTCAGGAAGGAGACGCGTTCTGTCTCCTAGAGATGAACGTACTTTGGTGCAAAAAGTGCAAATCAATCCCAGAACAACAGCAAAGGACTTTGTGAAGATGCTGGAGGAAACAGGTACAAAAGTATCTATATCCACAGTAAAACGAGTCCTATATCGACATAACCCGAAAGGCCACTCAGCAAGGAAGAAGCCACTGCTCCAAAACAGCCATAAAAAAGCCAGACTATGGTTTGCAACTGCACATGGGGACAAAGATCTTACTTTTTGGAGAAATGTCCTCTGGTCAGATGAAACAAAAATAGAACTGTTTGGCCATAATGACCATCGTTATGTTTGGAGGAAAAAGGGGGTCGGCTTGCAAGCCGAAGAACACCATCCCAACCGTGAAGCACAGGGATGGCAGCATCATGCTGTGGGGGTGTTTTGCTGCAGGAGGGACTGGTGCACTTCACAAAATAGATGGCATCATGAGGAAGGAAAATTATGTGGATATATTGAAGCAATATCTCAAGACATCAGTCAGGAAGTTAAAGCTTGGTCGGAAATGGGTTTTCCAAATGGACAATGACCCCAAGCATACTTCCGAAGTTGTGGCAAAATGGCTTAAGGACAACAAAGTCAAGGTATTGGAGTGGCCATCACAAAGCCCTGACCTCCATCCTATAGAACATTTGTGGGAAGGACTGAAAAAGCGTGTGCGAGCAAGGAGGCCTACAAACCTGACTCAGTTACACCAGCTCTGTCAGGAGGAATGGGCCAAAATTCACCCAACTTATTGTTGTGGAAGGCTACCCAAAACATTTGACCCAAGTTAAACAATTTAAAGGCAATGCTACCAAATACTAATTGAGTGTATGTAAACTTCTGACCCACTGGGAATGTGATAAAATAAATAAAAGCTGAAAGAAATAATTCTCTCTACTATTATTCTGACATTTCACATTCTTAAAATAAAGTGGTGATCCTAACTGACCTAAAACAGGGAATAAAACTGAGTTTAAATGTATTTGGCTAAGGTGTATGTAAACTTCAGACTTCAACTGTATGTGCACCACATCATTGCTCTCTCGCTCACTCTGCTGTGTATGTATCTTGCTAGCTGTCACTGAAATGGCGAGCGGCTGAAGCTCATTGGCTACAACTACAATTGCTAGGTGGCTGGCGCACGTGAGGGAAAATATAGGGAAAATGGCGCAGAACAGCTTCCAAAAAAAAAACGTCACTTTCAAACTAGGGATTTCATGGCTAATTGAGGAAAAACAGTAATTCTGCTCATAGATTATGCATGTATGAACTACACATTGACACATCCAGCCCAAAGCGGAAGGTTGAAAAAATATTTACTAATAATTAATTCAAGTCATTTAAATGATTTGTTAATATAATTTTACCAATTAAAATAAATAAATAACTTAATATCTTTCTCAAAATGTAAGTATATTTATTTATGAGGATAAACAAAGATAGAGAACATTTAGTGATTTAAATAATTAGAAGTCTGGTTTTAATCTCCTTGCACTTCCTATCTTGCCAAGTGCCTCTGTTTTTAGAGGATTGTGGGTAATTCACATTTTTACACAATGTTGTATGCACGTTTTAAGAAAGAAAAGTATACTTCTATATTAGTATTAAGCAGCTTGTTGTGTCATGAGGTGTAATGGATGATTAACGGAAATCAAAACCATTAGGCAAAATGACGATCAATAATGAGATGGCCCATTCCCACATTTCCAATTTCTGATGGTAAAGTAAAATACAGTATCCTGCAATGCTTGTTTTAAAACCTCCAGCTACTGCTGGTGAATTGAGCACTGTGATCAACAATGCCTGTCAAAATGGGTTAAACTGGTAAATGATCAGATACCTTCTTCGGGAGTATTTTAATTGATGTATGTATCTAATTCTGCACTAGACAGGATTCGAAACACCATAATAGTGTTTTGACGCTTTAGAGAGAGGAATCGACACCAAAAGAGAAGGGATCTAATTCTGCACTAAACAGAAATTGAAATACCAACATAGTGTTTTCAACCTTTTCTGGTAGCACTCCCAGTCCCTGGCAAGGTGTTGCACAACACTTGATGATGTGTTTCAATATATCTGCAAAGTTAAAGGGATACTTCTGGATTTTGACAATGAAGCCCTTCATCTACAGTACTTCCCCAGAGTTAGATGAACTCATGGATACCATTTTTATGTCTCTGTATCCAGTATGAAGGAAGTTAGAGGTAGTTTGCGAGCCAATGCTAACTAGTAGTAGACGCATTGACTGGAAGTCTATGGTATCTACTAGCATGCTAGCAGTTACCATAGACTTCCAGTCATTGTGCTAATACTAGGTAGCAATTGCGCTAACGCTAGTTAGCAACTTATTTCAAACTGCACGCAGAGACAAAAATGGTATCCACAAGCTCATCTGACTGTGGGGAAGTAGATAAAGGGCTTCATTGCCAAAATCCTGAAGTATCCCTTTAAGGTTTGGTCTCCTTTGAGTGAGTGGCTGCTCAGTTGCCACTAGTTTTGGTGTTACAAAGCACTTAATTTTAACAGTGTGGTTGGTTGCAGACAGTGCCTCACGTTGCTATATAATAGGCCTACCCACCCATTGTAGTTACGCAAAATCAGATTTGGTTTGCATCAGTGGTTTATGTGGGACAATCTCATAATATTTCAGCCAGGTTATATCTTGTGACCCAGTCTCCAGTACATTGAAGGGGGGCGGAGATGAGATGGCAGACACATGCACACACACCCTCTCAGAATGCCAGCAATCCAGGGGTGTGTGAGCTGTGAGGGGGATCGAAATAGCTTGTACAAGGCAGGTGTCACTTTCAGCCCCGCCATTCTCGGACACTTACCCCTGACCTTTCAATGGAAAACCACAGTTGACATCAGCCCAATCTGGTTTCAATGAAATAGGTCATCTCTGAGGCTCCACCTGACTCCTCCCCTTATTGCTCCTTTTGGCATTATTCCTCTAAAATCAATCTGATCGTCTGCAGGGCTCTCCTTTTCATTGACAGGATAATATTGCAAAATATATGTTATTTAAACCATCGAATTTCAGTGTAGGCTGATAGATAGGAAGTGTCCTTCTCTCATAAATGACCAATTGTCTAATTCACACCTCTATTCTTAAAATGATGGTTGCTGCCCTCGTATTTGGCAGTAAATTGTGCATCACAGTGTATGCATCAACTGCCACCTTGTGATCAATGGAAACCATCACACCATCATTATACCCCAAGGCATTATATAAAAACCTCAGTGTATCTAGATTTCTGTAGTTTTCCACTGCCTCTCAACACTTGGCATCTGTCTGCAATGGCGGTTCGCAATTCAATCAATCAATCAAATGTATTTATAAAGCCCTTTTCACATCAGCAGATGTCACAAAGTGCTATACAGAAACCCAGCCTAAAACCCCAAACAGCAAGCAATGCAGATGTATAAGCACGGTGGCTAGGAAAAACTCCATAGAAAGGCAGAAACATAGGAAGAAACCTAGAGAGGATCCAGGCTCTGAGGGGTGGCCAGTCCCCTTCTGGCTGTGTCGGGTGGAGATTATAACAATTGAGAAGGATGGGAACATAGGCTACTGAGTTATTGTTGGGCATCTCACACTCACAAGCGTGGAACACATGATGAAACTTGTGATCCTGCGTGTGAGTAGTCAGGGGGTTTGGGGGTCACCTCCCCCTGAAAACCCTTAAAAAGACTGGACTCCTGGGATATAGGATATAGATCGATCCAGTCACGTGGGTCTTCATTACACTACTGTATGCAGCCCTGAGAGGAGAAAAGCTGGGATAAAGAAGTGGGGCAGTGCAAAAAGTGTGGGTGGTGGGGGGCATGGAAAACCCCCTATTAATAAATGGGTTCTGTAGTTAACTGAACTCTGAAACCTTTTGAGTGAAAGCTGCCATCCTATGTGGGATGTTAGGGAAGTAAGTAAGTAGCCTTGTTTGAGCTATATAGGGCAGGATTATATCTCCTATTTCTGTAGCTTTAGGCTGCTTGATGTACAAGTACACCCTAGTCGTAAAGAGAATCTCCAAAAGAGCTTGCTTTATCAAGGTCATTAGGCCACGGCATCAGCTACCGATACACTTGTGGCTGTTATTTTCCACTGTTAGATGTGGTATCTTATATCACTACCCCCTGACACTGGAAACCCTTGCCAATCTCAGGTTCTCTGCCAATGGCTCTAACTTGATTTTGACTAGATGGGATGCAGCTAATGTCAGAAGTGACTTTTCGTAGCAGGTTAGGAGAACTTACGCAGCAGGTTTGGAGAATTAGGCTAAGGTTAAGAAAAGAGTTAGGGTTAACTAAAATGCTAAAATTCTCCCAGAAGCGACTTGAACAAGCAACTTTTGATGTCACTTTGACATTAACTGCATCCCTTCTAGCCACGACCCTCTAACTCATGTCAAACTCATTCCACGGAGGGCCGAGTGTCTGCGAGTTTTTGCTCCACCTTCGTACTTGATTGATCAATTAAGGTCACTAATTAGTAAGGAACTCCCCTCACCTGGTTGTCTAGGTGTAACACCCCTGCTCTAACTCTTCAGAGAAATGACGAGTGAATGGAAGGTAAAGGGAAAACGCAAAGATCAGGAGGAAGGCGTATCCACTTGCATTTCCAAGAGTGATCATGAGGTTTATGTCTTGTGCTATAGTATAAGATTATCGTGGCTTCCATCTTGTAGGCTATTACTCAACACAGTGACCAACACTCCACTCCACCAACGTGTGAGATGTGACAGTAAGGCTCTGTGAGTCATGCTTTGTGTAGGCCTATAGTGCATTCGGAAAGTATTCAGACCCCTTGACTTTTTCCACATTTTGTTATGTTTTCCTCATCAATCTACACACAATACCCCATAATGACAAAGCAAAAACAGGTTTTTAGACATTTTTGCTAATTTATAAAAAATAAAAAACGGAAATATCACATTTACATAAGTATTCAGACCTTTTACTCAGTACTTTGTTGAAGCACCTTTGGCAGCGATTACAGCCTCGAGTCTTCTTGGGTATGACGTTACAAACTTGGCACACCTGTATTTGGGGATTTTCTCCCATTCTTCTCTGCAGATCCTCTCAAGCTCTGTCTGGTTGGATGGGGAGCGTCGCTGCACAGCTATTTTCAGGTCTCTCCAGAGATGTTCGATCAGGTTCAAGTCCGGGCTCTGGCTGGGCCACTCAAGGACATTGAGAGACTTGTCCCAAAGCCACTCCTGCATTGTCTTGGCTGTGTGCTTAGGGTCGTTGTCCTGTTGGAAGTTGAACCTTCGACCCAGTCTGAGGTCCTGAGCACTCTGGAGCAGGTTTTCATTAAGGATCTCTCTGTACTTTGCTCCGTTCATCTTTCCCTCGATCCTGACTAGTCTCCCAGTCCATGCTGCTGAAAAACATCCCCACAGCATGATGCTGCCACCACCATGCTTCACCGTAGGGATGGTGCCAGGTTTCCTCCAGACGTGACGCTTGCCATTCAGGCCAGAGAGTTCAATCTTGGTTTCATCAGACCAGAGAATCTTGTTTCTCATGGATTGAGAGTCCTTTAAGTGCCTTTTGGCAAACTCTAAGCAGGCTGTCATGTGCCTTTTACTGAGGAGTGGCTTCCGTCTAGCCACTCTACCATAAAGGCCTGATTGGTGGAGTGCTGCAGAGATGGTTGTCCTTCTGGAAGGTTCTCCCATCTCCACAGAGGAACTCTGGAGCGCTGTCAGAGTGACCATCGGGTTCTTGGTCACCTCCCTGACCAAGGCCCTTCTCCCCCGATTGCTCAATTTGGCCGGGCAGCCAGCTCTAGGTAGAGTCTTGGTGATTCCAATCTTCTTCCATTTAAGAATGATGGAGGCCACTGTGTTCTTGGGGACCTTCAATGCTGCAGACATTTTTTGGTACACTTCCCCAGATATGTGCCTCAATACAATCCTGTCTCGGAGCTCTACGGACAGTTCCTTTGACCTCATGGCTTGGTTTTTGCTCTGACATGCACTGTCAACTGTGAGACCTTATATAGACAGGTGTCTGCCTTTCCAAATCATGTCCAATCAATTGAATGTACCACAGGTGGACTCCAATCAAGTTGTAGAAACATCTCAAGGATGATAAGTTTAGTTTTAAACTAATATTTAAAACTCCTTGCACACAGAACACCCAGCTGGTGACGGTGATAACTGAGTAGAACAATACTTCTCAATTTCGAGTCTCATAGCAAAGTGTCTGAATACTTATGTAAATAAGGTATTTCTGTTTTTTATTTTTAATACATTTGTAAAAATGTCTAAAAACCTTTTTATGGGGAATTGTGTGTAGATTGATGAGAAAAAATAAATAATTTAATCCATTTTAGAATAAGGCTGTAACGTAACAAAATGTAGAAAAAGGGAAGGGGTCTGAATACTTTCTGAATGCACTGTATGTCTTGTGTTCTACAAAACACTAACATAAGATCATGCTGATCAAATGTATATTTACATTTATCTTTACAATAAGATCATGAGTGTCTTCATTGCAGTGCCATTGGTTAACAGTCATGTTATATCTTTGCTTTCAGTATGGAGGATTCTGACTACTTTGCACAGTTCCCAGAGAAGGGTGAAGGTAAAGCAGGACTGCTGCATATGAGTATCACACAGAGTTATTACAAAGTTGTAAAAGGATGAAACATAAAAGCGAGTAAGGAGACATTTTTAGATCCTTATATTCACTTTTTCAATCATACCAGGCGACCTCTCAGGCCAGTCCAATACATCCAATGTATGTTAATAGAGTTTTTTAGAGTTAATAGAGTTTTACATGAAACACAGTAAGTGTATATTTAGAATAATGGGTCGGTGTGATTGACTTTTGACCTTTGTTTTTGAAGATGAACCGGTGACTAAGCCAGTGCCAGATATGGTGAAGCCCAGTCCTGAGTGCCCAGTCATTCTTCAACCAGAGCTTGACTTAGAGGTAAGGGTGGAATAACTCATCAGTATTTCTTACCAGTTATCTTTGAACTTGTATATATTTATACTACATTCTCTATGTTGTACATTTCATCCTGATCCATTTAGGGATGACACACTCTCGGTTGTAAAAGTGTAGAGGAGCACTTTGTGTACAGTTAAAGGAATGCCATTGGATATGCACATCTTAGGCCTCCTACGTGTTTGGAACAGTTTGTCATCGTGAGGATGAGGATATAGTGGGGCACACACCATCAAAGGCATTGTTGTGATAACGTTAGTACAATGTTGCTACTAGTATAATAACAGGGTTACCGTACAGTTACAGCAACTTAATATGAAGTGTAAACCGGTAGATACAGTATAACGGAACTGCAGAAATGATTTGTAAGAATGGTCATAAACATGTGCATGCCTATTTCATCAGCTAATTGAATGGAATGGCAATATGGGTATGAATGAATGTGGCACATAGCTAGCAGAGCCATAGATGTATGAATATGTAGTTAATGCCTTCCCCTCAGCAGAAATGAAATCATAAACTTCACTGCAATTTTCATGCATATAATCTCATGCATGTTTAGCTATCCCGGAGTGTGTTGGTTCATGTTACAGTTGAATGTTCCAGGTTAAATAACTAGGCCTATGTTATTTTATAAAATGATGGCTGAATCCTAACTTGAGAGCTGTACTTCCAACTAAAACTTTCACATAAATCTCCCATTGACATCAATGCATGAAAGTGCAAGTTCATTAGATCTTAGGTTTCAGCCAATATTGGATTTATCATTCATTAGGGCATAACATTATTATATTCGAATAGTTCTTAATTTTGCATGCGACAACAAGTAGTGGAAAATATGTTCTGTTACTAAATATGGGCGAATTGACTAAAAAAGTTCATTTCAAACTCTAATATATTTTTTTCTCCAATGACAATTAATTTCACAGCTCATTGAAGCTTCAGCCACAACTTAGGTAATGTGCACGCTGATGGCCACAAACTGCATGAGCTGTTTTCGCTACTTGTATCATTTGTCTTTCAGTTCTTATTAGGGTTGAATGGTGGGAACCCGGTTACCGAGATTTACCGGAATTTACCACTCAAAACCACTCCCTTTTTGCAGGATAAATAACTGGGATAAATAACTGTGAGAAACCGGTAAATTATAAGAAAGTATTTATAGGAACAGCATAGCGTGAAATGGAACTGTTAAATTACAGTGGGGAGAACAAGTATTTGATACACTGCCGATTTTGCAGGTTTTCCTACTTATAAAGCATGTAGAGGTCTGTCATTGTTATCATAGGTACACTTCAACTGTGAGAGAAGGAATCTAAAACAAAAATCCAGAAAATCACATTGTATGATCTTTAAGTAATTAATTTGCATTTTATTGCATGACATAAGTATTTGATACATCAGAAAAGCAGAACTTAATATTTGGAACAGAAACCTTTGTTTGCAATTACAGAGATCATACGTTTCCTGTAGGTCTTGACCAGGTTTGCACACACTGCAGCAGGGATTTTGGCCCACTCCTCCATACAGACCTTCTCCAGATCCTTCAGGTTTCGGGGCTGTCGCTGGGCAATACGGACTTTCAGCTCCCTCCAAAGATTTTGTATTGGGTTCAGGTCTGGAGACTGGCTAGGCCACTCCAGGACCTTGAGATGCTTCTTACGGAGCCACTCCTTAGTTGCCCTGGCTGTGTGTTTCGGGTTGTTGTCATGCTGGAAGACCCAGCCACGACCCATCTTCAATGCTCTTACTGAGGGAAGGAGGTTGTTGGCCAAGATCTCGCGATACATGACCCCATCCATCCTCCCCTCAATACGGTGCAGTCGTGTCCTGTCCCCTTTGCAGAAAAGCATCCCCAAAGAATGAGGTTTCCACCTCCATGCTTCACGGTTGGGATGGTGTTCTTGGGGTTGTACTCATCCTTCTTCTTCCTCCAAACACGGCGAGTGGAGTTTAGACCACAAAGCTCTATTTTAGTCTCATCAGACCACATGACCTTCTCCCATTCCTCCTCTGGATCATCCAGATGGTCATTGGCAAACTTCAGACGGGCCTGGACATGCGCTGGCTTGAGCAGAGGGACCTTGCGTGCGCTGCAGGATTTTAATCCATGACGGCGTAGTGTGTTACTAATGGTTTTCTTTGAGACTGTGGTCCCAGCTCTCTTCAGGTCATTGACCAGGTCCTGCCGTGTAGTTCTGGGCTGATCCCTCACCTTCCTCATGATCATTGATGCCCCACGAGGTGAGATCTTGCATGGAGCCCCAGACCGAGGGTGATTGACCGTCATCTTGAACTTCTTCCATTTTCTAATAATTGTGCCAACAGTTGTTGCCTTCTCACCAAGCTGCTTGCCTATTGACCTGTAGCCCATCCCAGCCTTGTGCAGGTCTACAATTTTATCCCTGATGTCCTTACACAGCTCTCTGGTCTTGGCCATTGTGGAGAGGTTGGAGTCTGTTTGATTGAGTGTGTGGACAGGTCTTTTATACAGGTAACGAGTTCAAACAGGTGCAGTTAATACAGGTAATGAGTGGAGAACAGGAGGGCTTCTTAAAGACAAACTAACAGGTCTGTAAGAGCCGGAATTCTTACTGGTTGGTAGATGATCAAATACTTATGTCATGCAATAAAATGCAAATTAATTACTTAAAAATCATACAATGTGATTTGCTGGATTTTTGTTTTAGATTCCGTCTCTCACAGTTGAAGTGTACCTATGATAAAAATTACAGACCTCTACAAGTAGGAAAACCTGCAAAATCGGCAGTGTATCAAATACTTGTTCTCCCCACTGTATGTGTCAGCCTACTAATTATACAAATAGGCCCTATTATATTTCAAAATTAAAATCAAATTAGCTAGTCTATACTTGTAACTTTGTATGCCGCATGTGCTGCACCAGAATCGCATGTTCTTTTCTGCTTTATCATGGTTTGAACAATGTGCGTAATTCCAGTCCATATAATACAGTATAATACAGTACAGTAATACAGTTCACACTCAAAAAGACTAGCCTACTGGAGCTAGTTTCTTTATTTACCCAAGAGAGCATATAGCTATCTATATCTATGGGTTTTTCTGTTGTGCGTAATGTGCAGTAGCCTATATCATATACAGTATGTATTGAATAATGGCACAATCATTTGGGCATTTTTGGGCTTGGGCTCATTAAAGGTTGTTAATATAGGGCTCATAAAATGTATTTAATATATGGCTCATCAGGGTCAGGTAGCATCAGGTTTGAATTTTCATGCTGGTCAAAGCTCTAATCAAATCCAGACATATTTATATGCTTTAAAATGCTTTTAATTACACTTCCGGATTTGGCGGGAAATACTGGGTTACCTGGGAGAAAAGTGATTTATTCTCGGGATGGAACATTTGTAAAATACCGGGAAAATATTCAACCCTAGTTCTTATTCACCATGTGTGCATGATTTTGCATCGGAGTTTGAGCGTTTCATCATTAACCACCTATTTCTCAAGACTGTAGTTTTAAAATAACACAAATGTCTCAGTCATGACAGACGATCTTCCTGTAGCAGTAGCCATTCTATTGTAGTATAACAGTAGCCTACCAGTGGAGGCTGCTGAGGGGAGGACGGCTGATAATAATGGCTGGAATAGAGTTGATGGAATGGTATCAAACACAGTTTTCATGTGTTTGATACCATTCCATTCACTCCATTCCAGCCAGAACACTCCGTTCCAGCCCTCAGCAGCCTCCACTGTAGCCTACATACAATACATTTACTGATATTCTTCTAAAGAATATAAATCTAAGGGTATCATGCCTTAGTAATTTGAATTAACAAATTATCCATCTACTTGGTATGGATGTTTCAATGAGTGTCATGTGAGCGTTTACTTAATCTAAAACATATGGTTTTATCTATACCGTCTGTATATGTGTGTGCGTGTTTCTTTAGAAGCCATTTATTTAATGTTTCATCCTTGTCATCCACTGTCCTCCTAATGAACAATTGCCATATTTTAATGTCTTGAAGATCATTAATAGTGTTTGGGGGGAGGGGGAAGGGGGAAGGGGGAGAGAGTTGCTCAGTCTTCCATTGAGGGTAAGTGTAATTGATAATTTTGTGCCATTTATTTTGGGTGAACAGATAGTATTTATTTTGGATGGACTTATTTGCTTTGGATTTCAGAATAACACATAATTATGTTGGATTTTAGATTGATAGATAATTATTTTGGATGTTGATTGCTGTCAGTATATTTTGTCTCCTACATAAATGCATGGGTCATGTAAACATAAATCTGACCTTTTATGATATGTCCTCCACAATGTTTTATAACATCAGCATAGATTCCAAACTTTCAGTATGCATTGAGTTGCTTTTTCTCTGTGGTGATATTAGTGTGCAACACAATTCGTGACTAGTCCCTGTGCCTCAAAGCTAGCCTGGTACCAGATCTACAGTATTTGTGCTGTATATCTAACTCCTAGGTTCTTTGTCATGTCAAACAATGACCTTAGGAGTTGGCTGCACAGCACAAACAGATCTGGGAGCTCCCATGGCCGTCACTGTAATTTCTTTATTTTTGTGTTATTCATACAGACTGCCGATGACATAACCAGTTCTCCTCTCCCAGCCAACCTAGACCTTCCATTAGCAGATGGAACACTGTCCAGTGCCACTGTATCCATGGGTAAACAATCACCTCATGTGTCTTCCACATCCACAACACAAGCCAATGAAGTGTTATCCATACCTGTAGCATCCGAAGCCAACCAACTGACAACTGAACCAGAGCCTTCACGGGAACTGGACTGTGAATTACTAAAACTGGATTGTGAAATATCGAAACTGGACTTTGAATTAAAAGAACATGTTCCAACACCACTCAACATCAGCATTGCTGAAGCATCAGATGACAAGGAGGAGGAGGAAAAGGGAGGAACCTTCCAGGAGGAGCCCAAAGATAGTAGTCCACCCACACCTCTGCATGTTCCTTCACCTCTCCCCAGCAATATGGATGAAGTCTCAGATGGTGAGAAAGAGAAGGAGGAGGATAGTAGTCCCTCTACAAACCTGCACATTCTAACACCACCTCATGTCAGCATTGCTGAAGCATCAAATGACGAGAATGAGGAAAAGGGAGGAACCTTCCAGGAGGAGCCCAAAGATAGTAGTTCCTCCACACCTCTGAGCTCGTCTCCAACACTTCTCCACAGCAGCATGACTGAAGCCTCAGATGTTGATGAGGAGGAAAAAGAGGAGGAGGAGGAGGGAGGAACCTTCACTCTGAAACACACACAACCACACACCGAACTTGACCCACCTCACACGGAGATCCAAGCCAACGTGCCTTCTTCACTGGAAGATGTTTTATATCAGAGTGTGCTTTCCGCAACACCGGATGTAGTGGTGGGGGAGTTGGTGGAGGAGGAGGAGGAGAATGTAGAGGAAAAGGAGGTGGAGAAGGAGGTGCCGGAGCAGGGGTCAAAGGTGGAGGTGGATCCAAGGCAGGAAGCAGAGAAAGATGCTGAGGAGGAAAACGAGAAGTCCTTCAGAATTCAGGAGCCAAGCACCAGCTCCTCAAGTTGCCTAGAACATCCCTCAGACCCCACCCACTGTGAGCTCAGCAGAGCTGAGGACGGTACCAAATCCCAGATAAAGGTTTCCGCTAAGGCCTCCCCATCTCTCCCTGAAGAGTCTGATGATAATCAGCTGACATTAATGGATGACGGCATGGCCAGAGAAGATGGAGTCCTGATGATAGAGGCTGTAGGGCCCAAGCTAGAGAGCTCCCAGGCAGGTGGCGAAGTAGGTGTAGGTGTAGTAGCCACCTGTCCGTGGCACCCTCCCATGGTGACCGTGACACACCTTGGACCCACAGGAGAGGACAGAATGACCAGCCACACTGCTGAGCCGCCCAATGACGTCTCACAGATGTCCCCCCTTGCATCTCACCAGCGCTTCAAGCGAGGGGTGGCAGCCGGACTGAGCGAGCTGGCAGCTGTGCTCTCTGAGGACTCAGGCGGCTCTAAGCAGCAGGATGACATCACTGCTAGTGCACACACCTCTCCTGGGTTGGAGAGCCAGTCACCTCTGGGAGTTCAGCGCAAAACCGTTTATTTAGCAGTCACAGAGAACATCTCAGAGTCATCCATGACCATCACCCAAGATGGTACTAGCAGTTCAAATGAGGAAGACGCTATTATGGCGGACGAAGAGGAGGAGTCTTTCCGGGTTTCCTCAGAAACAGGTCTACCAAGCAGATCATCAGAGGCTCAGATCACCAAGCCCCTAACCCCCCAGGCTGAACCGACCCTGGACAGGACTCTGATCCCATCCATCGTGTTCCTGAGTGTGGCCATTGGCCTCGTCGTCGGGCTTCACGAACCCAGCACCTTCCTCTTCATGGGACTATTCTTTGTCTCCCTCTGTTTCTGAGGGGTTCCTCCTTTCGTGTGAAGTGACTTAACCCCTTTTTAAGTGCCTTTTCATGTTTCCAAACAAACTTGTATTATGAGCACAATTGGTTCCTGGTGTTTTATTTTTAAATGTGTGCCTGTGGAAGTGTGTATATGTCTGTATGTTATCACAAAAGAGAAGGGATCTTGTTCGTTAAAAGTAGCGAGAAGTTCATTGAATTTGCAGTGTTTCATGCCAAGAGTTAGATAGTCAAAAAACTGTTTAAGTTTGTTAAAACATAACCATGCAATACATAGGCCTAATTTTGTTCTTAAAGGGTTCGAGTAAGATTTTGTGTATAAAACATGGAAATCCAAAGAATTGTTGAGAAGTGTGACTGTTGGCTGTTTGGAATCGGAATGTATATATGTTCTAGATTGGGCTGGGAGACTGAAACTGGTGAAGCAGTAAGGTTGTAAGGTAAACACAGGTTCCTTGGGTAAGGACAGTAGCTACTAGATAAAGTATGTTCATATGACTGCCTAATGCAAAATGTTGTCATTTGTGCTCTGAGAATTGCCAGTCCTCACATTGTAGAATAGTGGTGTGCTGTGGTAATCATTTTACAGTAGAATACTGTTGTTGCTATCAAATGGTAGTTCATGCAAGTTAAAGCCTACACAGTTTCACCATTTAGCTAGCTAAATCGACAGAAATTTGACTGACTGAGTTTTAACAACTGTTCACTGTGATGATACCTGAAAGAATATTTGAAGTGATTTATGTGTTTGTAATGTGTGTATGTCTGGGTGTGGTGTGTTATGGTGCCCATAAAGTCTGATTAATAAACGATGTGCTGGTCTTTCTTTCTTTCATCTCTCTCTCTCTTTCTTTCTTTCTGTTCTAATTCATGTGATTCTAAATACTGACACGCAAAATCACAGCTGTACTCATTTTGAGGTAAGCCTCTTTCATCCACAGTCACAAGACAAATTACTTTACTGCTAAAAATCTACCACACATAAAGTTATGTGACAAATGTTAAAGATACTTTTTGATATAGTATAAGACTATAGTATAACAATAGTACGTTTTATCAGCCTCTTCAAGGCGCTGATTTCCTGGTGTTTTTAGTGTTTTGTGTCCAACAATGAAAATTCACAAGAAACGTTTTTAATATTAATTTTAAAAAATTGCTCAGAATACTTGGGGAGCAAAATAAAACCCCACCAGCGGGCCAAATTCGGTCCACGGGCTGCCAGTTGGGGAACCCTGCTCTAGCTGATTGGCCAGCTAGAACAGAGGGTGGTCACACAGTGTCTCAGGCCTGGATCAAATGGAAATATCCCCAGGCAACATGTGCTGCTGATATTACTGAAAAGGTCATGCATTGCAGTGAAGTCACGGTGTCAAGCTACAGAGGCCAGAGCCGCCATTGTAAACTGAGATCAGTGTTTAAAGGCCGATAATTCGCCAGGGAAGCCCCTCAGCGAATGTTGTTGTTGACTACACAGACAAAAGTGATGGCAGACTTGTCCCTTTTTGGCTTGTAAACATACAGTATTTTTGTGCAGCTATAAATGATCTCATCTTTAAGTTATTTGAATTGTAATATTATTATTATTATTTAATTTTTTTGTCATTTAGCAGACGCTCTTATCCAGAGCGATTTACAGGAGCAATTAGGGTTAAGTGCCTTGTTCAAGGACACATCGACAGATTTTTCACCTAGTCAGCTCGGGGATTAGAACCATATAGTTCAGTATTGATTATGGCCACAATGCAATTCCACTCCGAAGTCATGACGTTTGATCTTTCACACATATAAGGGAAAATCATGATTTGATAGGGATTAGCCCCCCCCATCCAAGAAATACCAAACATGTATTCATCACATTTTTCAGGTGTTTATTTATATGATGTTGAATTTATCGCTTTGTATTTAATATAATCAGTTCTCTCTCTCTATCTCTCTAGCTCTCTCCTACGAATAGAACCGACGAACTCCGCGAATAGGCGCGCAGCATCCACACAAGCAGCCATTTAATTGAGATTACTTTAAAATAATTAATTTAAACACTCAGCCTTTTTTTGTTTGACCGTAATGCGATAGAAATTCCAATAATTATCATTTTCAATATGCCAAATCAAATGCGGTCCGCTAGAATTAGGCAGACAAATGCAATGTGGACCTTCACCTGACAACAAAAACAGACTGGCTGCAAATGACTGGGTTAATAAATGCACAGCGTTTACTTCTAAATAATGAAAATAGAGATTAATCGAGGTTATTTTGAAGACGGGTGGATGGATATGCGTCAACAAGGATCGTCGAGACGTTCGTCAAAGGAAACTCGATATTTCACCGCTATGAAAATCTTAGATTTGGATCTGACGATATAGAGGAAGATAGATCGTATTGCAGGCTATATAGAAGCTAGCCGCCTACGTGATGTAACCTCTCCTAAATTGTCTTTAGACTCTCTATTTACCTCCGACATGACAATACATCCGAGGATCGTGCAAATTACATGAAATGAAGGACACGAAAATTGGAAGCATCCTCTGTCTGTATGAAACTTATGTTTAAGATGCTCAGTGAACATTAGGCTACCTGTGGCCGAATTGTGTCATCACTCAGAGGACAGACATAGCCTATCTTGAGTGTGGTGGTTTCAATATTGACTGGAGAATGTGTTAATATCAGTGTCAGTGCCGCCTCTCTGACTGAGGTTTCCCGCATCTTTACATATCCCAGAAATCGAAGGTAAGTTATTTCTGTATATGAACCAAATTACCAAATGGAACATGATGATGCACCTGTTTATATATGTTTACCATGCTGGATGCTCACAGGACATTACTTAAAACAGATAAAAAGTCAATGCATTGATGAAGTGATTTGAGTTCATGCAGAAATATGTTTCTTATCAAAGCTAGTCATTAGTAGCAAGGCCTATGATTAAGATTGCATAAATCCACAGTCTTATTTGGGATGAAAGCAGTATTGCAATAATCTTCCATTTATTTAGGCCTCCCTGCAGTCTCAGCTCCAACAACAGGTGCGTTCTTATCATTATATGAGTTGCCTGGGCGCGGCGCTGTTCAGTGGCAGTGGTGCTGATAAATCTGCAAACAGTCCTTTGTTTTAGTTCGCGCTGGTGTGGCGCTGTCCATGGTGCTGAATGTTTGCCAATGCATTCCCGAAGGCTATTTAGTTAGATTTCTTTATTGTATCTGCGGCTTCTACAATGAAGTTACAACATGTTTGGGTTGTGGTATTCTAATGTGCAGATGCAAATGATATAGTTTCCTCTTCAATGCCCTGCATGAGATGTAGACATTTCCTTGCTACGTTTAGGCCTACATTATTCACTGAGGCATGGCCTGTGTATTCAAAAATTAGGGAATTATTAATATTATATGAAGTCAACAGGTGAATCAATCACTCTCATATATACTCATAGACACACATCTGCCTCCCAACTCCTTTGTTCCGCGATCCATTTTTAGTACAAACACTATTTTGACATTTAGAATGTCTTAATTTATCTGATTGGTTGTGCTCTGCTTCATCCCATATACACCCCCAAGCACGCACTCAAACACCCACACTCCTTCACAAAGTATGTCAGCTGTTGTATCTTAGCAACGGGCAAGGTAATTATTGAGAGCGCCAAGGAGCTGGCATGCTGGAGAACTGCTGATCTGATCCCAGCAATAGAAAGACAGGAAGGTGGAGATATCGTCACTGTTGCCCAACATGTTTCTGGAAGCCATGTTTTTGTTTTCTTTGTTGTTTTTATGGATCCAAATCGATCTGACAAAGGTATGAGCCAAGGCTGCCTGTTTTGCAGATGGTTGTTCTCTGGTAAATGGATAAATATGCTAGCTATGTCCTCCTGCAGTGAGTGTCAACACACTGTCTTCTGTTTCTTTGTTCACAGGTGTTAAATGTAATGGAGACAAATGAGCCTGTTATGTAGAATGGATCCTCACATCTCCCAGTAAGAGGCAGGACAGAGGGAGGAAAACCTCAGGAGGGACGATAGGAGGGCTGCCGTGCCAGAGGCGGAAGAGTGGCGTCGGTCGGAGCAAGAGAGGGGGTAGAATCACCCTAGCATCCCTACCCCTAGAATCATAGAGTTGAAGGCATGTCTAACCAGACCCAGATCTTTGGCATTGATGGCCCAGGGAGCCTGCTGGCAGTGTTGGCCTCACAGAGGGCCAGCAGCATCAGCGGCACCAGCAGTGAAGGAATCTCGGCTGCGGCCGTGTCCGCCTACGTCAAGTTGGTGTTCCTGGGCCTGATCCTCTGTGTCAGCCTAGCAGGCAACCTGCTGGTGTCTCTGCTGGTCCTCCGAGACCGGGCCCTCCACAAGGCCCCCTACTTCTTCCTGCTGGACCTTTGCCTAGCTGATGTCGTCCGGTCTGCTGCCTGCTTCCCCTTCGTCCTGGTGTCTGTCCACAACAGCTCGGCGTGGACCTACAGCGCCTTCAGCTGCAAACTGGTGGCCTTCCTAGCTGTGCTCTTCTGTTTTCACGCTGCCTTCATGCTGTTCTGTGTGGCTGTGACCCGCTACCTGGCCATCGCCCACCACCGCTTCTACGCCAAACGCATGACGGTCTGGACCTGCGCTGCCATCATCTGCATGGTCTGGACTTTGGCCATTGCCATGGCGTCTCCACCCGTCTTTGACGTGGGGACGTACAAGTTCATTCAAGACGAGGACCAGTGCATTTTCGAGCACCGCTACCTTAACACAAATGACACTCTGGGCTTCATGCTCATGCTGGCCGTCGTGGTCCTGGCCACCCACGGTTTCTACACCAAACTCCTGCTATTTGAATACAAGCACCGCAAGATGAAGCCTGTCCAGCTAGCGCCAGCCATCAGCCAGAACTGGACCTTCCACGGCCCGGGGGCCACAGGTCAGGCAGCGGCCAACTGGATCGCAGGCTTTGGCCAGGGCCCAATGCCCCCCACCCTGCTGGGCATCAGGCAGACTTTGCACAACCAGCAGCACCGGTGCCTGCTGGGCATGGAGGAGGTCAGATCAGAGAGGAGGCTAGGCAGGATGTTCTACATCATCACCCTGCTCTTCCTGGTGCTCTGGGCTCCCTACATAGTGGCCTGTTTCTGGAGGGTCTTTGTCAAGTCCTGCTCCATCCCTCACAGGTACCTCTCCATCACAGTGTGGATGAGCTTTGCCCAGGCAGGGGTCAACCCTATCTTCTGCCTCCTGCTCAATGAGGACTTGAGGAAAGTGCTGAGGGCCCACCTGCCCACCTACAGCAGGACTAGACAACACCAACAGCTGCACCGCCATGAGCTGTTGGTGTTCACCATCACATGATGCACTACTGTATGGTGTGATGGGGGTGTTTTGTTTGTATTATACAGAAATGCCTATCTTACCTTTTTTGTAAAGAGAATGTTTATCAGTTGCTACTATTCTTGCAAATGAATTATGACTGTTTCATATGTAATGTACATATTATGTGTGTGGACACATGCAGTATGAGAAGCAGGTTTGTAGTAATACTTGGTAATGAACATTCTCAGTAGATTATCTCATTTAAATGTCCCAAAATTATGTTAAAACAGATTTTCTTTAGTTCAATGGAGGGGATTGCAACGGTCACTAAAATAGCAAAATATACACTGTGTACAAAACATTAGGAACACCTTCCTAATATTGAGTTGCACCCCCTTTTGCCCTCAGAGCAGCCTCAATTCATCGGGGCATGGACTCTACAAGGTGTCGAAAGTGTTCCACAGGGATGCTGGCCCATGTTGACTCCAATGCTTCCCACAGTTGTGTCAAGTTGGTTGGCTGTCCTTTGGGTGGTGGACCATTCTTGATACACACGGGAATCTGTTGACCATGAAAAAGCAGCGTTGCAGTTCTTGACACACACAAACCGGTGCGCCTGGCACTTACTACCATACCCCGTTCAAAGGCACTTCAATCTTTTGTCACCCTCTAAATGGCACACATACACAATCAAGGCTTTAAAATCCTTCTTTAACCTGTCTCCTCCCCTTCATCTACACTGATTGAAGTGGATATAACAAGTGACAATAAGGGATCATAGCTTTCACCTGGTCAGTCTATATCAGGGTTCTTCAATTCCGGTCCTGGAGGGCCGAAACACTTCTGTTTTTTATTTCTACCTGGTAGTTAATTGCACTCACCTGGTGTCCCAGGTCTGAATTAGCCCCTGATTAGAAGGAGAGGATGAAAAACAGAGGTGTTTCGGCCCTCCAGGACCGGAATTGAAGAACCCTGGTCTATATCATGGAAAGAGCAGGTGTTCCTAATGTTTTGTACACTCAGTGTAGGTTATGAATAACTGCACTCCAGATTGGAAATAATCTCATGTGCATTGTAACAGGATCCATATGATTTTGTAGTTTCTTTTCCATTAGGGAATGTTTGAAATTTAGTATTAATTATTTCTGACTTAAATATGTCTGAACATTCCCATGTTCAAGGAGACAGCTTTTCTAAATGCAGAGAACAAAATAATCACACATTCCAACATCAAGAGTGTCATTTTTCATGGTTCCCAGACTGAAGTTAGCAAATCATGTTTGGACATTAAATAACAAACTGAGAAGTGAACTGGGTTTGAAGATTGGGGACCTAGCATTCTTTTCTAATATATTCTCTTGCACAGCATTTGAAGTGGCAGTTGTTTTTCCACTCACCAATAAAGTCTACTTTTGATGCACATTGATCTGGATTCTGAGTGCTGACTTCAAGTTTCAATGGGACCCATATCCTTAGCAATTAAAGAAAGAAAAACAACTTGAGCTCAACATTCAGAGGGTATAATAAAAATCATTTTGCCAGTTTTACACTCGTAAAAAAAAAAAAAAGAACCAATTTATTTACAGAAAGATCTGGACCAAGATGAGTAGCATGCTCAATATACAGTGTAGCTTTGGCAACAATGACATGCTTTACGGAACGTCTGGTCAAATTACATGATTGGAACTCACAATGGGAAGAGTTCCTACAATTCCATCAGTCTATGGCTGTATTCTGATTCTCTACACTTATCCAGAAGTGTGCACTCATTCACTCCCCCTCTTGCATTTAAAAACATTGGATTAAAAAGTTTTGGGACACTGTAAAGTCCATGGAGAATAAGAGCACTTCCTCCTAGCTGCCCACTGCACTGAGGCTAGGAAACACTATCACCACCGATAAATCTACAATAATCGAGAATTTCAACAAGCATTTTGCTACAGCTGGCCATGCTTTCCATCTGGCTACCACTAACCCGGCCACCAACTCTGCACCCTCTGCTGCAACTTGCCCATGCCCCCCCCCGCTTCTCCTTCACACAAATTCAGACAGCTGATGTTTTGAAAGCGCTGCAAAATCTGGACCCCTACAAATCAGCTGGGCTAGACAATCTGGACCCTTTCTTTCTAAAACTAGCCGCTGAAATTGTCGCTACCCCTATTACTAGTCTGTTTAACCTCTCTTTCATAACGTCTGAGATCCCCAGAGATTGGAAAGCTGCCGCGGTCATCCCCCTCTTCAAAGGGGGTGACACTCTAGATCCAAACTGCTACAGACCTATATCCATCCTGCCCTGCCTTTCGAAAGTATTCGAAAGCCAAGTTAACAAACAGATCATCGACCATTTCGAATACCACCGTACCTTCTCCGCTATGCAATCCGGTTTCCGAGCTGGTCACGGGTGCACTTCAGCCACGCTCAAGGTCCTAAACGATATTATAACCGCGATTGATAATAGACAGTACTGTGCAGCCGTCTTCATTGACCTGGCCAAGGCTTTCGACTCTGTCAACCACCGCATTCTTATTGGCAGACTAAATAGCCTTGGTTTCTCAAATGACTGCCTCGCCTGGTTCACCAACTACTTCTCAGATAGAGTTCAGTGTGTCAAATCGGAGGGCCTGTTGTCTGGACCTATGGCAGTCTCTATGGGGGTGCCACAGGGTTCAATTCTTGGGCCGACACTTTTCTCCGTGTATATCAATGATGTCGCTCTTGCTGCTGGTGACTCTCAGATTCACCTCTACGCAGACGACACCATTTTGTATACATCTGGCCCTTCATTGGACACTGTGTTAACAAACCTCCAAACGAGCTTCAATGCCATACAACAATCCTTCAGTAGCCTCCAACTGCTCTTAAACACTAGTAAAACTAAATGCATATTTTCAATCGAACGCTGCTGGCACCCGCCCACCCGACTAGAATCACCACTCTCGACGGGTCTGACCTAGAGTATGTGGACAACTACAAATACCTAGGTGTCTGGTTAGACTGTAAACTCAACTTCCAGACTCACATAAAGAATCTCCAATCCAAAGTTAAATCTAGAATCGGCTTCCTATTTCGCAATAAAGCCTCCTTCACTCATGCTGCCAAACATGCCCTCGTAAAACTGACTATCCTACCGATCCTTGACTTCGGCGATGTAATTTACAAAATAGCCTCCAACACTCTACTCAGCAAATTGGATGTAGTCTATCACAGTGCCATCCGTTTTGTCTCCAAAGCCCCATACACTACCCACCACTGTGACCTGTACGCTCTTGTTGGCTGGTCCTCACTACATGTTCGTCGTCAAACCCACTGGCTCCAGGCCATCTATAAATCACTGCTAGGCAAATCCCCGCCTTATCTTAGCTCATTGGTCACCATAGCAGCACCCACCCGTAGTCTGCGCTCCAGCAGGTATATCTCACTGGTCATTCCCAAAGCCAACACCTCCTTTGGCCGCCATTCCTTCCAGTTCTCTGCTGCCAATGACTGGAACGAATTGCAAAAATCTGAAGCTGGAGACTTATCTCCCTCAATAACTTTAAGCATCAGTTGTCAGAGCACCTTACCGATCACTGCACCTGTACACAGCCCATCCGAAATTAGCCCACCCAACTACCTCATCCCTATATTGTTATTTATTTTGCTCTTTTGCACCCCAGTATCTCTATTTGCACATAATCTCTTGCACATCTAGCATTCCAGTGTTAATACTATTGTAATTATTCTGCACTATAGCCTATTTATTGCCTTACCTCCATAACTTGCTACATTTGCACACACTGTATATATATTTTCTGTTGTATTTCTGACTTTATGTTTTTTTTACCCCATATGTAACTCTGTTGTTTTTATTGCACTACTTTGCTTTATCTTGGCCAGGTCGCAGTTGTAAATGAGAACCTGTTCTCAACTGGCTTACCTGGTTAAATAAAGGCTAAATAAAAATAAAATAAAAATTGGTGGAAGCATGGCTGGAGGGAGTTTCCTCCATATTACTGACACCATGAGGGGGAGCGTACTAGTGTACACTTCAGGAGAAGGGTAGAGAATTAGAATGCAGCCTTTGTAACATATTGCAACCTCAATGAGGGACAGCAGCGCCATCCACCAATGACTGAGGCCTCATACAGTGAGTGACGGGCCTACAGCTTGTAATTGATGCCTTACCAGCCTATTGCAACCCAGTCACAACAAAGCACTTTCCAAACTCTAGTATCATAGGGCAGCGCACAATTAACCCAGCGTCGTCCAGGTTAGGGGAGGGTTTGGCCGGGGGGGCTTTACTTGGCTCATCGCGCTCTAGCAACTCCTTGTGGCGGGCCGGGCGCTTGCAGGCTGACCTCGGTTGTCAGTTTAACAGTGTTTCCTCTGACACATTGGTGCGGCTGGCTTCCGGGTTAAGCGGGCGAGTGTTAAGCAGAAAGCATGACTCAACCTTCGCCTCCCGAGACCGTTGGGGAGTTGCAGCGATGAGACAAGATCGAAAAAGGGGGTAAAATACAACAACATGATGCCCCAAACACTAGTTTATGATGAAATAGGGCAAAATATTCACAGACACCATAGCATACATTTAAAATGCCAGAAATAAAGTTGAATTGTCATGATGGCAATTCTGGAACAAAGCAAAATGTATAATTTGTCCTTGCCGAACCCCTAAAACTACCCCTAAAACAAGTACCCCCTGCAATTGTCTGTCCCACACTTGCACTCCATGCGCGCTCGCTTTTTGGGTGATCCAGTCACGAGAGGAGCCTTTTTGGGTGATCCAATCATGAGAGGAGCCTTTTTGGGTGATCCAATCATGAGAGGAGCCTTTTTGGGTGATCCAATCATGTGAACCTTTTTGGGTGATCCAGTCATGCTGAAATTGGAGTCCATCTTTGTACTCTCCTCATCTATTGGATCAACTAGAAAGAGAATGGAAAACAGACCAAATTATAGATTCTGTGATATCTTGAAACAGGTTGTTCTATGACCTAAATGGGTGGTCCGGAGTCTTATCCCGAGTCCTTTCCATCTGCTCTATATCAGGCATATGAACTCATACTCCATTTTGTACACTCTCGAAAATGCAATTATTTACAGTATTTCCATATCTTTCATTTCAGTGATCTCATGATCTGTGGATATATGATACAGTTGAAGTCGGAAGTTTACATACACCTTAGCCAAATACATTTAAACTCAGTTTTTCACAATTACTGACATTTAATCCTAGTAAAAATTCCCTGTCTTAGGTCAGTTAGGATCACCACTATTTTAAGAATGTGAGATGTCAGAATAATAGTAGAGAGAATGATTTATTTCAGCTTTTATATATTTCATCACATTCCCAGTGGGTCAGAGGTTTACATACACTCAATTAGTATTTGGTAGCATTGCCTTTAAAATTGTTTAACTTGGGTCAAACATTTTGGGTAGCCTTCCACAAGTTTCCCACAATAAGGTGGGTGAATTTTGGCCCATTCCTCCTGACAGACCTGGTGTAACTGAGTCAGTTTTGAAGGCCTCCTTGCTCGCACATGCTTTTTCAGTTCTGCCCACAAATGTTCTATAGGATTGAGGTCAGGGCTTTGTGATGGCCACTCCAATACCTTGACTAAGCCATTTTGGCACAACTTTGGAAGTATGCTTGGGGTCATTGTCCATTTGGAAGACCCATTTGCGACCAAGCTTTAACTTCCTGACTGATGTCTTGAGATGTTGCTTCAATATATCCATATAATTTTCCTTTTTGGCTTTTTTTATGGCGGTTTTGGAGCAGTGGCTTCTTCCTTGCTGAGCGGCCTTTCAGGTTATGTCGATATAGGACTCATTTTACTGTGGATATAGATACTTTTGTACCTGTTTCCTCCAGCATCTTCACAAGGTCCTTTGCTGTTGTTCTGGGATTGATTTGCACTTTTCGCACCAAAGTACGTTCATCTCTAAGAGACAGAACGCGTCTCCTTCCTGAGCGGTATGATGGCTGCGTGGTCCCATGGTGTTTATACTTGCATACTATTGTTTGTACAGATGAACGTGGTACCTTCAGGCGTTTGGAAATTGCTCCCAAGGATGAACCAGACTTGTGGAGGTCTACAATTTGTTTTCTGAGGTCTTGGCTGATTTCTTTTGATTTCAAGCAAAGAGGCACTGAGTTTGAAGGTAGGCCTTGAAATACATCCACAGGTACACCTCCAATTGACTCAAATTATGTCAATTAGACTATCAGAAGCTTCTAAAGCCATGACATCATTTTCTGGAATTTTCCAAACTGTTTAAAGGCACAGTCAACTAAGTGTATGTAAACTTCTGACCCACTGGAATTGTGATACAGTGAATTATAAGTGAAATAATCTGTCTGTAAACAATTGTTGGAAAAATTACTTGTGTCATGCACAAAGTAGATGTCCTAACCGACTTGCCAAAACAATAGTTTGTTAACAAGACATTTGTGGAGTAGTTGAAAAATGAGTTGTAATGACTCCAACCTAAGTGTATGTAAACTTCCGACTTCAAATGTATATCAGATGCAACCTACTCTGCATATTGTAGTCGAAGGTGAGCTCCTCCCCAGCGCTGATACCACGGTTTGAGAAGAAAGCCAGGCGTGGCAGTCGCTCATCCAGGTTGTCAATGAATACGTTATACACCTGCAGGTTAGGGTTGCACTGTGGGATAGAGGTAGGAAAGGAGAAGAGAATGCTATGTCTAATGTTTGAGTGTCCTCAAATAAATAAAAATAAATCGCAGAGAAATTCCAATGTAGCCTATGTACTTGTACCTACAAATGGCAATAAATGGAACTTGAACTACTCACACTGTGGTTGACGAAGTGGGAGACATTTCCATAGTGAGCAGCATCAACGGTGTACTCATCCTCCACATAGTCCAGGTCAAACAGGTACGTTGCACCCTGTCTGTCATAGACCTGACCCCGCCTCTCTGCCTCCTCTGTAGTGATGATCTGGATGGAACACAGCACAGCCAATCACAACAGAGAACAACCATACAATATAACACAGCCAGGATACACCAAGTCCTGCATGATATTAAATCCACTAGTCAAAAATGTTGATGTTCACTTGTCAAATGTGATAGTTGCTGGTGATAATAGAAACGAAGCACCAAATATGTGGTCCCTATAATCAAAGTTGTGTCTTTCTTACCTCTCCGACATACTCCATGACGAAGGAATGCCTTCTGATACGCTCAGAGGTGCGTACTCCCCACCCCCGCCCGTTGTCTGTTTTGAAGATGCAGAGGGTATGCTGGATCCCTCTCTGTACCACTCTGTTGGGGCAGTCTGGTCCACAGCGACACTTATTGTTGCATTCATAGATGGGCTCCCCAGGCTTAACCTTCACCTGCCCACACTCGTTGTAGGCAAAGCCATGTCCCGATATTCCTGAGCAGCAACCACCCACAGGGTTCTCCAAACAGTTGGTGCACTCGCACCCCACTGCCATCGTCGTCATCGAAATGCCCTCACCCACCTAGGAGAGAAAAGCTTTGATTTAAATATACATATTTATATTTGTACTGTATTGCTGATGCATAATACTGCAGGGATAAAGAGGGTGACATCACTACAGTTGAAACATGTCATTGATACAAAGTACTGGTGATATACAAGCCCTTGCACACCTTGTAGTTGTTGATGTAGGTAAAGTTCTTCGGAGGGCCCTCCAGGTCCACACGGTTGCGGACCAGGATGCGTTTGTTGAGGCCTCCGACACTGTTGATCTGGGCCTCCCACCTCTGCAGGCTCTGCCTATGCCTGGCCCTCTGCTCCAGGTAAGAGGACAGCTCTGTTTCAAACCGGTTGGGGACTACAGTCTTTTTCTGTCTCTGCAGTTCCAGGAAGACATCGTCCCAGAACTGACGTAGGAGCTCCACACACCGCAGGTTTTTCCTCGGTTCCCAGGTGTTCATGTGATCTGGGTAACCCTTCCATTTAACCAGGTAGAACTCTTGCTCCTAGGAAGAAAAACAGCAGTTGAAAGGAGTCATACTGAACTCTGGCGCCCCTATGGCAAGGTAGACATCGCCTAAGATCACTTTATTCGTCCAATTGTACACAAGGTCCAACGGAAATGTGACTTCTGCTTTATCCCAACCCCTCTGAAAGACACACATACACATACAGGTTGGAGGTTGGAGCAGGGGAGCAGTTCTCTCTCTCTCTCAAGTACAGATGGATGCTTTCAGTAACAGCACCACATCAGTTAAGAACTGAAAAGAACAAGTTCATGTTGCCTGTGATGTCAGTCAGAGTATAGCACTGCAAGTTAGATCAATCAATGCTGGATCAATTTAATATCTAGCTACCAAAAATCTATCCAAAGTTTAGCTAGAACTTGTTCTAACCTTTGGTACTCCTGTGGCATTGGTTGTCTTCCTACCAGGAACAAGTGTCCTCTTGTAGTCACATAGGTACTCCACTTCGAAGTCGTGCATTTGTCTCCTGTTGACCCCCAGATCCAAGCACACAATCCCTTCATGACGACAGAGTGTCTGCAACTGGCTCGTTGTCACTTTACATACAACTTGGCACCCTGCTGTGAGTGACAAGCCAGTAAGCTAATGTTACACAAAGAACACAACAGTGGTTACTTCGATCAACAACTATCATGACTTAATTTAGTTATCAACATGTTTTCATTCGGTATGTGCATAACATTAACTAGCTAGCTTATAACTAGCTATTTAAATGTGATAGTAGATTTATTCACTATTGTTTATCAATGAAAATCAAACAATCAGCATGGCATAGCTACGACCATTGATTGCGAAATAGCTAGCTGGCTAAATTCGACAAATATCTCATAAGCTGTGTTGCATCAACATTTCGCTAATCAACTCCAGGATATATGGTATTTTTTAAAAACGTTATTATTATAGAACCGCTGTTGTTACCTAAGGAAAGTAACAAAATCCAACTTTTTCTCTAGAATTAGTTACCTTACCTTTTAAATATTCCGCCATGTTTACTCCACCGCCAAAATCCCAGGAAGTCTCGCTAGCCAATGGTTGGATCCGATTTTAGAATGACAGGCTGCCCAAATGACCAATAGACTTCTAGCTCACGTGTGGAAAAACAAAAACATTTGCTACAGAGAGCAATACTAATGGCGTCTTTTTGTAGGTACAAACTCTGCCATGGTTCGTTGGACAAAGCCTATAGGAAAATTTAGTTTTTGTAGGCTTTTAGGATAAACGCGGAAAAGAAGGTATGTGGTAAACACAGGCTTAGAGCATATACGTTTTGTTCTATGAGATCATCTTAATCAGCGAACCTCATTTTTTTGTGAATTTTGAAGCATTTATGTAATCAGAAAAAGCACAAAGGCGTCATGATTCATCAAGGTCATGTTAACTGATATTATCTAATAGAACACAACTTATAAGATCTCCTAAACCTGTGTTAACCTCACATCTTATTTTCGGCGTTCAGCCCAAAACCCTATTCTTTCCCGATTCATTTTCCCCATTGTAATGGCTGAACGATCCAGAGGTAACTAATTTCCTCTTTTTTTTTAGGACTACAAGCCTGCTAGCTCTATTGTAACACTGGCAATCAAACAAAACAATCAACTCTATTTGGCTACTTTATTCAGTATGTGCATATCATAAATATATTAAAGTTATTTGCAACCATGATGTTCAATGACACACACAGGCACATACAAACACACAAAAACTCACAAACACACAATGTTTTCTTTGAGGTCCCATCAAGTCTTAAACATTTTTATACAGGAGTTATTCCAATATGTCAGTACTGATTTCTATGATGGGTTCTTGATACAATGCTATGCACATGAAGGAAAATGGGCAACTCCAGAGGAACAAGGCTGTCATTTAATACTACTGTATATTCAGTTTTGATGTATTACTGCTTTACAATAAGTAGTTAGCTCTATTACAGGTCCTAATCTTGACACATGCAAGCCTCTCAGGACCCTCAGTGAGGAGCAGTGCTCCCTTTACGTTGAAAACCTAGGCAGGGATTCAATTAGATCGCACTTTGTCGGCTATATTTAATGGCAATGTTCCCGCGTTCGCGGAAACCGCACTCACGGTAACAACTAAATCCCAGCCTTAAAAACACAGATACCCCTTCCCTGCCCCTTGTATTTAGCATTCTAGTGATTGGATGGTTCAAAGTGGTAGTTGCTTATTTTTTTTGTAGTGCATGGAAGGAAGCTTTTGATTGGTTGGTCACTTCTGCTCCCGCCTCCAGATGATGACCATACCAGTGGAGTCTGCAGAAGCCAGTAAGCTCTCGTCACAGTTGAAGCTGACGTCCAGCACTGGGCCACCGTGACCCTGCAGTTTGTTGACTATGGCCTTAGTGTTGCGCTCCACATCGAAGAAGTAGACACAGGCATCCTCACTGCCAGTCACTGGGATATAGAGTGGAGAAAAGGGGTGGAAAAGGAGGAGAAAAACAGGGAAGAGGGACAAGAGAGAATACTTGTGAGAACCGACCTGTTATAACCAATGTTCCCTCTAAACTGCGCGCCGGGTAGGCGAACTGTTGCCATTTTGAACCATTTCATGTGTCTGAAGGTACAAACTCTGCCTTCCAGGCGGGCCCAGAGAGCAAATAAAGTGCACTATAGGCCTACCGCTGGCCAATCGGATGGCTCAGATTATTGTGTCTGCAGTACCGTAGCAGGCATAAAAGAAAGCTACAGCAAAGTTGATACTGTGAGATTTCAAAACGTTAAAAACCATGACTAGAGAGACGGTCAACAAATACAGCAAAGAGCTGCTGTTTTTATGTGTGAGTTCATGTTTAAGTTCTTACTCAGCACTGTCAACACTTTGTATTCAACACTTCTATAAGCCATAAAATGCGCGTTCTACCTATTTCCATTCAGCGCTACAACAAGCAGTGCAGCAGTAATGAATGAGTAGGAAAATGTATCTATAGGCTTGCGTTGTTGTTATTATTAGCGGCTTGGGTCTTTAATATTGAGGAATAGTTCACTTTCTCTGTTCATGGGAGTAACAACATGAATTTGTGCATGAGGCAGAAATAATGCGGTGTAACTCGAATTTCCTCATCAGCTGGAAGACGGTGTCCCTTTTTGGTCAGTGTCAGTAGAGGAAAGGGAGAGCAGAGGGATGTTGAGAGGCGGACCCTCAGTCTGCTGCTCTCTCCCTCTGCTGAGACTGACCATCAGATGCAAGCACCACCAGCCCAGTAAAATACAAATAAAAAGCAAATTATTTAAATGTATGCTCGTTCAGCTGTGCCTCACAAGTAATACAACAACGGATCTAAATGTATTACCGTTGTGATCATATAGACTACCTTAAATTTAAAAATAAAAACGTCCCGAACAACAATGCATTAGCCACTTTCAATGCAACATACCAAAACAAAACGAACTATGCAAGACATTTTGTTGTAGGCAGAATGCATCGGAGTAGGATTCTATTGCATTAACACGCACTACGCAGCCCGTACTCTACACAGACTGGTGCGGCATAAACAATCAGAGCTGCAATAGGCCTATATGCAAATAGACCATTGACATATATGGCTCTGTGCCATTTACTTTGAACTGGACTGTGTTCACAGGTCGCAGTTGTAAATGAGAACTTGTTCTCAACTGGCTTACCTGGTTAAATAAAGGTGAAATAAAATTAAAATAAAACAGCATGAGCCGTCATGAGTAGATGTGCTTGTTTTGAGATCAACGCAAGAGCTACATGTAGCCACGTGTTCACATTTTGTTAATATCCTTTGCTAGTTAGTGAATTATTAGCCCAGTTATAGATAGTGATTGCTTCAAGAGCACAAAACTTGTACATTTCTAGGCATCTTTGAAAAGCGAGTCAGGTAAAGAGCTTTTTTTTGTCTTAAAGGGGCAGTGTTGTATTTTGAGACAGGCTTGAATAAGCTAAGTAGCCAATAGGCAGAGGGTAGCATAATTTGTCTGATTCTCTGTAATAATGGTATGGGAATAATAATGCATTTTATTTTGTAAAGTGCTTTCTTGCATCAAACACAACAACATTTTCAGTCACCTCCTTGTCTGAAGGACAAGTGGATAAACAGGATAATGTCAAGCCCTGCATGTTTTTTTTCAAAAGTCTCATGGGATGTAGGCCTACATTGAACACCACACATTGGCTGCTACTGTAGTCTGAATGATAGAACAGCTATTTCCATGTTAAAATGTTATGGGATGCATTTTCTCCATTGTTTTGGATGGTAGGCCACTCTGGTAGGTGTACATTATGATCAAATAGCCACAGTAACCTACACCTACCACTTAAAACTGTAACTTAAAGCCGGTACAGCCTCAGTGGTCACAGTAAACGCATGCTGGAAGTTTTTACAACGTTCAAGTTTGCGCTCAGCAGACCTGAAATTTTCTAAGTGCCGAAAATAATTAGAGGGAACATTGGTTATAACTGATTGCATTGACCTGCTATAACTGAGTGAAGATGGTTATATACAGTAACTACTCTATGACTTCAGTGAGTTGATGTACTGGCAACCAGTACACAATCAAGGTTCCTAAGTGTGGTGCACTTTTGTTTATAACATCTATAGCAGATATAGTGAAAGTCAGAGTAAGGCTGTGAGGCTCATACCAATACAGGCGCCCTGTCTGAAGGACATGAGAGGGCAGAAGATGCTGTGGAGGGGCTGGGAGCCGTGCTTGATGGGGAAGCTCCTCTTCAGCTGCAGAGTGCCTTCATTATCCACCACTCTATAAAGACGAGAGGAACAGAGACCCAGTCAAACTCAACTCAGCATGCAGTGTGCAGAGTGGATCATGCCTTCCTTGTTCAATCAACAGCACACAGTACAAGACTGATATAACATACACAAATTCCAGTGCACGACACAGTAGTTAATCAAGATATACTGAACAAAAATATAAACGCAACATGTAAATTGTTGGTCTCATGTTTCATGAGCTGAAATAAAATTCAATGCGCACAAAAAGCTTATTACTCTCAAATTGTGAAGAGATTTGTTTACATCCCTGTTAGTGAGCATTTCTCCTTTGCCAAGATAATCCATCCACCTGACAGGTGTGGCATAGCAAGAAGCTGATTAAACAGCATGATCATTACACAGGTGCCCCTTGTGCTAGGGACAATAAAAGGCCACTAAAATGTGCAGTTTTGTCATACAAACACAATGCCACAGAAGTCTCAAGTTGAGGGAGCGTGGAATTGGCATGCTGACTGCAGGAATGTCCAAAAGACTTGTTGCCAGAGAATGTAATGTTCATTTCTCTACCATAAGCCGCCTCCAACGTCGTTTTAGAGAATTTGGCAATACATCCGACCGGCCTCACAACCGCAGACCACATGTAACCAAGCCTTCCCAGGACCTCCACATCCGGCTTCTTCACCTGCGGGATCGTCTGACCAGCCACCCGGACTGCTGATGAAACTGAGGAGTATTTCTGTCTGTAATAAAGCCATTTTGTGGGGGAAAACTTATTCTGATTGGCTGGGCCTGGCTCCCCAGTGGGTGGGCCTATGCCCTCCCAGGCCTACCCATGGCTGTGCCCCTGCCCAGGCATGTGAAATCCATAGATAGGGACCTAATTTATTTATTTCAATTGACTGATTTCCTTATATGAACTGTTACTCAGTAAAATGGTTGAAATTGTTGGATGTGGCGTTTATATTTTTGTTCAGTATATGTATAAGCATTTTGAGCTTTATGGAGCAGCAGTCGCTCTCTTGCTCTCTCCGACGCGTACCTGTAGAGTAGCAGTTTGTTGACACAGGCATTGATCAACAGGGAGGGGTCTCGAGCCTCTCTGCTGATCCAGGAGCGGGCAGATATGCTGCAGATCGGGCTGCCCTCACTCACAACAAGCCGCTTGGCTTTGGTCAGCTTCCCTGTGGGTTGAAATTCAGAGTTGTCACACACAACACTTGTCTGTCCCATACTTGTGGCCTAGCACTTTGGGATTGTGATAAAGCACTTCATTAATACAATTAATTATTATGAATTATTCATAAGAAGTAGGGATGTTTTTTCTCAGTGTACCTGTGGCCATGTCAAACAGGAAGGAGAAGATGCTGCCCCTGTCATCCCCGGCCCACAGGATCCTCCCAGGGGCATCAAAGGACATAGACAGTACCCGTCCCGTCAGCTTACTGGAACCCCCCTTCACCTTCTTCCCAGTGGAGATGTTCACCACCTGCAGGAGGTGCTTACTGTTCCCTACCTGCAGGGCAGGACAGAACAGAGGTCAGGGGGTCAGGGTGAACATTGGTAAAGGTCAGGAAAGCTGTAAGGAAGAGAGTTTGGTCATTGTAGGGACAGCTAGCATACCACTTAGAATAAAGCGATGTATTGGCCCTGGCCATGCATTATAAGTGATATGCTAGTGTGGATATTGTATGGGTATGAGTTAGTAACTTTGTCTGAGATTCTACTATGACTCACCACTGTCAGGTTGTTGTTCATGGGCTGGAAGGTGCAACAAAGCAGTTCGCTTGACTCCGGGTCTCTGACCTCACGGATACACCTCCCATCCTCCGTGTTCCAAATACGCAGCGTTCCGTCCTTTGATGTCGACACGATGACGTCATTGCTAAGGGACCAAGCAAAGTCGGTGACGGGACCTGCATGACCCTTCAGTACAACCTTCACGCTGGGCGGGGACGGGGACAGGATCATGATGGACAGGGTGCCGTCCAATGAGCAGCAGGCTAGGAGGTGCTTGTCATCGTTAGCAAACTGCAGCCGTGGAACTAGAGAGGAGGGAACCCGACAAAACATGAGAAGACACAGAAATACTCACTCCTTGCACTGATCTTTCCATCACATACTGTACTTTCCACTCACCTGCAGAGTCCACATGTTGGTCGAATATGTGGTGCATGCCAGCAAAAGCATAGTTCTCGCTCAGAGTGGTGTCCCCGGCCATGGCACGGCTAGCTTCTGCCACAGAGGTTGGCACCAAGGCACCTGGGGGCCTGTAGGCACAAACAAACCCACATTTCTAATCAGGGAGAATCATTTATTACAAATTGGAAATTCTGTGCTAATAAAAAGATCAAACAATGCAGTGTTTCAAAAGCAGAGACTAAAAGATGAATGAGGTCAGTAGGGTTGAGTGAGGGGTTTCTTGGGTTACCTCTCATCATAGACTGCCCTGTTCATCTGGGCCTGTAGCTGGTAGGAGCCTCTGCTCACAGATCGACGGTGCCCACGAGCCCCCTGAGCACGGGGGTCCTCCTCAAAATCCTGTCCAGAAAGAGGGAAGGAGAAATAGGGAGATAGAAAACCATAAGTAGTGAGTGCAAGTGAGGGACTTGCAGTCCATATAAAAAACAAATAATCTTAGCCAGAGACAAAAGTAGGCCTACAGTGCCTTGCAAAAGTATTCATCCCCCTTGGCGTTTTTCCAATTTTGTTGCATTACAACCTGTAATTTAAATTGATTTTTATTTGGATTTCATGTAAGGGACATACACAAAATAGTCCAAATTGGTGAAGTGAAATGAAAAAATTTACTTTTTTCAAAAAATTCTAAAAAATAAATAACGGAAAAGTGGTAAGTGCATATGTATTCACCCCTTTTGCTATGAAGCCCCTAAATAAGATTTGGTGCAACCAATTACCTTCAGAAGTCACATAATTACTTAAATAAAGTCCACCTGTGTGCAATATAAGTATCACATGATCTGTCACTTGATCTCAGTATATATACACCTGTTCTGAAAGGCCCCAGAGTCTGCAACACCACTAAGCAAGGGGCACCACCAAGCAAGCGGCACCATGAACACCAAGGAGCTCTCCAAACAGGTCAGGGTTGGGTTATAAAAAAATAGCAGAAACATTGAACATCCCACGGAGCACCATTAAATCCATTATTAAAAAAATTAAAGAATATGGTACCGCAACAAACCTGCTAAAGGAGGGCATTAATCAGAGAGGCAACAAACAGACCAAAGATGACCCTGAAGGAGCTGCAAAGCTCCACAGCGGAGATTGGAGTATCTGTCCATAAGACCACTTTAAGCCGTACACTCCACAGAGCTGGGCTTTACGGAACGGTGGCCAGAAAAAAGCCATTACTTACAGAAAAAAATAAGCAAGTCTTTGGTGTTCGCCAAAAGGCATGTGGGAGACTCCCCAAACATATGGAAGAAGGCACTCTGGTCAGATGAGACTAAAATTGAGCTTTTTGGCCATCAAGGAAAACGATATGTCTGGTGCAAACCCAACACCTCTCATCACCCTGAGAACACCATCCCCACAGTGAAGCATGGTGGTGGTAGCATCATGCTGTGGGGATGTTTTTCCATCGGCAGGGACTGGGAAACTGGTCAGAATTGAAGGAATGATGGATAGCGCTAAATACAGGGAAATTCTTGAGGGAAACCTGTTTCAGACTTCCAGAGATCTGAGACTGGGACGGAGGTTCACCTTCCAGCAGGACAATGACCCTAAGCATACTGTTATAGCAACACTCAAGTGGTTTAAGGGGAAACATTTAAATGTCTTGTAATGGCCTAGTCAAAGCCCAGACCTCAATCCAATTGAGAATCTGTGGTGTGACTTAAAGATTGCTGTACACCAGTGGAACACATCCAACTTGAAGGAGCTGCAAGTTTTGCCTTGAAGAATGGGCAAAAATCCCAGTGAGTAGATGTGCCAAGCTTATAGAGACATACCCCAAGAGACTTTCAACTGTAATGGCTGCAAAAGGTGGCTCTACAAAGTATTGACTTTGGGGGGGTGAATAGTTATGCACGCTCAAGTTCAGTTTTTTTGTCTTATTTCTTGTTTGTTTCGCACACAAAAAATATTTTGCATCTTCAAAGTGGTAGGCATGTTGTGTAAATCAAATAATACAAACCCCCCAAAAATCAATTTTAATTCCAGGTTGTAAGGCAACAAAATAGGAAAAATGCCAAGGGGGGTGAATACTTTCGCAAGCCACTGTATATGAACTCACCACCTCTTTGAAATCAATCTATTCCTCCCAACTAAAGTGATCAGTTTAGTGTGCCTACTACGCATCCTTATTAGTGTCAGTAATACCATCTGTCTGCCTCCAACCATCTCAATTGACCTGTGTATTGACAGTAGCCTATTCTCTTTGTCTGTCTATATGTCTCTCCCTTTCCCTCTGCTCCTTCCACTCAGTCTCGGAGTCTAACCTTCCCCTCAGTCTCTGAGTCTAACCTCCATGCGGTCCAATGTGGTGCGGGAGCTGCGCACACTGCTGGCCCTGAAGCTGCTCTGCTCAGACAGGGGCCCGTAGCGCAGGGCCAGCAGCTGGCTGCGCAGCCTCAGGTAATGCCTGCGCAGCCCCGGCTCAAAGCCACACTTGGCGTTCTCCCTGAGTAGCTGGCTGCGCCGGCGGATGTATTGCGTGCGGAACTGTGGGAACGTAGGCGTGCGGTATGCATTGTACCTGTGGAAGGGATCGAGGGGAAGTGATAGAGAGAGAGAGACAAACAGTTCCTTATATTGTTTTGCTTGCACTGCGGACTGCTGTATAAACTCAATATAACATGGAGTCATTCATTATCCAAGTATCACTTTTCACTAATACAAACATGCTGACAGCAGTTTCATTACAATCAAGGTGCTTGGCTAGCCTGGTTTAACCAGACTCACTTCTGCACTCACCATTGTTTCAGCAGTGGTCAGTCTGGTTTATCCAGGCTAGCCATAGACCGCAATCAATGTAAGATGTGTATCAGTAAACTTATTTGTATCAGTACTGTGAGGCCATCAGGCAATGCCATGCCACCAGTTTATTGAATGAGACTTACCTTGCGTCCACTGCCAACACCTGCTGCCAAACTGCAGCCATTCCACAAACAGTCAAGGTAGAGAGGATGCCACGGCCAGGGCAGATGTCAGATCTCTATAAACATATAAACAACATAACTATATAATGGTAGGGGAGTAGGCTACATGATGGCTAATTCAATTTAGCCTATAGAGTCCAGACAGTCGTGTTATTGGCTGGTACAGAACACTGCCAGCTAGATCGACATTAATCACGTGATTAATGTGGCAAAGAAAGCCAGTGGCAAAAAAAGCCTGCATTGGGCAGTGTAATGTGTTCAGAGGGTAACTAGTTACTCCGTCATTGTCGGCTAGCAACAGACGCCATCATCCGAGATGGAGCCTGCAAGCTTTGACAGTGAGAAAGCAAACGGCGTTAGCTAGCAAGCTAGCAACCTTGCTAGCCATGTCTGATAACTGGACGCCCAGCCCTCAAATGTTACTTAGCAAACGGATTTTGTTTAGTTCTCCAAATGCAATTCAAACCACGTCCTTTACCATTACGTGTGTAAATAATGACGTTGAAGAAAACCTCAGCAACAGCTCACCTTCCTTCCTTAGCTTTCCGCCATCGTTGTCAATGGTCGGACTGTCAAATCATGTGACACCATTGATCCTGCCCACGTGCGCAGCTACGCTGATTTGTACAACACATGGTTGACGCAGTGTAATGTGCAAACCTAATCAATATGATTTATAAATCAAATAATATGTACGTACACCAAAAATGTACGCAGAGTTTGTACAGTCTTTAATGAGCCAGGAAACTATGGCAACTAGGCGTGTTCCCAAAGACATACACTGTCCCTGATAATGATAAACAACGACAATAAAATGTTGCAATGTAATGACGCTCTGTTGGAAACAACCGAGTCAATGTTCACTCATATTAATAATTTCATGAAACATGATTGAGGACATCAACTGCCTGGTTTGAATGTAATTGCACAATTTAGAAAATTTTAGAAATCACATTTGGAAATAAAAGAAAATATTAGGCAATCATCAGCTTTGAAAATTTATTGCAAGATAGGCAAGAGAGATTATGCCAACTCATCCCTTACACAACTCACCACGCACGCACACGCACATGCACGCAGGTACACACACACACACACACACACACACACACACACACACACACACACACACACAGTCAATGATGAAAACTCTTTCTTGTTGTTGAATTTGAGAACAATGAGACACTACAGCGCATTCTCCATACAATGATGGGATTATGAGTTTGGGTCGCACGCTCAGACGTTTCGCCTGAGCTCAGCAATGGCCCGCAGGACCGTGTCCCTTTCGCCCAGCTGACGGGGCTTTTTGCTTGTTCGCCGCGCTCTTTCCCGAAGGGGCCCCGGTGACGGGAGCATTCAGGAGCCGGAGCCATAAATGAGCGTGTTGGACGCCACATAAACACTGAGTTTTGTAAAAGACACAGACTTTGGAGCGCAGCCAAAATGCCAGGAACCAAAGGTATTATTTGTAAAGTTAACTTTTATGATTTGGTTAGCCTATATGTTTTTTATTATAGCCTTATATATATATATATATATATATATATATATATATATATATATAATATAATATAATATAATATAATGCTTTTCTCTAAGTAGTGTATAATGTAGTGAATTTATGCCTATGCTAAACTGTATGAGTGTTTTATTCTATTCAGCTAAAAGCTGAATTTGGGACTATCCATCTAGTTCAAGTGTTATTTGCTCCCAGTCTCCTCTACAGTCATACATTGACTATATGAACATTACAGTGGAGGCTGCTGAGGGGAGGACGGCTCACAATAATGGCTGGAACGGACCGAATGGAATGGCATCAAACACATGGAAACCATGTGTTTGTTTTATTTGATACCATTCCACCAATTCCACACCAGCCATTACCACGAGCCCATCCTCCCCAATTAAGGTGCCACCAACCTCCTGTAGAACGGAAAATAAAATGCACCATCCCTTTTCCTGGATCATGGGGAGTTATTTTTTAAAAGTAAATCAACATTCTTTCATCATTTGTAGGTAACAAATCTGACAAGAAATCAGCTACCAAGGTAAGAACAATAAACCAAATTCTCATTCATTGTAAATGAAAACATTCAAGTTTGTGTTTGTCTAAATTGTATTTCCCCCCAAATAATCTCCTCAGCAACCTCAGAGTCCTAAGGAGCAACCGAAGAAAGCTGATCAGAAAGGAGATGATAACAAAAAGCAAGGAGGTAAGCATTAGACTAATCTAGGATTGAGGGTAGGAGGATGCTGGTCTTAAACAGCCTCATGTACATGAGTTGTCATTTTCTAAGTTTAAATCAACTCAATCTAGTCCTTGCTCTCCAAATGATTGAGACCAAGTCAATTACAGTTGGCTATTTCTTCCCCCCCAATGCTATGTGAGAAGCAGGGTCTCTGTCTACTTTGCATGCTGTGTGTCTGCATTGAAGGTATCTTTCTGTGTTCTGTCCCCTCGCAGGACAGCCAAAGGGAGAGAAGCAATAATTTCCAGACATTTGTGAAGATGGCTCTGGAGACTCTGCTGGGATCCTGCCATCACAAGAATGGGGATCCTCGGGATAGGCAAGGCTGAAGAGCAGCCTCCCATCCTCTCCCCACCTCCTTGGACCTGCAGACAGGTCATCGCTACACAACTGCGCTCACCTGTTCTCACAAGGGCAGAAAGTGTCCCAGATTTCCATCCATCAGTGATCCACTGTGTGCCCTTTCTTCCCACCCTGTTTCCCCTCCCTCATTGTCTGCTCTGGATTGTAGGACGCTTGGAAATGGATGGTCACGAGGTCAAACCAAGCCAATGCTCTGAGCTTCCCCAGAAACCGAAACCTTCATCTACCCAATCTTTCACTCTCTTCCTATCTGCAGGTAGCTTAGTGGTTAAGAGCGTTGTGCCAGTAACCGAAAGGTCGCTGGTTCTAATCCCCGAGCCGACTAGGTGAAAAATCTGTCGATGTGCCCTTGAGCAAGGCACTTAACCCTAATTGCTCCTGTAAGTCGCTCTGGATAAGAGCGTCTGCTAAATGACTAATTATAATTATAATTATAATCTAAAGTTCCTTATTTTGATCAACTGTCTAACGGTCCAAACCATTCTTGTAAATAAGCAAATAAACTATTATTTCCTAAAACAGTCCAGCAGTTTCTTGTTGTTACATGTTCACACAATATATGTTTTTGAATGCCACGTGAGAACATGTCTGCTTGGCAGAAATGGTTTACTTAAGGCAGCTTCCTTTAACAGTGAATAGTACTTCACATAAACTTGAACCATAGACAGTGATTCAGGTTTGATACAAAATTTATTAAAAAGTATCACAGTAGCTTCACACATATACTGTAGGTAAAAGTTTTACAAAACAAACAATTGGGGTCAATATTTCACTAGGTCAGTGGTGAAAGGTGATGTGCTAAGGCTGTGCACTTGTGCCACAGATAGAACAATGACACAGATATTTCACCAGATGTATAAATGTGAAGCATCCGCTTGGCGTTTCCACTCACTACCAAATATGGGGGAGAAGATGGAAGAAGATGGATTTTGGCCGACATTCTGCAAATTAAACATTTGATTTCAATAGTTTTCTGTTCCCAAAACTATAATCTGTTATGAACAGAGTGGACTAAGTTTTGTAGACTTTACCCTTTGTCAAAGTTTTAAAAATACGCTTTGTTTAGGCTTGCAAAGGCGAATTGAGTTACTGCAAACGCACACTTCAGAGTAGGCGTTCCCTAACGGAAATGTGCACATGAATGCTAGAACGGGCCAATAGGATCTCGCTAGCTCATGCTTGGCTCTGCCCACCTCCTTGCTTGTTCTGCCCACTATGACTAATTTGTTCCCATTGGAAACAACAGGCTGTGGTCTATCTTGGTTTAGTTATAAAAATCTTTGCTTGTGCATTGCATGGAAAATTATCGGAACATTGTTCTCTAACGGAAAGCCTACTAAATTACAGTATATGTAATCTCTCGTGGACAGATCTACATAAACATAACTGGTACCGTAGAATCTGTCGGTAAGGAATGGGATGCGTGGGATAACGAGCAGCTGTAGTTCCGGTGTTTGGGTTTTTTGTTTTTGTGGACAAATCACGATTTCGCAGGCGTTAACATCTTTCGAATTTCGGAAGGGGAGGGGGCATGCAGCCGATAGACTTGCCAGGTAATTTACAAAAAGAAAGGAGCTCCTCGTTCTAGCGTCTCTTAATCCCTTCTCTTTAAATGTACGGACCCAGAACGTAACCGAGCAGCTGACCAATTACGCAAGACTTTAGTTCTGGGTTAACCAAGATTATAGTATGTTTTACATATGCCAGTGTAAGAGTCCCAGTCACAGTTGTGTAACAGAAACAAAAAGGTAACAAAAGCCAATAAGGGTTGTTTCTGGACTGGCCATCTTCAAATTAACCAAATGTATGAGCGTTCCATCATGAATTATTCATTTCCATAAAAGCATGTTAAAAAAAAGAGCAGGATATAGAAAATGACAAAAGCCTTTAGTTACTGGTGCAACTTCAAATGTCATCTTAATTTTGCATCTAAAACAGGAAGTTATGTATTTTCATAATCCGCTTTATAGCAACATGAAGAACTCTGACTGACCAAGTAAAGACTTGTGTTCTTTTTTGACTGAACTACAATAATTTGGAAAATATATCACAGTTACATAGTTATTAACAGGACAATGGAAAAATTGGCTCAAATTACAGGATGGGGAGAAGAACATAGTATAAACATACACAAACACCAACTGACATGATTATTTCCATAAATTAAAAAAAACCATGAACAAATACAAACTTCTATTATTTCTACTAAAATCCACAAAGGAAATTTGCTGCCTTATAATTCTGGTTTGTGCTGTCATACAAACAGAAATGGACACTTTCCTCATCTCAAATCTGGGTTTTACATGCTCTACAGATGTAATAACTAATTAGGTTGTAATAACAAAATGTAGCATTCTAATATGGAGGAACAGGAAAACAATACTTCAATGGCATATTCCAGAATCACTTCTGACATCTAAGGAATGGGTTCTTAGCTGTCCATAAAAGAGAGTGAAAGATTGACCACTGCCATGCTGACAGGATGGGTATTGATTGAGAATCACAGTGAGATGTCTGATCCGTATCTGCTGTCTGTCTTTCCACAAGGGACGAATGCAGCAGCTCAAACAAAAGGATGTGATTAAGGAAGAGTGGGCCATTATTTCAAGAGTATCAAAAATAGTTTGTCACCAGCAGGTTACAGTAGGTAGATAGCCCAATCTCTTAGGCGGTGTCCTGAGCACTGCATGTTGGTCTTGAGTAAAATAGTTGATATACTGTACATAGGGGTGGTTGTGTGTACTCTTCAGTCCAATACAAGAGGACTTCACACAACAGGCTCACATTCATTCCCTCGTTATTGCTTCCCTTCTCTCGCCGTCTTTGTCCCCAGCCCTCTCTCGCTCTCTCACACAGACACACATCTAGAGTATGATACGGTAGAGCACCCAGCAGCCAAACGTCACCCAGTGACTGGCCCAGCTCAGCTCCGACCACTTCTGAATGGTGTGGTTGGCCACGTCACTCTGTAGAGGGAGAGAACGTAGACATGGGTTTGGAATGCCTAACTCAACCATAATGCTTCGTTCTAAAAGATCTGACGATGCTACGTGTTATCGTATCATCAGAGTCATGTATGTACAGTTGAAGTCGGAAGTTTACATACACCTTAGCCAAATACATTTAAACTCAGTTTTTCACAATTCCTGACATTTAATCCTAGTAAAAATTCCCTGTTTTAGGTCAATTAGGATCACCACTTTATTTTAAGAATGTGAAATGTCAGAATCATTGTAGAGAGAATTATTTATTTCAGCTTTTATTTCTTTCATCACATTCCCAGTGGGTCAGAAGTTTCCATACACTCAATTAGTATTTGGTAGCATTGCCTTTAAAATTGTTTAACTTGGGTCAAATGTTTCAGGTAGCCTTCCACAAGCTTCCCACAATAAGTTGGGTGAATTTTGGCCCATTCCTCCTGACAGAGCTGGTGTAACTGAGTCAGGTTTGTAGGCCTCCTTGCTCGCACACGCTTTTTCAGTTCTGCCCACAAATTTTCTATAGGACTGAGGTCAGGGCTTTGTGATGGCCACTCCAATACCTTGACTTTGTTGTCCTTAAGCCATTTTTACATTTACATTTTAGTCATTTAGCAGACGCTCTTATCCAGAGCGACTTACAGGAGCAATTAGGGTTAAGTGCCTTGCTCAAGGGCACAGACAGATTTTTCACCTAGTCGGCTCGGGGATTAGAACCAGAGACCTTTTGGTTACTGGCACAACGCTCTTAACCACTAAGCAACCTGCCGCCCCTATTTTGCCACAACTTTGGAAGTATGCTTGGGGTCATTGTCCATTTGGAAGACCCATTTGTGACCAAGCTTTAACTTCCTGACTGATGTCTTGAGATGTTGCTTCAATATATCCACATAATTTTCCTTCTTCATGATGCCATCTATTTTGTGAAGTGCACCAGTCCCTCCTGCAGCAAAGCACCCCCACAGCATGATTCTGCCATCCCCGTGCTTCACGGTTGGGATGGTGTTCTTCGGCTTGCAAGCCACACTTTTTTTCCTCCAAACATAACGATTGTCATTATGGCCAAACAGTTCTATTTTTGTTTCATCAGACCAGAGGACATTTCTCCAAAAAGTAAGATCTTTGTCCCCATGTGCAGTTGCAAACCGTAATCTGGCTTTTTTATGGCGGTTTTGGAGCAGTGGCTTCTTCCTTGCTGAGCGGCCTTTCAGGTTATGTCGATATAGGACTCGTTTTAAAGTGGATATAGATACTTTTGTACCCGTTTCCTCCAGCATCTTCACAAGGTCATTTGCTGTTGTTCTGGGATTGATTTGCACGTTCCGCACCAAAGTACGTTCATCTCTAGGAGACAAAACGCGTCTCCTTCCTGAGCGGTATGACGGCTGAGTGGTCCCATGGTGTTTATACTTGCGTACTATTGTTTGTACAAATGAACGTGGTACCTTCAGGCGTTTGGAAATTGCTCCCAAGGATGAACCAGACTTGTGGAGGTCTACAATTTATTTTCTGAGGTCTTGGCTGATTTCTTTTGATTTTTCCATGATGTCAAGCAAAGACGCACTGAGTTTGAAGGTAGGCCTTGAAATACATCCACAGGTACATTACATTTACATTTTAGTCATTTAGCAGACGCTCTTATCCAGAGCAACTTACTGTTAGTGAGTGCATACATTATCTTTTTATTTTTCACACCCCCTTGTATACAACTCCAATTGACTCAAATGATGTCAATTAGCCTATCAGAAGCTTCTAAAGCCATGACATCATTTTCTGGAATTTTCCAAGCTGTTTAAAGGCAGTCAACTTAGTGTATGTAAACTTCAGACCCACTGGAATTATGATACAGTGAATTATAAGTGAAATAATCTGTGAACAATTGATGGAAAAATTACTTGTGTCATGCACAAAGTAGATGTCCTAACCGACTTGCCAAAACTATAGTTTGTTAACAAGAAATTTGTGGAGTGGTTTAAAAACTACTTTTAATGACTGCAACCTTAGTGTATGTAAACTTCCGACTTCAACTGTATTTGGCCATCTTAGAGCCTGACACCCTTCAGTAAATAGTTACCTCCTCCTCATCATCCATGTAGTCAACACTGGAGTTGAACAGAGAGCCCAGGTATGCCAGGTGGAAGACTGCCAGGGTACTGAAGGCTACGTTAATGATGTACACCCACAGGACCTGTGTTGATGGGAGGAGCAGAAGAGATTGCAAACATTCTTATTGGGGATTTTTTGGCATCGGTTAAAGGAAAGGTTCACCCATTTTGAATGTTATATTGTTTTTGAGCATCTTTGAGAGATGTTTTATCGATTCCCTTGGTCATTTCATGTTTTCATGTGTATCTGAGTCATTGGCGTTCAAGCAGGCAGAAATCCGGCCGGTTTGACATAGCACCGTGATAAAGTCGCTCTCAGGTAGCCTTCCACAAGCTGGAAGTTAATAGGAATACGACTTTTATATCGCAGAAATGTCTATCATACGGTTCATGTCAGATTTCAATACTGGCAGATGTCATAACGATTAGTTACCGGAGTGTAACTCCAGTTCTATGAGTGGAGCGGAGCCCCATAGGGGAGCTCTGCTCCTATTGGTTTACCCACTGCCCTAAGGCAGCATCAGCCTGAGACAAAATTATGCACACACCTACAGCCAATAGGAGTACAGGTGTCCCTATAAGAGGGGATGCCTCCCCTCAATCAGCCTCCCGAGATATTTATCTTCAGCGAGACTAGAGAGGGTCGGCAGGGCCTTAAGTCCTATGGGGCTCCGCTCCACTCATAGAACTGGAGTTACACTCCGGTAACTAATCGTTCTATATCGTGGAGCTCCGCCCCATATGGGAGCTCTGCTCCTATTGGTTTAAGGCGGAGCGTAGCGCTCCAAAATGTACTCCCTGCCGAGCCCAACACTTCCCATCAAAATGAAAAGGTCAGGCCTAGCAATGGCTGCAACCAATTCCCGCAGTACTGCAACCACTGTAACCATACAAGTGTCACAATATTTATTTATTTAATTTATTTATTTAACCTTTATTTAACCAGGAAGGGCTCATTGAGATTTAAAATCTATTTTTCAAGAGCGTCCTGGCCAAGATAGGCAGCACCAAGTCATTACAAAAAATTACAGACAGACAACATGAAAAACTACAAGTAATCTAGTAAAAACCATTCATGAATTCACAAGAGTATAACAATATCAAAAACAGCAAATTAAAAACATTGACAGGTCAGGGAATCAGCCTCAAAATCCTTCATCAGAGATTTAAAAACACCAATCGGGACAAGTTCTTCCAGTTTAAAATTATTTTGTAAGGTGTTCCAAGACGATGGCGCAGAGTACATAAAATACCTTTTACCAAATTCAGTTCGGACATTTGGAACAGTTAGCAGGATAAAGTCCAGTGAACGAAGAGAGTACCCACCACATTTCTGAACAATAAAAATGCCCAAATAAAAAGGTAGTAAACCCAAAATGGCTTTGTAAATAAAAGTATACCAGTGACTGAGCCTACGAGTGACTAGAGAAGGCCAGCCAACCCTGGTATACAAAGTACAGTGGTGCGTAAGGGTTTTGCAGTTTAAAATAAATCTCAAAGTACCATGATAAAGAGTGTCAATTGATCTCAAACACTGAGCGGAAGCATTCATATATAAAATATCCCCATAGTCTAGTAAAGGCATAAATGTAGCTGATACTAGCCTCCTTCTGGCTTCAAAAGAAAAACAGGCCTTATTCCTAAAATAAAATCCCAATTTCAGCTTCAATTTTTTTGTAAGTTGTTGAATATGCAATTTAAAAGAGAGGCCGTCATCAATTAGAATTCCAAGATATTTATATGAGGTTACAACCTCAATCTCCTTGCCCTGACAGGTAGTAACAGGTGAAAGGTTCAGAGGTCTATTTCTTGCATTAGAAAACACCATTAGTTTAGTTTTGTCAGTATTGAGGATAAGCTTCAATTGACACAAGGTATGTTGAACAGTATAAAAAGCAGTTTGCAAGTTCTGGAAAGCTTTTGTAAGAGATGAGGCACAACAGTAAATAACAGTATCATCAGCATAAAAATGAAGTTGTGCATTTTGGACATTTTTGTCTAAATCATTAATATAAATAGTGAATAAGAGAGGACCAAGTACAGAGCCCTGGGGCACACCATTCAGGACAGACAATTTAACAGACATAAGCCCATCAAATTGAGTGCACTCTATCAGACAGATAGTTAGCAAACCATGCAACTGCATGCTCCGAAAGACCTACACTCAACAATCTCTGCCTTAGTATAGCATGATCAACTGTATCAAAAGCCTTAGAGAGATCAATAAAAAGTGCGACACAGTGCTGTTTTTTGTCAAGGGCTTCAGTGATATCATTTAAAACCTTCATGGCTGCTGTAATTGTGCTATGCTTCTTCCTGAAGCCCGATTGATACATTGATAAAATAGAGTTAGTAAATAAAAACTCTTTTAGCTGTTCACTTACAAGGTTTTCAAGTATTTTCACCAGGGGTGACAGCTTTGAGATTGGCCTATAATTATTTAAAAGAGTTGGATCTCCCCCTTTTAAAAGTGGTAGGACAAATGCTGACTTCCAGATCTTTGGAATTTCATTACATTCCAGGGTTAGATTGAACAGATATGTAAGTGGTTCAGCTATGAAATCAGCTGCCAGATTTAAAAAGCAGGGATCCAAAAGATCAGGACCTGCAGGCTTTCTTTGATCTAAGGATTTCAGGGCTTTATGTAACACCTGCACTGAGAATGGCAGAAAACTAAAAGTTTGACCAGCTCTCACTGGTTCATCCACACAGGGTTGTACAGAGACAGAGGACACTGGTTCATCCACACAGGGTTGTACAGAGACAGAGGACACTGAATCAAACAGCCTACCAGATGATACAAAGTGCTCATTGAAACAATTCAGCATTTCAGTTTTGTCATATATAGCAACAGAGTCCTTCAAAACACATGACGGTAATTCATTAACATTACTGTTACCAGACATAGACTTAATAGCATTCCAAAACTTTCTAGGGTCATTCAGGTTATCAGTGGTAACAGACATAAAATATTCAGACTTGGCCTTCCTGAGAAGAAAATAACACTTGTTTCTTAACTACCTAAAAATAAGCCAATCAGCATCAGAACAAGATTTCCTTGCTTTAGCCCAGGCTAGATTACGGTCGTGAATAATACAAGACAGCTCAGAAGAAAACCATGGATTATCCCGCCCTTTAACCCTGAACCTGCGGAATGGTGCATGTTTGTTTACTATTTGGAAAAAACCATCATGAAAGAATATCCAGGCAGTTTCCACATCAGGGATAAGCTCAATCTTGCTCCAGTCAAAATAAAACAAATCATGAAAGAAAGCCTGCTCATTAAAACACTTCAAATTTCTCTTACGAATAAAACGTGGATTTGTCTTTGGAACCTTAGTATTTCTAACAGCAACAACAGCACAATGGTCACTTAAATCATTACAAAAAACACCAACCGCAGAATATTTATGTGGAACATTTGTCAATATCAAATCAATCAGGGTAGATTTATCAGGGCATTTAAGATTTGGGCGAGTGGGTGAATTAATCAACTGGGTAAGATTCATAGAATTACAAAACATTTTTAAATCATCAGACACCGGCTTTAACCAACACCAGTTGAGATCACCAATCAAGATCATTTCACTGTAAAGAAGTTTAGACATAAGGTGCGTCAAAGAAGAAAATGCATCACCAAGAGCAGAGGGGGGTCTATAACAGCCAATCACAGTTATAGAGAGGCCCTTTGAAACCTCAATATTCAAAGCAAGAAATTCCAACTGTTTACAAATAGTTTCAGACTTTGCCACACTTACATGGAATTTAGATTTTACATATATAGCCACACCCCCACCTTTCTTAACCCGATCTGCACGATAAACATTGTAACCACTTATACAAATATCCTTATCAAAAATAGACTTGCTGAGCCAGGTTTCCGAAAACACAATTACATCAGCATCAGTTGATTTAGCCCAAATCCTAACCCCATCAATTTTTGACAACAGGCTGCGTACATTTAAATGAAAAATACCAAAACCAGATCTTGATTTAAAATCAGAGGGGGTTTGGAGACATTGCATATCAGGGCCAGGGTTAGGTTGCACGTTACCTGATATCAACAACAGAAGAATAACTAGGCACCTCTGTTTAATAACCTTGCACGGCTTCTCTTTTTTAAGAGACCTACTGCAAGCGAATTCTACAAGTGAGTTTCCAGACAATACAAAACAGTCATTTAAAACCATTAGACTTTGGTAGTGACACAAATTCGTACTGTTCACATCATGCCACAAATGCATCGGCACTTGGACGAGTGGACCGAGTGAAAAAGAGCGAGTTCCTGCAGACAAAATGTCTAATGGACGCGAGAGTACATTGTCAGATGTACTCACCCTGCGACAATGTTCGTTTTCTCCAGAGTTCAATAAAGTCAGTGCACAAAGCAATACCACGTAAATTGTCATTTTCTCTGACCAAAAAACAAGAGGCCAACGAAGGTAAGTGGAGAGAGGGACAGCGTGTATGTGAGTCAATGTGAGTGTTTGCGCGTGTGAGTAGATTGGGTGTTGAGGGCGATAGAGAGAACGGGTTGAGCTGCCACTGACAGCCAGGCGAAGAGCAAGGAGCAGCTCGGACAAGACACTCCGCGGACTAACGAGGAACTCAGGCCAGCCAGAGATAGGGTTACTTTGGTAAACTTCAAGTAATGAAGTTCCGAGTTGAGGAGGACCCGTGATCTTTACACCAGCAAAAATAAAATAGTTTGCACTACGCAACAACGAAGTTACGCAACCATAAATAAATAGATTATTAGTAGGTTAAAATGTACTAGTCACAAACAAACGACTTGACAAACGACTTGACATGCTGCCATCTTGGATACTGCGTCATCGGTTAAAAACCCGCCCCACCTAGTCCAATGGCAACACCAATGACTAGTGGGCAGATCACCAGAATACAGGCCATACTAATCTGTACTAGCAGATAGATGGTACCTCAATATCCTGTTACAATACTACCGACCACTAATGGAATAACACAAAGTGTCACTCTACATTGTGTACACGGTAGGCCGCCTCACTCAATCAATGGAACCCCAGAGATTAGCGGGCAGATCCCAGAACATGATTCATACTAATCTGAACAAGCAGATAGATGACGTCACATTCCGTCAAATTGTCATGACCGGTCTAATAGTATCGTAACCAAGTTATAATAAATAATAATAAGTTACTACTATTATCCCCCATCATTCCGCCCCACTACATTGAATCACTGGTGGGCAGATCAATACATGCCCTCTACTGTACTGAACCTGTCAGTCAGGAGTCATGCCAAAAATATGTCCTTCTATCAGAAGCGGACCTGATGGAGACCCTGTCTCCTCAGTCCTGCATTCCTCTCCTCCTAGCTCAAGTTCTCCCTTCAGCTACGCTGAGTACAGACTGAGCCAAAGAGTTAGAAGACACATCCAAGAGATAGAAACGGATAAATGGAGACGGTGTTGACCATGACGCCGCTCTACATATATCCTCTACCCCTGTTCCTCTGAAAAGGGCAGTAGAAGCTGCTACTCCACGAGTGGAGTGAGCTCTGATACCCTGAGGCAATTGTCGCCCCGCTAGCTCATAAGCTGTCTCAATGCCCTCACAAAGCCAATGAGACAGACGCTGTTTCGAAAGTGGTCTACCTAGTGCAGCCGCACCGTGACACACAAACAGCTGAGGCGATGACCTAATCGCTGCTGTGCGCTCGACGTAACACGCCAAGGCGCGTACTGGGCACAGGCGATGGAGCCTTTCCTCACTCCTCTCCCTATGAGGGGGAGAAAAAGCCCACAGCTCCACGGTCTATGATCTATATGAACTCCTAATAACCTTCGGCACCAATGCCGGGTTAGGACGTAACACCGCTCTGCTCAGATCGCCATTAATGGCCAGGCAGTCGGGTCTCGTCGAAAGAGCACACAAATCACTGACACGCTTAGCAGTAGTCAAAGCGAGCAACAGTGCAGTCTTCATAGACAGCATCTTGAGGGGTATTTGATTCAATGGCTCGAACGGCGACTTACATAGCGCTTCGAGTACCAAAGCCAAATCCCACTGAGGAAGCGTGGCTCTAGGTGTTGGCCTAAGCCGCCGCGTTCCTAATAGGAAACGTTTCACTAGAGGGTGGCTAAAGACATTGTCTCTGCCAAACCCCTCGTGACAAGCTGAAATCGCTGCTGCAAACACCTTAATGGTGGCGGGCGATCGCTGCTTATCAAACATAAGCTGTAGGAAAGAGAGAATACTCTCAACCTGACAGCTCATGGGGTCTACACCTTGTGTGACACACCATCGTGAAAACACGTTCCATCTACTGGCATACATCCTGGAAGTGGAACTGGCACGTGAACCCTGTATGGTCCTGATCACTGCATCAGATAACCCACGGCGCTCTAGCCTGTCCCTCTCAGCAGCCAGGCCTTCAGTGGTTGGCCGATTATGGGCAACTGCCCTATCGTGCCCCCCGCCTGAGACAATGCGTCCCGTCGATGTGGAATTGGCCAAGGTGGCGCAATCAACATCTGACTCATCTCCGCAAACCAAGGAGCCCCTGGGCGATCGGGGGCTATCAATATCACTGACAGCCCTCCTGACCTCACCCTGGCTAAAAGAGGGAGAATGCAGGACAGGAGGGAATGCATACAGAAGAACTCTCGGCCACGGGTGGTGCGCAAAAGCGTCTCTTCCCAGTGGCGGTTCGTCCTGTTCCCTCAGAGAGAACCATAGGGGACATTGCGCGTTCACGCGTGACGCGAATAGATCCACCTCGGCTCTCCCGAGCTGTTCCCAAATTTGGAGAACAATGTCCGGATGCAGACACCACTCGTCGTCTCGAGGTACCCCCTCTTGACATGAGGTCTGCTCCTACGTTCAAGTAGCCCGGAATGTGTGCTGCTCTCAATGAGCGAAGGTGCTCGTGAGCCCACAGCCACAATTCCTCTGCCGCCCGATGGAGAGCAGGAGACCTGACTCCTCCCTGGCGATTTATGTGGGCTACTGTGGTCCGGTTGTATAACCAGACCAGAACATCGCGACCCCGAAGGGTAGACGCGAAGTGGGTCAAAACCAGTCGAACCGTTTCCAACTCCAAGAGGTTGATGTGGCGACTCGAAAGAGGCCACACACCTCCTATCGCTTGGGTCTGACATGTCCCTCCCCATCCAGTCAGAGACGCATCTGTGAACACTGGGATGTAAGAGGACACTTTGCCTATCGGGACTCCATGCGTGACAACGCGCAGGTTTCTCCAATAGTTCAGATCTGCACTGAGCGAGAGGGGAACCACCACCAACCGATGACGTTGACGCAATGGGTCTAGTCTTAGTTGGGCGAACCATCGCTGCATCCTGCGCATGTGCCGGAGTCCCAGCGGAACCACAGAGTGGGCTGACGACGAGACCCAAAAGTGACATGATCGACAGCGCCGTCACCGTGTGATTCGGACGACACTTCCTCAGGGCTAGCAACAAGGCTACCCTTCGGGGGTCCGAAATTCGAGCCCTCATCATTACAGTGTCTAGCTGTATCCCCAGGTAGAAAATCTGATGACTGGGCCAGGGCGCGCTCTTTTTCCAATTCACAGCGAACCCCAGACGTGTGAGATGAATCACTGTGTCGTGTGAGTGATCGCCAGACGACGCAACGGTTCCAATGCCTCCTCCACACACTTGGAAAACGTGCGAGGTGCCAGGGCGTACCCAAATGGCATCCTCGTGTATTCGTACGCCACCCCTTGAAAGGCGAATCGCAGAAACTTCCTGTGACGCGGCTGTACCGGCACATGAAAGTACGCGTCCTTTAGGTCTATGCTCGTACAAAAGTCTCCTTTCTGGACACATTCCAGCAGACGTTTTGTCGTTAGCATTCGAAAGGGCCGGTTGGTTACGCTCTCGTTGAGAATGCGTAAATCCAATATCGGCCTCATTCCCCCCGTCTTTTTGGGCACCAGGAAGTAGGGCGAATATAGCCCTTTGTTCCTTTGCTCCTGGGGAACTACTGTGACCACCTCCTTCGCCAAAAGTTCCGTAATCTCTGAAACCAGAGCGGCCACTTTTTCGGGCGTTTTCATCACCGTCTCCTCTGAATGGGGGTGGGGTCCGATGGAATTGGAGGGCATAACCCTTCTGCAACGTCTGTTCTAGCTAGCGTGAGAGGGTGCAGCTTCGCTGCCACTGCCAGCAATGCAGAGAAAGCGGGCGAGCGCGAAGCTGTGGTACATTCAGTAGGAAGGACCTGTATTCCTCTATGGCCCTTGCCGCTGCTGTTCTCCAACACTGAGGTGGTGGAACAGCCCAAGGCGGGCCTCCCATGAAAGGGAGAGGAAACATTAGTGCGCTCTGAGAGAGAAGGAGGGGCAGAGACGTCAGTTAAACCCGTAACCGTCGTATTCCTGCCCTCCGTGAACGCAGCGCGGGTCTGAATTGCACTGACCGAGGCCACAGCCTGCGACAGGGCACCATCCCCAGCAAGCGATTGCGTCATCATCCCAGATGACTGCAATTCGCTATTAGAGCCCCTCACTACAATACTCCTAGGAGTCTGTAATATGAGGTCTCTATGAGGTAACACAAGGCGGCGCCTTGATACCTTCTTAACCTTCACCTTCTGTGTGTGTTCAACTCTGCACCTCTGGTGGGTTGAGCCACACTCAGCGTGGTGAGCATCAGCGCGTTCTGTGAGAAGCGGGGGCACCGATACATTGGTTATACCCGTAACCATAGTAATCAGGCCCTCCGTGAACGCAGCATGGGTCTGAATCGCATTAACAGAGACCTTAGTCTGCGATAATGCACCATCCCCCAAACAACGGTTGCGTCATCCTGTCTCCTGACTGAGACTGCAACCTGCTATGAGAGACACTCACTACAGTACTCCTTGGAGTCTGTAATGTGAGGTCTCTTTGAGATAACCTAAGACGGTGCCTTGGTATCTTTTTCCCTTTCACCTCCTGTGTGTGCTCAGCTCTGCACCTTTGGTGGGCTGAATTACACTCAGTGTGGTGAGCATTGGCGCGTTCTAAGAGAGGTGGGGGCGCCGATACGTTGGTTACTTTCGTGACCGTGGTAATCGGGCCCTCCGTGAACGCAGCATGGGTCTGAATCGCACTAACAGAGACCTTAGTCTGCGATAGTGCGCCATCCCCAAATAGCGGCTGTGTCATCATGTCAGTGTCTGACCGAGACTGCAGCCTGCTATGTGAGACACTCACTACAGCACTCCTAGGAGTCTGTAATGTGAGGTTTCTATGAGGTAACACAAGGCGACGCCTTGATACCTTCTTAACATTCACCTCCTGTGTGTGTTCAGCTCTGCACCCCTGGTGGGCTGAGCTACACTCAGTGTGGTGAGCATCAGCGCATTCTGAGAGAAAACGGGGGCGCCGATATGTTGGTTAAACCCGTAACCGTAGTATTCCGGCCCTCCTTGAATGCAGCATGGGTCTGAACTGCACTGACAGAGGCCTTAGCCTGAGACAGTGCGCCTTCCCCCAAATAGCGGTTGCATCATCCTGTCACTATCTGACTGAGACTGCAGCCTGCTATGTGAGACACTCACTACAGCACTCCTAGGAGTCTGTAATGTGAGGTCTCTATGAGGTAACACAAGGCGGCGCCTTGATACCCTTTTTAACATTCACCTCCTGCGTGTGCCCAGCTCTGCACCCCTGGTGGGCTGAGCTACACTCAGTGTGGTGAGCATCAGCGCGTTCTGAGAGAAACGGGGGCGCCGATACTTTGGTTAAACTCGTAACCATAGCATTCCGGCCCTCCGTGAACGCAACACGGGTCTGAACTGCACTGACTGAGGCGTTAGCCTGAGACAGAGCGCCGTCCCGAATAGCGGTCGCGTCATCATCCGGCTGAGACTGCAGCCTGCTATGTGAGACACTCACTACAGCACTCCTAGGAGTCTGTAAAGTGAGGTCTTCATAAGGTAACATCTTAAACTTAATATCCTTTTTATACCTACCTTATGTGTGCGCTCAGCAACGCACCGTGGTGGGCTGAGCTGCACTCGAGTGGTAAGAGAGAGAGCGAGAGTGAGGAAGGTGGAACGCTCTCGGATGTATTATGGAAAAGGGGCTCTTTTTTTTTTACAAAGTCAGGTAGAGCCAACTCTTTATTACACACATCAACAAAAAACATTCTCCTCCATACCCTCAACGGTAGGGTGGGGGGGAACAGTGGGCTCAGTCACACCAGGCGCTGCGCCGTCTTCCGTTCTCTCCCCCTCGCCATGACATAAACAGCGTCTCTTCTGGCCGCCCTTCGGGTGATGCCAGGATGACGCTTTAATGACCTCTCTCGCCGGCGGAATGGTCGGCACCTCTGGCGCTGCAGGGGGGGGGGGCGAGGCCCGCTCCCTTGCTGCTGGAGGCCACCGTCTGACGCCGAGCTGTAGCGAGAGTAACGGCCGCCCTCCATCATGTCCACTTCCGGGTTGGAGGGAATGGGGGGCAGCTTAATCTCCAGCTGTTTAGCAGCCCACTCAATGAGACCTGAAAATTCAGAGCACAGAGAGGCTGTGGCGTCATCATCCAGGGATGTAAATGACCTCACACTTTCCTGAGGGAAAAGGGGTGTTAAACATCTGGGTTAGTGTAATGAATTGTTTCAACAGAATATTCATTTCTTCCCCAATAGCCCTGTCATCTCCTGAGTCAGTGCCCTCAGATGATGCCTCAGAAGCTAAGGCTAACACTGATAGCACATCCTCAAGAGGAATATCCTCCCTTAAAATGCCCAACGCTGCTTCCTCTCCTTCAAAAAAAGGAGGGCGCAGCTGGCGCATAGTGGGGGATTAATTTGGCCGTCCCTGGCATGCCGTGTCCCTCAACCCACGAAACATAAGTCGGTGGGGGTCGACAGCCGCCAAGGGGAACAGCGACATAGAGCTCTGAAAATAGCTTTTGTTTAATACTTACCCTACGGATAAGCTTGGTGTGCTCATTGTAGAACGACGTCGATGATCTGGAAAATCGACAGCGTTTTCTTCGTCCTGAGTCTTCTCTTCGTCTCTTCTTGGCTTCTTCAGTCTAGTCCAGTCGCTGAAGATAAAGGGAGGCTGATTGAGGGGAGGCATCCCCTCTTATAGGGACACCTGTACTCCTATTGGCTCTAGGTGTGTGCATAATTTTGTCTCAGGCTGATGCTGCCTTAGGGCAGTGGGTAAACCAATAGGAGCAGAGCTCGGGAGGATGTCTTCTCTCGAATGAGCCATTGATCATATTTTTGCGATATTCCTACCTCGACAAATGTGTAATTTAATGGAGGGTCTAGCACATTTTAACTATTTCCTATTTAGTCCAGGCAGTATTGCATGGTGCCGTTGCCAGAGATATTATAGAAAGGAGATAAGAATCCATTGAATGAAGGAATGTATAACACCCTACCCAGCAGACTGTCGACCAATCGCGTTCACGTTGTCATTCCGCGTCACGCGGTTGCTAAGCGTCACGCAATCCCTTCTCAAAGTCAGTGTATATGTCGAGAAACGTGCAGATTTTTCTCGAAAGCACATAATGTCACGATTCCAAAGCTATACGATACTACGGATAGCAAGTTAATTATCTCACATCTCTGAAAAGATTTGTAATGTGTTACTTCTTGTTGACGAAATTCGTGCTAATGTTGGGGTTTTGAACTAGCGTGTTACGCATACAGGAATCCTGTGTCTTTTTGTGTTTTTCCTCTCCTTCTGCCCTAATCACAGGTGTCCTGTATGTTCCTGATTGGTGGTCGTTGAGGTGTCTGCTGATTGCTAAGGTGGACCAATCAGTGAACATTCCTCTGCATTGCACCACCTGTAGCTGGTTTTTCCATCACACATTTCATTGTTTAAAAGCCGGTCAGTTGTGTTTTTTGTGAGAGACTATTTCCGTATGTGAACAGGTTGAGAGCTTCAAGTTCCTTGGTGTCCACATCACCAACGAACTATCATGGTCCAAACACACCAAGACAGTCGTGAAGAGGGCACGACAAAGCCTATTCCCCCTCAGGAGACTAAAAAGATTTGGCATGGGTCCTCAGATCCTCAAAAAATTCTACAGCTGCACCATCGAGAGCATCCTGACTGGTTGCATCACCGCCTGGTATGGCAACTGCTTGGCCTCTGACCGCAAGGCACTACAGAGGGTAGTGCGTACGGCCCAGTACATCACTGGGGCAAAGCTCCCTGCCATCCAGGACCTCTATACCAGGCGGTGTCAGAGGAAGGCCCTCAAAATTGTCAAAGACTCCAGCCACCCTAGTCATAGACTGTTCTCTCTGCTACCGCACGGCAAGCGGTACCGGAGTGCCAAGTCTAGGTCCAAAAGACTTCTCAACAGCTTCTACCCCCAAGCCATAAGACTCCTGAACAGCTAATCATGGCTACCCGGACTATTTGCACTGCCCCCCCACCCCATCCTTTTTACGCTGCTGCTACTCTGTTAAGTATTTATGCATAGTCACTTTAACTCTACCCACATGTACATATTACCTCAACTACCTCAACTAGCCGGTGCCCCCGCACATTGACTCTGCAACGGTACCCCCCTGTATATATAGCCTCCCTACTGTCACTTTATTTTACTGTATATATAGCCTCCCTACTGTCACTTTATTTTACTTCTGCTCTTTTTTTCTCAACACTTTTTTTGTTGTTGTTTTATTCTTACTTTTTTTGTTTAAAATAAATGCACTGTTGGTTAAGGGCTGTAAGTAAGCATTTCACTGTAATGTCTGCACCTGTTGTATTCGGCGCATGTGACCAATAAAATTTGATTTGATTTGATACTGTGGTGTCCTGTGTTTTGTTTACGCACTAAGTTGCTGGTTACTCTGTTTGGTAACTCTGTGTGTTTCTGGGAAAAGGGGAGTTTAAGCAAGTTGCCCTTGGGCGTACATTACCCGTAGGAAGAAAACTGTCTAAAAACACTAGTTAGACCTGAGCGGACCACCCACTGTATTTTTGTATGATTAGCAGTAGCTTAGCGGTTCTTGAGGCAGGCAAGATCAGTTTAGGGGTGTTTTACACTATTGTTTCATTTCTTGGGTCCTGCTCAGCCCTTTTTCCCAAACCTTTACCGTGTGTTCAACAATAAACCTTTTATGTTTGACGGTAGTTTATGGTTGTCGTGTAGTTTTATTTCTCACTGTTCCATGTCACGCTTATAATTTGCATGAATTATGTTACGGGTCTCATGTCCATCCACCCTAGACGTTTAAAGCCACGGGGTTCGTAACATAATGTGGGGGCTCGTCTGGGATATATCTCATTGATACTCATGCAAATTAGTTAGTGTCTGGTTCAGTGTTGAGCTTGGCAGCTGTAACTACCTGTTTTTTTTGTGTTCAGTATTCGACGGCTCGTGTTGCTAGTTTAGGATGGCTACTTTTGAGTTGGATGCATTTTTGGAAAACCCTACGTGGGAGGTTTTTGAGAATTGCCGTAGAGTGGATCTACAGGCTTTGGCTGACCACTTTTCTGTACCCATATCAAGGGTTTTAGTGAAAGCAGAAGTTAGGAAAGCAGTGTTAGAGATATTATTGAACGAGCGAGTGCTTGAATTACCGACGCTTGACCCTGCTGCTCCTGTAGGGGATGTGGTTGCTGCTCCTGTAAGCCCATCGGTGTCTGAGGACGAGGCTAAGGCTCCAGCCACATTGCCCCGTTTTGACCCACTCTCCCCACTGACTGACAGTGATGCCAGGATGGATGTCCGCTCGACACGGCTCCAAATGGAGGCGGAAGAGCGAGCACAGATCAGGCAAGACAAGCTGGAGACGCGTAATATGGAACTGGAGACGCGTAGGCTTGATCAGGAACTGGAGACGCGTAAGATGGAACTGAAAACGCGTAGGCTTGATCAAGAACAGGAGACGCGTAAGATGGAACTAGAGGCAGAACAGGAGACGCGTAAGATGGAACTGGAGATGCATAAAATGGAACTAGAGGCAGAAACAGCGAGGTTAGTCTCTGCTCATACTATGTCTTCTAGTGAGCCGTCCTCACCAGCTGTGTCGTCTGCTACTTTTGATATTAGTAGACAGATCACCTTGGTACCTGTGTTTAGGGAGTCAGAGGTTGATTCCTATTTCAGTGTTTTTGAACGTATAGCAGTAGCATTGAAATGGCCCGAAGAGGTATGGTGCCTATTACTTCAGTGTAAATTAACAGGTAAAGCCCAAGAGGTTCTGTCAGCGCTACCTCTTGAAGACAGCTTGAATTATGACGTGGTCAAAGCTACTGTTCTTCGTGCTTATGAGCTTGTTCCTGAGGCATATCGACAGAGATTTAGGTCTCATAAAAAGGCTTCTACTCAGACTTATGTGGAGTTTGCTAGAGACAAAGGAAATCTGTTTGACAAATGGCACAGTGCTAGTAAGGTAACTGATTTTAACTCTCTACGGGAGTTAATCTTGTTAGAAGAGTTTAAAAATTGCTTACCCGAACGCATTGTAGTTTATCTGAACGAACAGAAAGTATCCTCACTGTCGGAAGCGTCTGTATTGGCAGACGAGTTTGTGTTGACGCATAAGAGCGTGTTTTCAGCTCGTACGGAGAGCAGGGCCACAGAGTTGCTAACTTTTAGTCCTAGTCGACCAGCAGTACATCCAGCACGCCCAAAAGATGTGCGTCACTGTTTCTATTGTCATAAGGTGGGACATATGGGTAATGATTGCTTTCTGCTTAAACGCAAACAGGGGATGCCTCAGCACGCCAGGCCGCCAACGGGTGTTGGGCTGATTCGTACGGTTGTAAGGCCGGAATCAAGACAGAGGCCTCATAGTGAATGTGGTTTGAAAGTCCCTGTCCCAGATCACAGTTATGAACCGTTCATTTTTAAAGGGGTTTGTTTCTATATCAGATGACGAAGCGTCTCAGCGTCCAGTTAGAATCCCCAGAGATACTGGTGCGGCGCAGTCGTTCATACTATCTGATGTGTTGCCCTTGTCCAATAATACATATTGTGGTTCCAGTGTGTTAGTACAAGGAATTGAAATGGGATTCGTCCCAGTGCCATTGCACTTTGTGAACGTACACTCTGAGTTAGTCAGTGGAGTGTTCAGAGTTGGCGTACGTCCTATGTTGCCAGTAAAAGGTGTGACATTCATAATGGGCAACGATATTGCCGGAGGAAAGGTGATACCCGTATTGGAGGTATTGGATAAAAGTGACCAGTCTCTCTCCGAGGAGCTGGCACAGGGTTATCCAGATGTGTTCCCCGCTTGTGCTGTCACACGTGCTCAAGCACGACAAGTGGGTGAAGTGATAGATTTGTCGAACACGATTCTATTCAGAGAGTGTGACCCAGAGGATAGTTTGGGTGCTACCTCTGGTAAGCTGGTGCAGTCTGACCAACAGTCCAGAGAAAGGAAGAAGGATGTGGAACTTGTTGCTGAGGCAATACAGTTACCAGTTACTCGTGAGCAGTTGATCGCTAACCAAAAGGTTGACATTAGCCTGGCTAAATGTTTTTCTAGTGTTGTCTCAGAGGAGCAGCTAAAGAAGAAAAACATGGCATACTTCATTGATGGTAATCTCCTCATGCGTAAATGGAAATCCCATGTTGACGCTGGCAGAGGTTGGAATGCTGTTTACCAAATAGTGATTCCTACAGCCTTTCGACAAAATGTTTTATCCCTCGCTCATGATCACCAGTGGTCCGGACATCTGGGAGTCACCAAGACTTATGATCGAGTTTTGCGACATTTCTTTTGGCCTGGTTTAAAACAAGATGTGGCTCAGTTCTGTCGGACTTGCCACACCTGTCAAGTAACTGGGAAACCGAACCAGGTTATTTCCCCCGCGCCGCTTTGTCCCATACCGGCCATAGGTGAACCATTCGAACATGTGATGGTTGATTGTGTTGGACCATTACCAAAGACAAAATCTGGTAACCAGTTTATGTTGACGATTATGTGTGTGGCCACCAGGTACCCAGAGGCCATTCCTCTACGAAGGATTACTGCTCCGGTGGTGAGTAAAGCGTTGATCAAATTCTTCTCAACTTTTGGGTTACCTAAGGTGATACAAACTGATCAGGGTACGAATTTCCTTTCTAAACTTTTCAAACAAGTGTTAAAATCCTTGTCAGTTACACACCGTGTGTCAAGCGCATATCACCCAGAGTCTCAGGGTGCGCTTGAACGTTGGCATCAGACACTGAAGTCTATGCTGCGTAAATATTGCTTGGAATCTGAGAAGGATTGGGATGAGGGAGTTCCTCTAGTTTTGTTTGCTGTCCGTGAGACAGTACAGGAATCCTTAGGGTTCAGCCCAGCTGAACTGGTGTTTGGACACACCATGAGAGGACCTATGAAAGTCCTTAAGGATCAGTTTTTATCACAAGAGTTGTGTGTGAAAGAAAATGTGTTGGACTACGTTAGTTGCTTTCGTGAGCGCCTACATGGTGCCTGTGCTCTAGCAAAGGAAGCGCTGTCTTCCTCACAGAAACGGATGAAACGACACTATGACACACAGGCTGTTTCTCGTTCACTGCAGCCAGGTGACCAAGTTCTTGTATTGTTGCCTGTGCCAGGAGCGTCATTGTCAGCACGTTTCTCTGGTCCTTATGTCATTGAAAAGAAACTAAGTGAAACTGACTACGTGATACAGACTCCTGATAGAAAACGCCAATCTCGTGTGTGCCACGTTAACATGTTGAAGACATACCACACCAGACCCGTCACTCAGATAGACAGTCCAGAGAAACTGGCCGAGTCGGCTGTCTCTATGGCTGCTACGGCTGTAGTGGGAGGTCATGTTAATGATGTGGACGGAGATGGTTTGGAGTTGCGCAATACTCAGCAGCAGTGTGCTAGATTGCCCAATTCAGAGATGCTGCTGTCTCTCCCGTCAAGCCTGATTCATTTAACGGACAGACAGTCAGATGATATTGTGAGACTATTACACAGCTTTCCATGTCTTTTTTATGATGTTCCTACATTCACAAATGTGTTAGAACATGACATTAATGTTGGAAACGCTGCACCTATCAAGCAACATGCTTATCGTGTCAACGTCTCTAAAAGAAAGATAATGAGGGATGAGGTCGGTTATTTGCTGGAGAATAACCTGGCTATGCCAAGTTCAAGTCCTTGGAGTTCTCCGTGCATTATGGTTCCTAAACCTGATGGGACATCCAGATTATGTACGGACTATCGGAAGGTCAATACTGTCACAGTGCCCGACTCGTTCCCGTTACCCAGACTGGATGACTGTATTGATACTGTTGGTGCTGCTACTTATGTAACCAAACTAGATCTTCTAAAAGGTTACTGGCAGGTGCCGTTAACCTCACGTGCCTCCGACATCTCTGCCTTTGTGACCCCAGATCACTTCCTACAATATGCTGTCATGGCATTTGGGATGCGGAACGCACCAGCCACTTTCCAACGCCTGGTTAACACAGTATTGGCTGGAGTTCCTAATTGTAGTGCTTACCTTGATGATCTGGTAATTTATTCCACTGAGTGGTCTGATCATGTTAACACTCTAAGGGTAGTGTGTGAACGTCTAGCAGCCGCTTCTCTAACCCTGAACTTAGCAAAGTGCGAGTTTGGGAAGGCCACTGTTACTTATCTTGGTAAACAGGTCGGCCATGGTCAGGTGCGCCCTCTAGATGCCAAGGTCTCAGCTATAAATGCATTTCCCGCACCTACCACCAGAAGAGAGCTACGCCGCTTTTTAGGGATGGTTGGCTACTACCGTAGTTTCTGTAAAAATTTCTCTGCGGTAGTTGCTCCATTAACGGATTTGCTCAGTCCGGCGAGAAAATTTGTATGGTCTGAAGATTGTCGTACTGCTTTCAACACTGCTAAAGCACTCTTATGTAGTATTCCTGTTCTTGCTGCGCCAGATTTTGAACGACCGTTTAAACTGGAGGTAGATGCAAGTGCCAGAGGGGCTGGTGCTGTTCTACTGCAGCAGGACCAGAGTGGAGTGGACCATCCTGTCTGTTATTTTTCACGGAAATTTAACAAATGTCAGACAAACTATTCCACCATTGAACAAGAAGCTCTAGCTTTGTTGTTAGCTCTGCAGTACTTTGAAGTTTATGTTGGTTCCAGTGCATTACCAGTGATAGTGTATACTGACCATAACCCCTTAGTTTTTCCTCCACCGGATGTACAACCAGAACCAACGCCTTATGCATTGGGCACTTGTCGTGCAAAATTATAATTTGGAGATCCGCCACAAAAAGGGGTTGGATAATGTGTTGGCAGATGCTTTGTCTCGTGTTTAATGATCCTGGTTTGCTCTTTTAAGGGTGGGAGTGTTACAGATACAGGTATCCTGTGTCTTTGTTTACGCACTAAGTTGCTGGTTACTCTGTTTGGTAACTTTGTTAGACTACTTTTCGTATGTTAGTATGAATACTGTGGTGTCCTGTGTTTTGTGTACTCACTCATTTGCTGGTTACTCTGTTTGGTAACTGTGTGTTTCTGGGAAAAGGGGAGTTTAAGCAAGTTGCCCTTGGGCGTACATTACCTGTAGGAAGAAAACTGTCTAAAAACACTAGTTAGACCTGAGCGGACCACCCACTGTATTTTTGTATGATTAGCAGTAGCTTAGCGGTTCTTGAGGCAGGCAAGATCAGTTTAGGGGTGTTTTACACTTGTTTCATTTCTTGGGTCCTGCTCAGCCCTTTTTCCCAAACCTTTACCGTGTGTTCAACAATAAACCTTTTATGTTTGACGGTAGTTTATGGTTGTCGTGTAGTTTTATTTCTCACTGTTCCATGTCACGCTTATAATTTGCATGAATTATGTTACGGGTCTCATGTCCATCCACCCTAGACGTTTAAAGCCACGGGGTTCGTAACATAGCGCCCAATAGACTCCCATTTACTCCTTGAAGGAGAGTGCGCCTTGTCCCAGAATCGCCCAGAATGCACCGCGCGGCCCATTGACGTAGCATGGGCAATGTTTCCCAGCTACTCAAAAGTATATCTGAAGTTGCGAATATTAGACTCCACTCTGTAAGGCACATCGATCTGCAGGTTGACATTGTAGACTCCTAAATTGATAGTGCAGTTTGTTTAGGCGATTTTACAGCTAACTAGCTACGTTACATGCTGATATTGTCTTTGGTAATATTGTGTTTAGCTACGTTTGCTAGCTAGCCAGCCAGCCAATAGAGAGTGCATTGCATTGTGGATTTTGTAGTCGACTTGAGCTGCAACAGATTTCCACAACTATTTTCCATGTTGCTCCCAACCTTATTATCATCACGCCAAAATGAAACATTTGTTCACAAAAAATATTGTTCTCACAGAGTGTTATTTAACACTGTAAATTACAGGAATGAGTAGATTTGGGTGGATTTTTCCTTTAAGTATAAGAGATAGTGAAACATTGTTTGGTCCATTTGCATGGGAGCAAAATTCCATAATGCATAAATATCACACAAATAAAATAATTAAACCATACCTTATTGTTCTTGTGAGTGCAGTTTGGCTGGCATTTCTTTGACAGAATACACGCATTAAAAATGGCTGCCAGTCTCTTCCGCAAAACTGGAACAGAGGATAATGCGATAAAATTAGTCTCAGGCAGCTCAAATATAATTCGCAATGATTCATCTTGTCATACCTACTCAGCATTTGCTGTGCTTTGTGCCACAAAGCGAAGTTAATTGATTGTTCATTAGTAATAAACAAACTCTATATGTCACCTAAAGTTATTCTCCAGATGTAAATAATGTTATTACTGAAAGGTAACGTGGAACTTAAATAAAATTAGAAAAGTGCTATTTTATAGACTTACCATGCTCAATATACGTGATGAACCCGAGAGACAGTAGCACTGCACCCAGGTGGAAGCTGAGACCCTAAAGGTCAAAGGAGACAATGGTAAGAAAATATCTCTTACACACCTGCACTCACACCCACACCTGCTTGTGCATACTCACATGTAGAAGTGCACTGGCTGTGTATGTCACTAGGATGGCTGAAAAGGTTCCAAGGTTGCGAGCACTAGTAAAAACATCTGGGTGATCAGACAGAAACAGTTTTTAGGGAATCAAGTTTTGTATTCCAGTTCAAATGGAGTAATTTCACTGCTTTATATTTAAATTGTAGAAGGGCAACTGTTAAAACAGTAAAAAAAATAACAGTTGTATTAATTTTGTGTATTTCGTTCAAAGTAAGGTCTTTATAGGCAGAGGGTAATAATGCTGTAAATTTGTCCCATTTCACAGAAAGCTTACAGGTGTTGAGCCATCTGGACATGGGCAGATTCCAGGAGGTGGCCACCTCCACCATAGACCTGGGAAACTCCACATGCAGGGGCCTAGCAACAGTCATATCCCTGGAGAATAAAACACATGCATTTCAGTTGGGCTGTTTGAGGGGAAAAGAGAACCAGGAGGGGGCCAAACAAAGTATTTACAGCGCATTCGGAAAGTATTCAGACCCCTTGACTTTTTACACTTTGTTACGTTACAGCCTTATTCTAAAATTGATTGAATACATTTTTTTCCTCATCAATCTAGACACAATACCCCATAATGACAAAGCAAAAACAGGTTTTAGAAATGTTTGCAAATGTATAATTTTTTAAAAATACCTTAACTATTCAGACCCTTTGCTATGAGACTCAAAACTGAGCTCAGGTGCATCTTGTTTCCATTGATCACCCTTGAAATGTTTCTACAACTTGATTGGAGTCCACCTGTGGTAAATTCAATTGATTGGACATGATTTGGGAAGGCTCACACTTGTCTATATAAAGGTCCCACAGTTGACAGTGCATGTCAGAGCAAAAACCAATAAATTGTCCGTAGAGCTCCGAGACAGGATTGTGTCGAGGCACAGATCTGGGGAAGGGTACCAAAACATTTCTGCAGCATTGAAGGTCCCCAAGAACACATTGGCCTCAATCATTTTTAAATGGAAGAAGTTTGTAACCACCAAGGCTCTTCCTAGAGCTGGCCGCCCTGCCAAACTGAGCAATCGGGGTAGAAGGGCCTTGGTCAGGGAGGTGACCAAGAACCCGATGGTCACTCTGACAAAGCTCCAGAGGTCCTCTGTGGAGATGGGAGAACCTTCCAGAAGTACAACCATCTCTGCAGCACTCCACCAATCAGGCCTTTAAGGTAGAGTGGCCAGACAGAAGCCACTCCTCAGTAAAAGGCACATGACAGCCCGCTTGGAGCTTGCCAAAAGGCACCTAAAGGACTCTCAGACCATGAGAAACAAGATTCTCTGGTCTGATGAAACCAAGATTGAACTCTTTGGCCTGAATGCCAAGCGTCACGTCTGGAGGAAACCTGGCACCATCCCTACAGTGAAACATGGTGGTGGCAGCATCATCATGCTGTGGGGATGTTTTTCAGCAGCAGGGACTGGGAGACTAGTCAGGATCGAGGGAAAGATGAACGGAGCAAAGTACAGAGAGATCCTTGATGAAAACCTGCTCCAGAGCGCTCAGGGCCTCAGACCGGGGCGAAGGTTCACCTTCCAACAGGACAACGACCCTAAGCACACAGCCAAGACAACGTAGGAGTGGCTTCGGGACAAGTCTCTGAATGTCCTTGAGTGGCCCAGCCATAGCCCGGACTTGAACCCGATCAAACATCTCTGGAGAGACCTGAAAATAGCTGTGCAGCGATGCTCCCCATCCAACCAGACAGAGCTTGAGAGGATCTGCAGAGAAAGGGAGAAACTCCCCAAATATAGGTGTGCCAAGCTTGTAGCGTCTTACCCAAGAAGACTTGAGGCTGTAATCGCTGCCAAAGGTGCTTCAACAAAGTACTGAGTAAAGGGCTGAAAACGTATGTAAATGTTATATCCGTTTTTTGTTTTTATATATACACACACATTTGCAAACATTTCTAAAAAACAGTTTTTGCTTTGTCATTATGGGGCATTGTGTGTAGATTAATGAGGGGGGTAAAAACAATTTAATCCATTTTAGAATAAGGCTGTAACGTAACAAAATGTGTAAAAGTCAAGGGGTATGAATACTTTCCGAATGCACTGTAACTTATGGCAAGTCTATGCCAAGCCTAGTCACATGATGCTTTAATGCACTCACCATTTGAGGTTGTCTTTCTCCTCAGTAAAGCCTGCTCCAGCCAGAGTGGTGGTGGTCTCACTCAGGTAACCCACAAAGTAGTTGCTGAAGTGGAATGAGAGTGCATTCTCATAGGCCAGGAGCCACCTAGAGGTCAATGGAAGAAGGTTAGATTAGAAGACACCTGTCAAAATAAAAGCCTCAAATCACACTTATAGGCCCAGTGCAGTCAAAAACGTGATTTTCCTGTGTTGTTATATATATTTCCACACTATGAGGTTGGAATAATACTGTGAAATTGTTTTAAATATTTTATAATGCACTTTTAGTGTAAGAGCTGTTTGAATAGACCACCTGAAATTTCAGCCTGTTTTGGTGGGATGGAGTTTTGGCCTGCCTGGTGATATGGTAAATTAGTAAATAGACAAATAAGAAAGTGTTCCCAACCCTTCTGCCAATAACAGCTCGTTTTCAGTTTTCCCCTCCCCACTCAGACCACTCCCAGACAGTCCTAGCAAAATTCTTGCTTGAGAAATTGCTCTTTGCTAATTTTCTTTTTGAATATTTTAATTGAAAACAATCATAGTAAGGTACTTAATTGTTACCAGAAATGATTTGATATTGAGATTAAAACTACTGCATTGGACCTTTAACAATAATACCATTTTCCATTGTAATATAAATGGCATTAAACATACCTTGCCACAGAACCTCTGCGCAGCAAACAATTGAAGGAAATGTTAATCATTTAATTTGATTTAATACATTTAACTGATACAGACTCACTCTTTTAAGTCTCATGGCATGAGTGGGCAGGACAGAGAGACTCGGTTGTGGGAATGATTGGGGTACAGACGTGCAGGTGTCAGGAAGGTGGAACAGCTGGTGAGTTAGAAATGGACATGCAATATAAAATGAATTACAGAGACAGGTGGAGGATATTGTATTGTCATAATATCTGATAAATAGTTACCTGATCTTCCGTTTTGTTTTGCTGGGGATAGAGCCCAGGCAAAGTAAGAACATTTATTGAAAGGGAGAAAAATAAACAAATAAGAATGTGAGCATTACCATTCAGAAAAACATTACTGAAAAATGTACGTTGCACCTGTTTTTGAACGATCACAAATATAAATGTCTGTGGATGCTTTCTATGACCTACAGTAAATCATTACAACAGCACTAAGAGGTTAGGTCATCCACTCACTTGCGTAGCAGCTTGTCCCCATAGATAGGGATGAAGTAAGGGAAGAGGTAGGGAGCAACACAGTTAGAGATGATCAGACAAAGCTGGCTCTTCACCCAGCTGACACACACTTTCCATATCCAGGAGAAACTCTGAAGAAGACGAGGAGAACATATTAATACCATCTCTCTCTCCATTTCCTTCACCTATCTCCCTCCGTATCCCTCTGCTCAAGACAGGACTTAACACTGAACTTACCAGTTTGCGGCCCTTTATAGCCTCTCTGTAGCTGTTGAAGCTGATCCAGGGCCCAAATATGACAGTCCCCACAAAGTAGATATAGCCCATGAACTCCACAGGAGAAGGCACATTGGCCACCACGCCCCGATCCAGGTCAAAAGCTAGAGAGATGGCCTTCATGGCAACCACCATCTGGGAACCTGCAGATACAGAACTCAGTGAATCTTGAAATATTCATCACAATGTTCATGTTGTCATGTACAACCGCATGTACAACACATAGTTGTAAACTGTTAATGAATCTTTCACAGGGTTTATGGGGATATACAGAACCTGTCAAATGTTTGAACACACCTACTCATTCAAGGGTTTTTCTTAATGTTTTACTTTTTTCTATATTGTAGAATAATAGTGAAGACATCAAAACTATGAAATAACACATATGGGATCATGTAGTAACCAAAAAAGTATCAAAATATATATTTTTTTGAGATTCCTCAAATAGCCAGCCTTTGCCTTGATGACAGCTTTGCACATTCTTGGCATTCTCTCAACCAGCTTCACCTGGAATGCTTTTCCAACAGTCTTGAAGGAGTTCCCACATATGCTTAGCACTTGTTGGCTGCTTTTCATTCACTCTGCCGTCCGACTCATCCGAAACCATCTAAATTGGGTTGAGGTCGGGGGATTGTGGAGGCCAGGTCATCTGATGCAGCACTCCATCACTCTCCTTCTTGGTAAAGTAGCCCTTACACAGCCTGGAGGTGTGTTGGGTCATTGTCCTGTTGAAAAACAAATGATAGTCCCACTAAGCCCAAACCAGACGGGATGGCGTATCGCTGCAGAATGCTGTGGTAGCCATGCTGGTTAAGTGTGTCTTGAATTCTAAATAAATCACAGACAGTGTCACCAACAAAACACCCCCACACCATAACACTTCCTCCTCCATGCATGCATTACGGTGGGAACTACACATGCGGAGATCATCCGTTCACCCACACCGCGTCTCACAAAGACACAGTGGTTGGAACCAAAAAGCTCCCATTTGGACTCCAGACCAAAGGACACATTTACACCGTCTAATGTCCATTGCTCGTGTTTCTTGGCCCAAGCAGGTCTCTTCTTCTTATTGGTGTCCTTTAGTAGTGGTTTCTTTGCAGCAATTCGACCATGAAGGCCTGATTCACGCAGTCTCCTCTGAACAGTTGATGTTGAGATGTGTTTGTTACTTGAACTCTGTGAAGCATTTATTTGGCCTGTAATTTCTGAGGCTGGTAACTCGAATGAACTTATCCTCTGCAGCAGAGGTAACGCTGGGTCTTCCATTCCTGTGGCGGTCCTCATGAGAGCCAGTTTCATCATAGCGCTGGATGGTTTTTGCGACTACACTTGAAGAAACTTTCAAAGTTCTTGAAATGTTTCATATTGACTGACCTTCATGTCTTAACGTAATGATGGACTGTCGTTTCTCTTTGCTTATTTCAGCTGTTTTTGCCATAATATGGACTTGGTCTTTTACAAAATAGGGCTATCTACTGTATACCCCCCCCCCCCCCCCCCCATACCTTGTCACAACACAACTGATTGGCTCAAATGCATTAAGAAGGAAGAAATTCCACAAATTAACTTTTAACAAGGCACACCTGTTAATTGAAATGCATTCCATGTGACTACCTCATGAAGCTGGTTGAGAGAATGCCAAGAGTGTGCAAAGCTGTCATCAAGGCAAAGGGTGGCTATTTGAAGAATCTCAAATATAAAATATATTTTGATTTATTTAACACTTTTTTGGTTACTACATGATTCCATGTGTTATTACATAGATTTGATGTCTTCACTATTATTCTAAAATATAAAAAATAGTAAAAATAAAGAAAAATCCTTGAATGAGTGGGTGTCTCCAAACTTTTGACTGGTACTGTATGTCTCTAGTCATATCAATGTATTCATAATTAACATTCAAATGTGACTTCATAGAATGCTGTTCCTTTGTGTGCACTATATGCCAGTGGTGATCAGTGCCAATTAAGATGAGGGAGGATGATAATTTTTTTATGAACATGGCCTCATTTCTATTACAGCATATTGGATGACTGTCATTCATATTCCATTCACCCAGCTCAATTTAACATTGATAGGTTTAGGCTACTACATGATACTCACATTTTCCCTGTACCCATCATGAGGTTGCTACAACCTAGGTGTACAGGTCGAGAGAATTGAGTAATCAAGGTGACAAACAGTGACACTTTCAATACCGCCTTGCGCACTCTTGCCTGCATCTAGCTGATCTAGGGTGTAATCATTAGTCCAACAGTTGCAAACGAGAGCTTCTATTGGACAAATTCAGGTATGTTTATCCCCGTTCCGTTCCGTTCGCTTCGCTTCCGTTTAAAAAACCTTTTTGAACAGAATAGGTGCAATGAATACACCCCTGACCACACTCAAACACAGTTGACTTTTCATAGCAGTCACATACTAACAGCTCGTTTTGTGTTTGTGTGTGTGTATATATATATATATATATATATATATATATATATATATATATATATATATATATATATATATATATATATATATATATATATATATATATATATATATATATATATATATATATATATATATATATATGGGGGCGGCAGGTAGCTTAGTGGTTAAGAGCGTAGTGCCAGTAACCGAAAGGTCGCTGGTTCTAATCCCCGAGCCGACTAGGTGAAAAATCTGTCGATGTGCCCTTGAGCAAGGCACTTAACCCTAATTGCTCCTGTAAGTCGCTCTGGATAAGAGCGTCTGCTAAATAACTAAAATGTAAATGTAAATGTAAATGTATATATATAGTGTCACCAGCAAAGGGGAGGACCATCCTCTTCAGTGAATTTCATAAAAATAAAAATAGTGAAACATTAAAAAAGTTGTCCTTTTTAGATAAAACTATACTAAATATATTCACATGTAGCACCATAGTGTAGCCGGAGGACAGCTAGCTTCTGTCCTCCTCTGGGTACATTGACTTCAAAACAAAACCTAGGAAGCTCATGGTTCTCACCCCCTTCCATAGACTTACACAGTATTATTGACAACTTCCAGAGGACGTCCTCCAACCTTATCAGAGCTCTTGCAGCATAAACTGACATGTTGTCCACCCAATCAATGATGGATGCGATAAGGAATTTTATATATATATATACACATACATACACACACTGCTCAAAAAAATTAAGGGAACACTTAAACAACACAATGTAACTCCAAATCAATCACACTTCTGTGAAATCAAACTGTCCACTTAGGAAGCAACACTGATTGACAATAAATGTCACATGCTGTTGTGCAAATGGAATAGACAACAGGTGGAAATTATAGGCAATTAGCAAGACACCCCCAATAAAGGACTGGTTTTGCAGGTGGTGACCACAGACCACTTCTCAGTTCCTATGCTTCCTGGCTGATGTTTTGGTCACTTTTGAATGCTGGCGGTGCCTTCACTCTAGTGGTAGCATGAGACGGAGTCTACAACCCACACAAGTGGCTCAGGTAGTGCAGCTCATCCAGGATGGCACATCAATGCGAGCTGTGGCAAGAAGGTTTGCTGTGTCTGTCAGCGTAGTGTCCAGAGCATGGAGGCGCTACCAGGAGACAGGCCAGTACATCAGGAGACGTGGAGGAGGCCGTAGGAGGGCAACAACCCAGCAGCAGGACTGCTACCTCCGCCTTTGTGCAAGGAGGAGCAGGAGGAGCACTGCCAGAGCCCTGCAAAATGACCTCCAGCAGGCAGCAATGTGCATGTGTCTGCTCAAACGGTCAGAAACAGACTCCATGAGGGTGGTATGAGGGCCCGACGTCCACAGGTGGGGGTTGTGCTTACAGCCCAACACCGTGCAGGACGTTTGGCATTTGCCAGAGAACACCAAGATTGGCAAATTCACCACTGGCGCCCTGTGCTCTTCACAGATGAAAGCAGGTTCACACTGAGCACGTGACAGACGTGACAGAGTCTGGAGACGCCGTGGAGAACGTTCTGCTGCCTGCAACATCCTCCAGCATGACCGGTTTGGCGGTGGCTCAGTCATGGTGTGGGGTGGCATTTATTTGGGGGGCCGCACAGCCCTCCATGTGCTCGCCAGAGGTAGCCTGACTGCCATTAGGTACCGAGATGTGATCCTCAGACCCCTTGTGAGACCATATGCTGGTGCGGTTGGCCCTGGGTTCCTCCTAATGCAAGACAATGCTAGACCTCATGTGACTGGAGTGTGTCAGCAGTTCCTGCAAGAGGAAGGCATTGATGCTATGGACTGGCCCGCTCGTTCCCCAGACCTGAATCCAATTGAGCACATCTGGGACATCATGTCTCGCTCCATCCACCAACGCCACGTTGCACCACAGACAGTCCAGGAGTTGGCAGATGCTTTAGTCCAGGTCTGGGAGGAGATCCCTCAGGAGACCATCCGCCACCTCATCAGGAGCATGCCCAGGCGTTGTAGGGAGGTCATACAGGCACGTGGAGGCCACACACACTACTGAGCTTAATTTTGACTTGTTTTAAGGACATTACATCAAAGTTGGATCAGCCTGTAGTGTGGTTTTCCACTTTATTTTTGAGGGTGACTCCAAATCCAGACCTCCATGGGTTGATACATTTGATTTCCATTGATAATTTTTGTGTGATTTTGTGGTCAGCACATTCAACTATGTAAAGAAAAAAGTATTTAATAAGATTATTTCATTCATTCAGATCTAGGATGTGTTATTTTAGTGTTCCCTTTATTTATTTGAGCAGTGTATATATATATATATATATATATATATATATATATATACAGTGGGGAAAAAAGTATTTAGTCAGCCACCAATTGTGCAAGTTCTCCCACTTAAAAAGATGAGAGAGGCCTGTAATTTTCATCATAGGTACACGTCAACTATGACAGACAAAATGAGAAAAAAAATCCTGAAAAATCACATTGTAGGATTTTTAATGAATTTATTTGCAAATTATGGTGGAAAATAAGTATTTGGTCAATAACAAAAGTTTCTCAATACTTTGTTATATACCCTTTGTTGGCAATGACACAGGTCAAACGTTTTCTGTAAGTCTTCACAAGGTTTTCACACACTGTTGCTGGTATTTTGGCCCATTCCTCCATGCAGATCTCCTCTAGAGCAGTGATGTTTTGGGGCTGTCGCTGGGCAACACAGACTTTCAACTCCCTCCAAAGATTTTCTATGGTGTTGAGATCTGGAGACTGGCTAGGCCACTCCAGGACCTTGAAATGCTTCTTACGAAGCCACTCCTTCGTTGCCCGGGCGGTGTGTTTGGGATCATTGTCATGCTGAAAGACCCAGCCACGTTTCATCTTCAATGCCCTTGCTGATGGAAGGAGGTTTTCACTCAAAATCTCACGATACTTGGCCCCATTCATTCTTTCCTTTACACGGATCAGTCATCCTGGTCCCTTTGCAGAAAAACAGCTCCAAAGCATGATGTTTCCACCCCCATGCTTCACAGTAGGTATGGTGTTCTTTGGATGCAACTCAGCATTCTTTGTCCTCCAAACACAACAAGTTGAGTTTTTACCAAAAAGTTATATTTTGGTTTCATCTGACATTCTCCCAATCCTCTTCTGGATCATCCAAATGCATTTTAGCAAACTTCAGATGGGCCTGGACATGTACTGGCTTAAGCAGGGGGACACGTCTCGCACTGCAGGATTTGAGTCCCTGGCGGCGTAGTGTGTTACTGATGGTAGGCTTTGTTACTTTGGTCCCAGCTCTCTGCAGGTCATTCACTAGGTCCCCCCGTGTGGTTCTGGGATTTTTGCTCACCATTCTTGTGATCATTTTGACCCCACGGGGTGAGATCTTGCGTGGAGCCCCAGATCGAGGGAGATTATCAGTGGTCTTGTATGTCTTCCATTTCCTAATAATTGCTCCCACAGTTGATTTCTTCAAACCAAGCTGCTTACCTATTGCAGATTCAGTCTTCCCAGCCTGGTGCAGGTCTACAATTTTGTTTCTGGTGTCCTTTGACAGCTCTTTGGTCTTGGCCATAGTGGAGTTTGGAGTGTGACTGTTTGAGGTTGTGGACAGGTGTCTTTTATACTGATAACAAGTTCAAACAGGTGCCATTAATACAGGTAACGAGTGGAGGACAGAGGAGCCTCTTAAAGAAAACGTTACAGGTCTGTGAGAGCCAGAAATCTTGCTTGTTTGTAGGTGACCAAATACTTATTTTCCACCATAATTTGCAAATAAATTAATAAAAAATCCTACAATGTGATTTTCTGGAAAAAAAATTCTCAATTTGTCTGTCATAGTTGACGTGTACCTATGATGAAAATTACAGGCCTCTCTCATCTTTTTAAGTAGGAGAACATGCACAATTGGTGGCTGACAATACTTTTTTTCCCCACTGTATATACACACAACAAGGTGTTTGTATGTGGCTGCTATATATATATATATATATATATATATACAGTGAGGAAAAAAAGTATTTGATCCCCTGCTGATTTTGTACGTTTGCCCACTGACAAAGAAATGATCAGTCTATAATTTTAATGGTAGGTTTATTTGAACAGTGAGAGACCGAATAACAAACAAAAAAATCCAGAAAAACACATGTCAAAAATGTTATAAATTAATTTGCATTTTAATGAGGGAAATAAGTATTTGACCCCCTCTCAATCAGAAAGATTTCTGGCTCCCAGGTGTCTTTTATACAGGTAACGAGTTGAGATTAGGAGCACACCCTTAAAGGGAGTGCTCCTAATCTCAGTTTGTTACCTGTATAAAAGAAACCTGTCCACAGAAGCAATCAATCAATCAGATTCCAAACTCTCCACCATGGCCAAGACCAAAGAGCTCTCCAATGATGTCAGGGACAAGATTGTAGACCTACACAAGGCTGGAATGGGCTACAAGTCCATCGCCAAGCAGCTTGGTGAGAAGGTGACAACAGTTGGTGCGATTATTCGCAAATGGAAGAAACACAAAAGAACTGTCAATCTCCCTCTGCCTGGGGCTCCATACAAGATCTCACCTTGTGGAGTTGCAATGATCATGAGAACGGTGAGGAATCAGCCCAGAACTACACGGGAGGATCTTGTCAATGATCTCAAGGCAGCTGGGACCATAGTCACCAAGAAAACAATTGGTAACACACTACGCCGTGAAGGACTGAAATCCTGCAGCGCCCGCAAGGTCCCCCTGCTCAAGAAAGCACATATACATGCCCGTCTGAAGTTTGCCAATGAACATCTGAAAGATTCAGAGGAGAACTGGGTGAAAGTGTTGTGGTCAGATGAGATGAAGCAAAATGGAGCTCTTTGGCATCAACTCAACTCGCCGTGTTTGGAGAAGGAGGAATGCTACCTATGACCCCAAGAACGCCATCCCCACCGTCAAACATGGAGGTGGAAACATTATGCTTTGGGGGTGTTTTCCTGCTAAGGGGACAGGACAACTTCACCGCATCAAAGGGACGATGGACGGGGCCATGTACCGTCAAATCTTGGGTGAGAACCTCTTTCCCTCAGCCAGGGCATTGAAAATGGGTCGTGGATGGGTATTCCAGCATGACAATGACCCAAAACACACGGCCAAGGCAACAAAGGAGTGGCTCAAGAAGAAGCACATTAAGGTCCTGGAGTGGCCTAGCCAGTCTCCAGACCTTAATCTCATAGAAAATCTGTGGAGGGAGCTGAAGGTTCGAGTTGCCAAACGTCAGCCTCGAAACCTTAATGACTTGGAGAAGATCTGCAAAAAGGAGTGGGACAAAATCCCTCCTGAGATGTGTGCAAACCTGGTGGCTACCTCTGACCTCTGTGATTGCCAACAAGGGTGTTGCCACCAAGTACTAAGTCATGTTTTGCAGACGGGTCAAATACTTATTTCCCTCACTGTATATATAATTCCTTATCGCATCCATCATTGATTGGGTGGACAACATGTCACCTCTGAGGAGCCTCCACTGCTACATGCAATACTAATTATATATACAGTACCAGTCAAAAGTTTGGACACACCTACTCATTCAAGGGTTTTTCTTTATTTATACATTGTATAATAATAGTGAAGACATCAAAACTATGAAATAACACATATGGAATCATGTAGTAATCAAAAAATAATAATAATTATATTTGAGATTCTTCAAATAGCCACCCTCTGCCTTGATGACAGCTTTGCACACGCTTGGCATTTTCTCAACCAGCTTCACTTGGAATGCTTTTCCAACCGTCTTGAAGGAGTTCCCACATATACTGAGCACTTGTTGGCTGCTTTTCCTTCACTCTGTGGTCCGACTCATCCCAAACCATCTCAACTGCGTTGAGGTCGGGGGATTGTGGAGGGCAGGTCATCTGATGCAGCACTCCATCACTCTCCTTATTGGTAAAATAGCCCTTACACAGCCTGGAGATGTGTTGGGTCATTGTCCTGTTGAAAAACAAATTATAGTCCCACTACCCCAAACCAGATGGGATGGCGTATCACTGCAGAATGCTGTGGTAGCCATGCTGGTTAAGTGTGCCTTGAATTCTAAATAAATCACAGACAGTGTCACCAGCAAAGCACCCCCACACCATAACATCACCTCCTCCATGCTTTATAGTGGGAAATACACATGCGGAGATCATCCGTTCACCCACACCGCGTCTCACAAAGACACAGCAGTTGGAACCAAAAATCTCACATTTGGACTCCAGACCAAAGGACACATTTTCACCGGTCTAATGTCCATTGCTCAGGTTTCTTGGCCCAAGCAAGTCTCTTCTTCTTATTGGTGTCCTTTAGTAGTGGTTTCTTTGCAGCAATTCAACCATGAAGGCCTGATTCACGCAGTCTCCTCTGAACAGTTGATGTTGAGATGTGTTTGTTACTTGAACTCTGTGAAGCATTTATTTGGGCTGCAATTTCTGAGGCTGGTAACTCTAATGAACTTATCCTCTGCAGCAGAGGTAACTCTGGGTCTTCCATTCCTGTGGCGGTCCTCATGAGAGACAGTTTCATCATAGCGCTTGATGGTTTTTGCGACTGCACTTGAAGAAACTTTCAAAGTTCTTGAAATCTTCCATATTGACTGACCTTCATGTCTTAAAGTAATGATGGACTGTTGTTTCGCTTTGCTTATTTGAGCTGTTCTTGCCATAATATGGACTTTGTCTTTACCAAATATGGCTATCTTCTGTATACCAACCCCACCTTGTCACAACACAACTGATTGGCTCAAACGCATTAAGAAGGAAAGAAATTCCACAAATTAACTTTTAACAAGGCACACCTGTTAATTGAAATGCATTCCATGTGACTACCTCATGAAGCTGGTTGAGAGAATGCCAAGAGTGTGCAAAGCTGTCATCAAGGCAAAGGTTGGCTACTTTGAAGAATCTCAAATATAAAATATATTTTGATTTGTTTAACACTTTTTTGGTTACTACATGATTCCATGTGTTATTTCATAGTTTTGATGTCTTCACTATCATTCTACAATGCAGAAAATAGTAAAAATAAAGAATAAACCCTGGAATGAGTAGGTGTGTCCTAACTTTGACTGGTACTGTATATACAATATATGCAAGAACTAATTACAAAGTATGTACCAACCTCTCATTTTGTGCCAGGTGGTGGTGTCCATCATATGCAGCTCTCTGGTTGGATAAGACAAGAGTAGACCAATTAGAGGCTGTTTGCTCCACTAGGAGCTGAAAGGACTCAGTCAAGTTGTTTATCATCAATTCTCTTTACTTAAAAAAGTGTATGTTGTTGCCTGGTAACAGACAAGGCCTACCTACCCCATGAGCAGGTAGATAAGGATGGTGATGGAGAGGAAGGTGGCCCGGTTACTGGAGTGCCGACAGAGGAAGAGGATGAGGTAGCACAGTAGACTGAGCAGCACCACCCACACCATGTGGAGCTCAAAGAACAGGTACAGGGTGTAGAACCCTCCTGCCACAGTGCTCAGGTGTTTCACATAGGATGGGAGGCCTGACCAGGGCAACAAAACAACAACAACACAGAAGAGAATAAGAACATGTAGTAGTCGACAGTTGTAAAACATGCATGTAGTTCTTCAGTTCTATATAATAATTTTTCCCGAAATGTCATAATCAAAATGACTCTCCTAATACTCATCATGTTCTGTTGTTATCGGGAGCTCTGTGACAATTAAATTCCAAAAGTCACATTTCACACAAAGGAATGTGAAATCTCACCCAGAATCCAGAGAAGTCGGCATAGAAGGCAGATGACCAGAAGCTGCCAGACCTGCTCCAGGCCCTGCTCAGTGGTGGGCAGAAGGCAGCCCTCCGCAAGCTCATGGAAGAACTCCTGTCGGCTGAAGGACCCCATCATGCCATGCAAAGGACCTTAGAGGGGGGGATAATCATGAAGAAGGATATTCTAATAGGCAACATTACAATTTAAAATGTATAAGTTCCAACAGAAATAACATCTGTGACCACCACTCTTTGTGCATGCTGACAAAGTAAGCAGTGATACACTGGCTAAACTACATTTACATTTGAAATGTACTTTATTTAGCAGACACTGTTATCCAGAGCAACTTACAATTAATGCATTCATCATAAGATAACTAGGTGAGACAACCACATATCACAGTCGTAGTAAGTAGTTATCAGCAAAGTCAGTGCTAGTAGGAAAAGACAAGCACCGTTTTTGGGGGGAAGGGGGCACTGTGGGAAGCAAACTACAAGCTCCACCATGCTTCAGGATTGACGCATCTGTGATCTGTGCAATGCATCAACAAAATGCATTATATGCAGTTTTATTCAATTATAAGTAGCTAGTGAATTGTTTTAGTCAATTATAAGTAGCTAGTGTGAGCTTTCTAGGGCAGTGGCCCTGGTGCAGGCAGTTGTGTGCATTCATGGACTACTACATTACCACGCAAGCTATTCTGCTAAATCAATATACTGTATAATTAATCTAAAGATGGCCCAAATAGTCTTCCACAAACTGACAGGTTTATGTTGTTTCCCAAGTTACAACACACAACATTAATTTGCATGCTGGTTTACAAGGAACAACTCACAAATAGCTAGCTAGCAGGCTGGCGCCATACAAATTCGTCCTAATCCGCAGTGCAGTTGTCTTCACACTAACGTCAGATGCTACTTGCAAAGGTCGTAGCAGTACAGTCTTCCATTATTGTGCTCAAATAATAACGTTAGCTATCTGCTATTAATGAAATTCGCTGACCATGCTTTCCTTAATCATCAAACACGACCAGAAAAGAAAATACCTACACACTGTGGTGTCTGGATAGTCAGCCGACCTCAACCCGCTACACCACCAGCGGGTGACAGACACTTTTTTCACGAGACTCATCATCATTCCAGACTTGCTTTCATTTTTGAGAGGGAAATTATGTGTTTTACCTCCAAACCCTTCAGTCAGCTGTTCCGTCAAAATGGGTTTACTTGTCCGTTTCTTCTATCTGTAGCCACTTGACAAAATGTTATGACTTCATGCACGGTCGGTCCTGATACAGCATTATTCTGACACCAAGCTCCAGGTCATAGCAGCAGCAGCAGTCGCTTTCGCAATTCATACAGCCAGTGTTACTCTACGAACGGATTAACCAATCAACTGCGTAGTTTTAGAGGAATTAGCCAATCATTGGAGTCAGTTGCCCCGATACAAGTAGATAACAAATCAACTGCAACTGTAACCAGAGGTGGCGTTGACTGTAGGCCCAATCACAAAGGGTACATAACGTGCCAGTTTTATGCGACCAATAGGACGCATACAACGAAAAATACGCTCCGCCTGCGATATCCTTTTGGTCATGAATTTCGCAAATGCGTTCCAGGGAGCAGGGCCTTGTCTCTGACAAACTTTACAGACCACATCAATAGATACATTTGTGAGTAAAGTAATAACTCTACTGTGGCTGTGGTAGACCAGGGAATATCAAATTAGTGACAATATCTATGGTCTATGTGTACATACAGTGCATTCGGAAAGTATTAAGACCCCTTGACTTTTTCCACATTTTGTTACCTTACAGCCTTATTCTAAAATTGATTAAATTAATTGTTTTCCTCATCAATCTACGTACAATACCCCATAATGACAAAGCGAAAACAGGTTTTTCGATTTTTTTGCAAATGTATTAAAAATAAAAAACAGAAATACCTTATTTACATAAGTATTCAGACCTTTTGCTATGAGACTCGAAATTGAGCTCAGGTGCATCCTGTTTCCATTGATCATCCTTGAGATGTTTCTACAACTTGATTGGAGTCCACCTGTGGTAAATTCAATTAATTGGACATTATTTGGAAAGGCACACACATGTCTATATAAGGTCCCACAATTGACAGTGCATGTCAGAGCAAAGACCAAGCCATGAGGTCGAAGGAACTGTTCGTAGAGCGCCGAGACAGGATTGTGTCGAGGCACAGATCTGGGGAAGGGTACCAAAAAATGTCTGCAGCATTGAAGGTCCCCAAGAACACAGTGGCCTCCATCATTCTTAAATGGAAGAAGTTTGGAACCACCAAGACACTTCCTAGAGCTGGCCACCCGGCCAAACTGAGCAATCGGGGGAGAAGGGCCTTGGTCAGGGAGGTGACCAAGATCCCAATGGTCACTCTGACAGAGCTCCAGAGGTCCTCTGTGGAGATGGGAGAACCTTCCAGAAGGACAACCATCTCTGCAGCACTCCACCAAATCAGACAGAAGCCACTCCTCAGTAAAAGGCACATGACAGCCCACTTGGAGTTTGCCAAAAGGCAACTAAAAGACTCAGACCATGAGAAACAAGATTATCTGGTCTGATGAAACCAAGATTGAACTCTTTGGCCTGAATGCCAAGAGTCACGTCTGGAGGAAACATGGCACCATCCCTACGGTGAAGCATGGTGGTGGCAGCATCATGCCGTGGGGATGTTTTTCAGCGGCAGGGACTGGGAGACTAGTCAGGATCGAGGCAAAGATGAATGGAGCAAAGTACAGAGAGATCCTTGGTTAAAACCTGCTCCAGAGCGCTCAGGACCTCAGACTGGGGTGAGATTCACCTTCCAACAGGACAACAACCCTAAGCACACAGCCAAGACAACACAGGAGTGGCTTCGGGACAAGTTTCTGAATGTCCTTGAGTGGCCCAGCCAGAGCCCGGACTTGAACCCGATCGAACATCTCTAGAGAGTCCTGAAAATAGCTGTGCAGCGATGCTCCCCATCCAACCTGACAGAGCTTGAGAGCATCTGCAGAGAAGAATGGGATTTATACATTTGAAAACATTTCTAAAAACCTGGTTTTGCTTTGTCATTATGGGGTCCTCCGTAGCTCAGCTGGTAGAGCACGGCGCTTGTAACGCCAGGGTAGTGGGTTCGATCCCCGGGACCACCCATACACAAAAATGTATGCACGCATGACTGTAAGTCGCTTTGGATAAAAGCATCTGCTAAATGGCATATTATTATTATTTTATTATTATTTAGCAGACGCTCTTATCCAGAGCGACTTACAGTTAGTGAGTGCATACATTTTTCATACTGGCCCCCCGTGGGAATCGAACCCACAACCCTGGCGTTGCAAGCGCCATGCTCTACCAACTGAGCTACAGGGGACTAATATTACATGACATTACATTTCATTACACTTTTAACAACACATTAAGTGTGTGCCCTCAGGCCACTACTCTACTACCACACATCTACAATACAAAATCCATGTGTATGTGTGTGTAGAATGCGTCTTATCATGTGTATGTGTATGTGTAAGCGTGTGTCTGTGCCTGTGTCTCTTCATAGTCCCTGCTGTTCCATAAGGTGTATTTTTATCTGTTTTTAAAAATCTGATTCTACTGCTTGCATCAGTTACCTGATGTGGAATAGAGTTCCATGTAGCCATGGCTCTATGTAGTACTGTGCGCCTCCCATAGTCTGTTCTGGACTTTGGGATTGTGAAGAGACCTCTGGTGACATGTCTTGTGGGGTATGCATGGGTGTCTGAACTGTGTGCTAGTAGTTTAAACAGACAGCTTGGTGCATTAAGCATGTCAATACTTCTTAAAAAAACAAGTAGTGATGAAGTCAATCTCTCATCTACTTTGAGCCATGAGAGATTTACATTAACGTTAGCTCTCCGTGTACATTTAAGGGCCAGCCGTGCTGCCCTGTTCTGAGCCAATTGTAAGTCCCTCTTTGTGGCACCTGACCACACGACTGGACAGTAGTGCAGGTGCGATAAAACTAGGGCCTATAGGACCTGCATTGTTCATAGTGTTGTTACACCCACCAGAAGGCAGAGTGGCGCTTTATTATAGACAGACTTCTCCCCATCTTAGCTACTGTTGCATGAACATGTTTTGACCATGACAGTTTACAATCCAGGGTTACTCCAAGCAGTTTACATTTTTACATTTACATTTTAGTCATTTAGCAGACGCTCTTATCCAGAGCGACTTACAGTTAGTGAGTGCATACATTTTCATACTGGTCCCCCGTGGGAAACGAACCCACAACCCTGGCATTGCAAGGGCCATGCTCTACCAACTGAGCTACTTGCTAAATTTCCACATTCATTACCAGATTTAGTTGAGGTTTAGGGTTTAGTGAATGATTTGTCCCGAATACAATGCTTTTAGTTTTTGAAATATTTAGGACTAACTTACTTCTTGCCAGCCATTCTGAAACTGACTGCAGCTCTTTGTTAAGTGTTGCAGTGATTTCACTGTAGCAGCTGACGTGTAGTGTTGAGTCATACATAGACACACAGGCTTTACTCAGAGCCAGTGACAGGTCATTAGTAAATATTGAAAAAGGTAAGGGGCCAGGACAGCTGCCCTGGGGAATTCCTGATTCTACCTGTATTATGTTGGAGAGGCTTCCATTAAAGAACACCCTCTGTGTTCTGTTAGACAGGTAACTCTTTATCCACAATATAGCAGGGGGTGTAAACCCATAAAACATTTTTCCAGCAGCAAACTATGATCGATAATGTCAAAAGCCGCACTGAAGTCTAACAAAACAGCTTTTTATCGTCAATTTCTCTCAGCCAATCATCAGAAATGTGTGTAAGTGCCATGCATGTTGAATGTCTTTCCTTATAACCAGGCTGAAAGTCTGTTGCCAATTTGTTTACTGTAAAATAGCATTGTATCTGGTCAGACACAATTTTTCCCAAACGTTTACTAAGGGTTGATAAAAGGCTGATTGGCCGGCTATTTGAGCCAGTAAAGGGGGCTTAACTATTCTTGGGTAGCGGAATGACTTTTGCTTCCCTCCAGGTCTGGGGGCACACACTTTCTTGTAGGCTTAGATTGAAGATATGGCAAATAGGAGTGGCAATATCGTCCGCTATTATCCTCAGTAATTTTC